AACAGTGTGACATCTTGTTGTCTATGTGCACATCAGACGAGGAATGGCGCGAATGGACTGTCATGGGTTCGCCGTTGGCAAGTAGACTTGGACCAGTGTAAATGTGACCGTATGACTTTGACGCTGACATACAAGCATATACAATCTGCAGTAGATCATACCCCGGTTCCGCTGTCACCAATGGGAGATGCTGCTGAGGCCAGCTTGATTTGCGAGCAGTCAAAGTCAGGACTAGAGTCTAGAGCCGCTAGGACTATGATTTATCGCCTGAAGCCGTTGCGCTGTAGTATTAGCAGTTGAATCCGCAGTCGAAGCGCGCAGATCCCAAGAAACCAGCTGTCTTGCTCAGGACCTTTTGTCTCTGCTGCAGGCGGGCAGATGTGCAAGTGCCACACTGGTGTGCTGTTGAGTATGTCATAGCTTGAGTATTCCTTTCGGGATACGATCATGAGAGGTCAGAAGCAGAAGCGTCCCGGCCAATATGGTTCTCATGAGTATTCCTACTAAGTCCTACACGCAGTACCACGCCTACTCAGCGTCCTACACTATTAGCACTGCTGTTGGTGCAGTGATCGTTGTCGGGGCATCGTCATCGTTGTCGTATGAAGATGTTTATGTTCAGGTGTCCTGCAACTGCCTTTCATCCAGCACTGGGCTGGGTGTCTGTGACTCCTAAGCACAGCAGCCCCTAGGTCACCACCCAGAAACAGTCTGATCACATCTGAGCTTCGCCCCTGCTTCGGAGCTCGGCCAGGAGGTGGTGGAGCGAAACCGGCACGACGGCCCCTCAGCTTTCCGCTGTAGTTCCATTTGCAGGCTGGCCGAGTTGCAAGCATTCGCAGGACCTCGCGGCAGACACATTCTCAGTTGCAAGCTGCTCGTGCCAGGTCTCGGGAATGGCACTGGTCCGCCAGGCTCTGAGTTGAAATCAAAGTGCAGCAGGCCGACAGAGCATAAGACACATTCTGTACGTTGCGCGCCGTTTTGACATGTTGGTTTTTCATGCGCAGCCTCGCTGGCTCTACACAGCTGCAGGGACGCAACAAGCTAGTTCCTGCCAAGTGAGCCTTCGGACCGTCGGTTAGCAATGAAGCAAGCGTGGCGCTTGGAACATGTCGTTAGATGAAATTTGCTGTCTTTCAGTTTCACGGCACAGTCTATTTCAAGTCTTGCGGGCCTCCACTGGAGCCTTTGCGGTCGCGGTGCGCAGCTTTTGCTGAGTGCCACGCACGGAGATGCGGCTTCAGTAATCTCCCGAGCTCCAAGGTCCTTGTTGCGAGCTCGGTGGCGCTTGCATCGCGGCTAGGTCTTTCCTTGAAGGCCGGCTTCGCATCGCGCCAATCTGCAGAACGATGTAAGGCGTTTCCAGGTTGAAGTATACTAGAATACTATTCGATACATTTAGATACTTTAAGATGCAATAGTATGCTACAAAATGCTGACGGATACTATAAGAGTCGACTTGTATTTGTAGAATCGCCGCTGGAAGTCTGCGGAGGTGCCTGCTAGTCTGGTGGAAGTGGAGCTGGATGCGGCGGACTGTTGCGGAGCTGATCCTTAAGTATTAAAGGTAAGGCTTGTCCGAGCTGGCAGAGTGTAAGTGTTACATGTGACTGTTTGCGCTTTCATCAGTCCGTCACCGTCAATAATCGCAACTTGGATTGTATCTTGCTGCGACACTGCAAACCAAGCGAGGGCAGGTTCCACGAGCCAAGCAGCTGTAGCCAGTTCTTCGAGGCAGCAACTCGCCTGCGCCGCCAGGTTTCTCACATTCCTGTAGCGAGGGCTACGTTCTCAAATCCAACTTCCATGAGATCACGGGCAGCTCTGACAGCGAGTGCTGCCAGCCCACCTGTGCACTGTGGTCGTGCACGGGGCATTTCGCACACACCTAAGTTGACTTGTTCGAGCAACTGAATGACTTGCAAGCTCTTGCAATCACCAAGCAAAGCGCCCCACCAAGCCGTCTCTAAGGTCGCCAATGAATCCTACAGGGGCAACACCGGCAGCAGCAACGAGCAGTGCTGCGATCAGACCTGCGCAGCCGTGACGTGCCCCAAAGACCAGAAGGCGGCTCGAGTCCAAACATAATGTGTATATGCGCAGTTATTTGTATATCTGATGTAGATATGTATATATGTATTCAAACACATGTATATATATATACACGTATATATATATATATATATATACATCTGTATATGTACGTACATACAGATATAGGTATACATGCGTTTACATGTGTATATGTATATATATATATATATGGGTTTTTTTCAGATATACAGGTTTGTATGTATGTATATATATATATGTATATGTATATGTATATGTATATGTATATGTATATGTATTTATATATACATATATATATATGGTTTTTCAGATATACAGGTTTGTATGTGTATATATATATATATACATATATATATACATATATATATACATATATATATACACATATATGTATATATATATATATATGTATATGTATATATCTATATACATATACACATATAGACGTATGTGTAGACTCAGTGAGTTCTCATTTGTTGGAGTACCTGCAATCGCACTTTGACGAGGTACCTTAAAGGGCACCTTCCTCCTGAAGGTAAGCCGATTCCCAGGATGGGGAGGAGAGCCGTTTCTAATCCAGACCCCCTTAAGTTGCGTAGGCAAGCAGCAGTTCTTCGAAACAATGCGTAAGATGGGTTTAGGGAGCCTTGCAAAGCACCCTTCGGATGCAATGTCCAGGTGCCGTTGGAACTGAGAGACTCCGCCGGAAGGACACCGAAGGACTGCAAGCAATGTCTTGATGTTAGGGTAGTAACCACCGTCCTTTGCATAGGGCCTTGCCCCCCTGACTAATTAATTTTCAGAGGAACTTTAGGAAATCAAATACGGTTTGGTTTGGAAGATATGAAACAAAGTATGCAGGAAAGTGTGGTTGGGTTTTAACAACGTGAATCAAAGTCTGGCTTGGGTTTCGGGATGTAAAAGAAAGTGTGGGTTGGGACTGCTAATTACAAGCAATAACTACAATGAGTCTAAGGCGAGGGAAGGAAGTGGGGGTAAGGGATGAAACGGGGTCGCTGAATGTGACACATCCAGGTGCCTGTCTGTTTCACGCGTTACATGCACGGATGCATGCTTGCTGCTCATCAAGGTTCTGGCAGAGTATTGACTACAGCTGTGAGCCTGTAGAAGAAAGAGACTCTTTCGTTGTTTGTAGGCTTGTACCTCTGCGAGCGTCTTCCCGCCCAGGTTACATCTCAAAGGGGAAGGTAGGGGGGGGGGGCGGAAGAGCGGCCGGGGAGGGCCCCGGGAGCGTTTCGGCTCTCTCGTTTTTCCTTAGGTTGTCTCGCCTCCCGGCCTCCTGGGCGAGGCCTTTTGTCCACTCGTTGTTCTCTTTTGTTGTTTTTTCTCTCTTTTTGTTTCTCATTTATTTCTCTTTTTTTTCTCATTTTATTTCTCTTTTTTTTCTGGTTTGTTCCTTATTTTTTCCTTATTTTTCCTAAGGCTCTCCTAAAAAACCAGACCCGGGCCAGGTCCGAGCCGGCCTGCCTGGAAATGTGAAAAAAACCTGATGGGAAACGTGGCTCCGGAAGGACCCCGCGCAGAGAAATGTGACTCCGCCCGGAGGCAAATGCGCCAGGACTTAAGCTTGTGGTGCCCCCCTGTCCCTGCTGCCTGGGCCTTTGGGCCTTCCCCTGCCGGGCTCGACTCTCTACGCACAGCAGCCCCGACGCGTTCACCGCTGAGCTGCTGGGTTGTTCTGGCCGCCGTTCTTCTTGCTTGGCGAGGCTTACACCGATGCATGTACAATCTAGCATCTAGACTACGTTGGTGACTCGCTTCTAGGTCGTTCATGCAATCCAAGAAGGCAACATCAGCAAAGTTTAGGTGGGGTGAAAGAAGTCGAGTTCCGATAGCCCCGCCGGAACACAACAATGTCCACGGATTGCGTGTTAGTGTTTTCTTCTGCACATGCCAAAAACTCTGTCAGATCGTGCATTCTTTATGTACAGAATACAATGGAGAAACACAGGTTCACATCTTATTTGATATTGGTATACAGACCTCGCATTCTCTGCCACATTTTGCTTTACAATCATTTCTCTGAATCACATTTCTTTTCATATTTCCATTCCTGTGCCATACTTTTTTCCATACTTTCACCCAGACAGTCTCCAAGAATTAATTATATTGGAAAACCTTGCCTATGCAAGGCCGTGGGGATTACTATGTTAGGGTTTGCTTGAGAAAGGCAAAGGGATGTGGTAAAGGTTGCAGATGAAGGGCAGCCTCGCTTCCATCGTGAGCTTTCACCGTATCATCGCGACAGTCTAATGTGCTTCCGAAGGGATAAATTCCAACATCCTGGCATTCCTGGCAGACGTCGGGAAGAAAAACAAATTCCAGTTGGAGTAGCAGGGAGGGGACACGGGAAGGTCAGGTTCGCGGCAGCCATTCCAAGGCATTTGTCGAGAGCCTTCGGACGAGTCACAGAAGCCAGCTATCCGACGCGAGGGTTGCAAGGTTCGATGCGGGACGATGCACAAAGGTTCTGTAGAGGCATAATAAGCTGACAAAGCTTCATCCTCCTCAAAGTGTGCAGTGGCTATATTGGACCTTGTGCCTTCCAGTGGTGCTTCCGCATGTATCCAGCAGGACTGCTGCAAGGACACCTGCACTGCTGTTGTTTGCGAGCCCTTCCACGTGCCCATCAGGACATCGGATATACCGAACTGTCTGTTGACCGCGTTCATAGATGATTTCATGTGCTGCTGTTGTGGACATCCCCAGGGCGAACCTGCATTCTGTATATCCAGATGGTGAAGACCAGAGCTTCTGCTGCGAGCCAACCTGTGGCGCCTACACCTGCGACTACCGCAAGGGCTTGGTGCTGGATCCTGTTTGGCCCTCACATCATGGAGCCATTCGGGCATGTAGTGTAGCAAGTTGACATTGCGCTACTCCGAAGTACTGAGGCGAAGAGAATGGTTCCCAATCCGAGCGATGGGACCTGCTGCACAGCAACTTGCTCGAAGACTGCTTGCCCTGCAGGCTTCGAGATTCTCGGCAAGCCAATTGTTTCCTGCACCCCGAATTAACGACCAGCTTGTTTGAGGACAGACTAAAGGATCCCGATGATGACCCACTACTTGTTAAAAAGTGCGGGCAGTTTCGGCAGGGTCCGCATCAATCCGGTGTTGTTGTGTGAGACTTCCGAGGACACGCCCGGAAAACGCCAACAAGGACGCGCGGGAAGTGGCTGCTTGGCCAAATGGCACTGCGAGGAGGACAGATTAAGCTAGTGCTGGGGACCACACACATGATGCTGCTGAAGTATGGACTGGTGTTGAAAGCGCTGCTGAGGCGGTAAAAGTAGCCATGGCATTCTCATGGCATGAGTGTGATGCCGTCCACCACGATGGTACTCTGCTATGCTCAACCCGCAGCCCAAGGAATGCTGCGAGCCCCTTTGCAGCTCGCACTCCTGCAGCAGCGGCTGGGTTCCTGATGAGACCAGGGCAGCTGCCTCGGGTTCTGTCACGAGGGCCCATGGAGTCCGTCACAGTGCTTTGGGCTGTGATCAAACAAGGTCGTGTAGGATGTTGATGCTCCGAAAATTGGTTGACAAACCCTTTTTCAACTTGTTGTTGTCCAGGACCACTTTTCTTTTCACAGTACTGGTATCGGGATTCAACAACAGCAGGTCCAACCTGTCTCGGAGCAGAGGCTGTCGATTGAATACGCAGGGCAGCGACACACAGAACACCACAAATGCCTTCTATGCCAGAATGGATCCAGAAAAGTGCTTGCCGTTCCCTGCTCAAAATGTCTTGAATGAGGATGTCCCCAGATGAATCAATCGCGGGCCTGGTTAACGAGTGGACTTGTATGCCCGCAGAAAGGATTCCCGGTTGTATGAGACAATGAAAGGGAAACGCCTTGGTCTTGCAGCTTCGAAGCAAAACATATGAACAACGCAAGGTTGTGCATCACGGATATGAAGACAACTGTGGTAAACATGTGGGGAGAGCATTTTCTGGACGCTCCCTGCAAATTCGGAATCATCAGCTCGCGACCTGAGAATTTTGGTAGGGGTCGGCGGAAAAAGATTAAAAGTATGGAATCAACCTTGGCTGCACGGTTGCACCTCTGCCAACAAGAACCTGAATCTAGGTTCTCGTTTATGTTTAAACTGAAACTTGGAATTCGGTTTTTCTCGTATGTCGAGTCATATAGCTGTCGCAAAACAGTCATGTCTGAAGATCCTCGTTAAGCACGGTCGTTGGGATCACTAGCCATCACTAGCCAGAATCGACTTGCAGGAGTTGCATGTGTTGACCCGAGCCACCCTTGCATTGCCAGCGTTCGGAGGCAGAGCGGGTGGGCAACACAGATCAGGCCGGTGTAGCTATTTTGTCCATTGCTGCGTGGCTGTGGTGTATGACTGACCTGTCCAACCGAGCGTGTGCAGATGGAGCAGGAGTGCTGCCGGAGGACGTGCAAGGAATACACTTGCTCTGCCGGCTGGGCGACAAATCCAGCAGCTGCGAACAAAATTGGCACCTGGCTTGCATGCCTGCAAGCTTTCCGTTTGCTTTTCTCTCCCGCATATAGCAAGTACAATTGCACGCCTTGTCGTGAAAATGCCTGCGAGCGAGGTGTTGACGACGAAACTTGCTGCTCGAAGACCTGTGCGCAGTTTCAGGAGCAATGTACTGGAGACTATGCGCCAAATGGCGCGACGAATAATACAGTTGGTCATACTGCGGAGAAGTGCTGCTCCAAGACCTGTGCTTTATACTCCTGTGGCACGGGCGTCGTCATTCCCAAGGGCCAGAGCTTCTAGCCTGAACCTGTCCGTCATCGCATGTCCACTTGGCGGTTGCTGCTTGTTGACTTCTTGCAAGCCCCAGGTGTTGTTGGAAGCTCGGACGAGCTTTGCTGCGAAGACAGCCGCTGCCCGGCAATGCGCAACATGACGAAGATCGAAAAATGCAACTCGTTGGGCGAGGATTCCAACATGCCAGTGCATTGTAAGTTGTGATTCGCACGGACAAGAGACAGCCCTAAACCCCCGCTCGCCGAAACACTCGACTATGTCGCATGAAGGGGGATTTCAAGCATTCTTCATGGATCACCTGTCGGCTAGGCTTCGTGAGCGAGGCAGGTTACTCCATATCATGGCTTGGTGATGATTGTGTGCAGCACCAGGACGTTTGCTCCAAGCACTTCGTCGAAAGGTAGCTTCCTTGCAGTATGCTTCATTGAGTCTTTCTTCGGTTGTTCTTCCCTTTGAGCAGTCTGGTCCACCGGAGGTTGTGCTCCCGTGCCTCCAAGGAAGAACACCATCACCAACAAGACAGATGCCCTTGCTTGTCAAATGACTGCTATCAGCCAATGCGGGTTGGGAGACCCTCTTGAAGTCCTCCCGGCGGACTGCGCGGAGTAGGAGAAGCAGCGACATGTAGATCTACAGCCCGTCTCTCTGAGGGTTACACAAGACCAGTACAGCTTCCATGGAGAAAGTGTGACAAGGGCTGTCACTTGTGCCGGATTTGTCAATCAATTTGGAAGCCATGATATCAGCTTTTCGCAAGGCCAGGAGGGTGGGGAGTCCGAGGAGGACGCCGATTTCAGGGAGTCTGCTGCGCCCGACTTCTGGGATCTGCCAAACTCTCAGAGTGTGAGATGTCTACCCAAGACCTACCATCTCGACCTGAGCCGAAGACTTCCGAGCCGTGGAAAAACGAATTAGTCTTAAGACATCAGAGGTTGGTAGTCGCGGCTGACGAAAACGTCTTCCGATCCAGTTTTGATTCGATTATGATTCAATCTGTTGATTCACTTTCGGATCGGGTGTTGCGCTAGCCGCTAGATCTTTGTTGGCTTAAGAATCCCCACCTCGCCGCTACGACACCCCCACCACACCAATCCCGGTTGAATCACGAAGCGAGCTCACAGTGAATGAACAGTGAATGGCGAAATCGGAATGAATCCGACTTCGGATCGCATAGTATCCCCGTGCTGTTAAGTTTAGCCTTGACATGTCCGTGTTCGGTTTTGATGGTTTTCCTTGGAAAACGATAAGAAGAAGATACAACGATGGCAAACCGATAACGCTTTTTCGTTGTAAAACGATAAGAAGAAGATAAAACGATACCAACATTCAGGGATAAGGATTTTATGTGGTTTCTTTACAACCCCACTTCGGTCAGGCAAATGATTTGAACGTGCGACGAACGAGGATCAGAAAATAATCCTTGTTTCGGACCGCTGTCGGACATATGATGTCGTTGAAGCTAGTCGCAACCCCCCTGGCGATTACCTCGACAGCTCTTGGAACCTTCATAGAACCGCAGGAGCTGGTCCCAATCGCGGTAGGAGTTGCGCCGCCCGGCGAAGCAGTTGTCGCCGCATTGCCAGGAACTTGGAGACACGCGGGCCATGACATGTCTTCGGGTTGGTCGCATGTTGTGCGTTGAGGTTCGAAATGGAGAAGCATGGAGGATGGTGGAGTTAGTAGGTTGAGTTAGGCGTCTTCCGACCAGAGGCCGGGGGTTTTGACATTGACACGATGCATGAGAGAGTCAGGGTTATCACTACTCTTCCGGATGGATATTGTCCAGCGCAAATTGGGGTGAACTGTCTCTCACTTCCAACGGAGACTCGTAATTCTGCTGTGCGCCAAGTTGCAGACTTCCTCGCCCGCTGTTCCGGGACATGGCTCGAGCAGCAGTTTGCATTATCGTAAGCAGACGGGAGTTTGCCACGTCCTGTGGGGTCTGACAGCCCATCGTTTGCCTTGGCTGTTCAACTTAGCCCGCATACCAGCATACCCCGAGAAACTGCAAGAAAAGAGGCTTGTAGCTCTAAACCCTAAACCCTACACCTTAAACTTGTAACAAACAGATTGCAGGATAGCATGCACACAGAAGGTGCTGTTGGCCAAGAGGGGTCAACCAACTGAAGCGCCTGCATTGCTTGGATAATGACTCCTTGGTGCTTAGTCGGGACTGGGGGAATGGATCCCTATAGTAGTCCCCAATAATAGTCTTCATAACCCCTTTCCCCATTCCCTACTAAGAGTTAGTAAGAACCAGACAGATGAGAAACAGAAGAACACGCTTCGTAAGAGAGCTGAAACACTTCCGCTGCTGCCGCCGACATCAATGGCTGAAGTCCAGCGAATACTCGAGCAGCTGCAGGGGTTGCTGGGAGATGAGCTGCACGCACCTGATCGGCAATACCATCCCTAAAGTTAGTTGCGGCACATGACATATTACTTACACCGAGTCCGTGTAGATGTTTGGGGCGGGGCTGATGGAAGACGTTGGACCGACAGGTTCTTCGCAGCCGAACCCAAGCCCTCAACCCTCAACCTTGGGGCTCCACCTCTGACCTGGGGGTATGGAGGGATGTGTTTGGCTAGTGTCGTTCTGGGTGGTCAATTTTCCCGGTAGATTCCCGGTGTCACACAAACTTGTCGTTGAGCCTTGCATGCCGTGTGTCGACGAGCCAAGAACTTCCGCTGAACTTCCGCTGAGGCGGTCTCCTCTATGGCCGATAGCCTCGCGAGGAGCTGCGCCCATGCAGAGAGGCTGCTTGAGTCTTCAAGGCCCGCGTACGAACTTCAGGGCCCAAGACAGCAGTTGTTGGCCTAATGAGGACAAATGGACGAGGATGATATTTGTGACAGTGAGGGTGTTCTGAAGTGCCGCGAGACCCCGCGACAACTGAACGGTAGGCTTTTTCTGTATGATTCCTAATGTATTCCTGCAGTTCGAGAGCTTTCCAACAAACTCCCGCAATTTGTAATGGCCAACAGCTGCTAGATTCAACCCGGGAGTCGGTCGAGTGGATCCGAGTGCGCGTGTTGCCGCCAGCAGGAAGACGATCGAGTCCCCAGCAGGGCAACCGCAGGACCTGTGGATGTTTGCCATTTCTACCGCAGCGTGACCATAGCTTTGTGCAGACCACTGCTCCGACACAATCACTTCGACTAGCGCCAGCGCCAGAACCAGAAGCACCTCAAGCACCAGCATCATCACCAGGCATCCCAAGTTTCAAGCCGATCGTGGAACAGGAAGGCAGTGGAGAAAGCAGTGGATGGTTTGCAGGAGTTAGACGAATACTCACCAGAAAAGTAGTTTGGAAGTCATAACAGTTTCGTACAGACCTTGATCTCTGGAGCACCCGTGACTGCATCGTTTCCTCGCGGTTATACCTACCACGTTGGAAAAAACGAATTCACCGGTTGTTCATGCATAAAGGTGTTTTTCCTATTGGTTTTCCGTATGATGGCCGTGTGCTTATCATGTGTTTTGGTTTACTTGTGGCTTGTTGGCTCTGATCCGCGGAAGTCGTGAAGCGTGAACATGAGCTGTTTGCAATTTCTGTCTGCCCGGAACATTGGTAAACTGCTAATTTCTCTTACGACCTTCCCAAGTCTCTAATGACTCGATAGCTGCTTGTGAGTTGATTGCCCATATCTTTTGACTGCGTAGCAACATGTATTGCGACATCTGAACCCACTATTCTGGTGTCAAGGTCATAGTGGGGTATCTATGTTTTCAGACGGTAAGATTTCTGGATGCAACTGTAATTGGCCTCGTATATAACCTTGCTACCGTTTAGAACTGTTGGAAGTGTTCGAGGGTTTACGGTTTCTTGTTTTCGTGAACAAAGCAAATTTGGGCCAACACTGCTATGCCATGGCATCACGCAGGGCCAACCCCACTAACTTTCGAATCTACGAGTTTTTTCAGTATGTCCTTCATGTTCTGTAGAAGAACAGTAGATACCAGAAGCGCAGTTGGACTTTTCAATCTGCAGCATTTCCAACAGTTTTTCTGCTTGCCAGTAGCCTTTGTCGCGCCTGTTGCTTCTTACGTCACAACTTGTCCATGTTTCTAGCTAACTGTTCATACTTCTTGCCGTCTGTTTTTGGCGCACTTTTTCCATTCTTACGAGCGGATCTGCCTGTTTCCATTCGATTCCTTCATGATGGCCGTTTTTTTGCTGAAGTTCAGGATGTGCTGGACTTCGATGTGGAGAGCTGGCTTCATTGGCGCCAGCTTCGGGTTGGGCTTAGGGGACGTCGGCCGAAGACTCTACGGAGGGAATGTCAGAGACCCTGAAGGCGAAGTTCACGCAGGTGAAGCAGCAGGAGGCATCGCTTCAACAGGCGCGGGACGTGATTGTTTGACTCATGGCCTGTGTCCTTTCTTGCTTCAGCTCGTCCCCTGTTCAAAGCAACATAAGTAAACCGCTCACGGCGATCGAAGCCTTAGAAGACCTGATGGACGGGGACGGAGGCTACAGACAATGCCCGGACGGCTTGGATGGAGCAGCTTCATGCAGGATCAAGGCCAGGTGACACTGTGCATCCAGATTTCACAAAGCCTGGCTTCGGGCTTGAATTTCAGCCACCGTCATTTACTACTTGCACGGATGAAATGACGGGCCTTGTGTTGGGGTCAGAATCACCAATCCCCAGGCCAATCTACGCAACACCAAAATAGATGCTAACAGGGGGCTATGATAATGGCACAACGGGTAGGAAGAATTGCATGTGCAGCCAAGAGCTTGTTGATCAAGTAAAGCAATGAAGACGGCCTCCATGGAAAAGGGACTACACTCTGCAGGCTTCGAGGCAAGGCCGTCAAACATCCACCGAATCCAACGATTTGGACCCAAGCTAGGCAGCCCGATGGTTCTCGCCGCACACTTCTTCGTTTCCAGAGCGCGGTGGAGCTGGCGAATCTGGCCAGGTTTGCGGCCAACGAGGCCCGGGGTCTAGAACTGGCTGTGTTTTAAGCTATCTTCATATTATGGCTCACTGCAAAATTGTGTACTGACAATACTCGGTGATCTCGACAAAGACAAGCTATCGGTAGTAGTCGCAACAGCAGGAGTAGCAGTAGCAGCAGCACCTCCGCCTGTGCCTGCACCTCCGCCTCCTCCGCCTCCTCCTCCTCCTCCTCCTCCTCCTCCTACCACCACTATCACCACCTCCCCTGCCACCCCTGCCACCGACTACCAATTACCGCTGCCACTACCACTGCCCTTGCCACTGCCACGACGACGACTTCGAGAAGGACGAGGACGAGGACTACTACAATATACCACAATCATGATGCGCAGTGAATAAGAAGGTACACGTGCAGAACAGGGTGTCATGAATTAGCTGTTGGTTTTAGGTATCGTGTTGTTTCATGGTTTTATGCGCCGGACCTGGCATGTGCGTTCCACGCCAGCACACTCCACATTGCAAGTGTGTTGTGATCATGTGGGGTGCTCTTAGTGCATGGAGCTGGTGTCACGCCTACTTCACCGTGCTCGCCAGGTTCTCCCTTCACCTTCGGATTTTTTCAAATCAAGGCAGTTGTGGCCGCCCAGCGCGGGCCGCCACAAGGATGAGAACTCTGAGCGTCCAGTGATGGAAGAGCTGTCCGAGACGTTCCTTTACATTGCCTTGGAGAAGTGGCTGGGCCGCCTCCTCGAAGAGTCCGGCAAAGTGGTGCCCGCTGCCGCTGCCGCTGCCAAGGCTACAGAATGCAACGCAGCAACCCGGGAGGCTCCAGCGAGCCAGAGAGGTACAGAAGAGCATCCCGGGAGCGATGAAGTCCATCCCTCTGCTCTCTTGCAGCACCTCCCTGGTGGCCCACTCGCTGTGAAATCTGTGCTCCTGGCAAAGCATCGAGCTCGTTCCATGAAGCTGCAGGCTGATCTGATGAGGCTCTGCTGTGGCCAACGAGGGTCGGAGAAAGCGCCGGCTTCTCGCACGCCAGCCAGCACCAGCCTTCTTGACGAGGTGCACAGTCCGGCTGTGGGTGATGAACTTGCTGTTTACTTTTCTTTTTTTTTTAACGGGGGCTGCTATATTTTCCATGCAAAAACAAGTGGTTCTAGAGCCCGAGCCAGGTCAAAGTGCTGCTACAAGATCTGCAGCGCGGACAAGCAGATCCGCAAGCCGTGGCATGTCAACAAGTTGGCCATGTGATTGGTGGTCGCGGGACAGGTATATTTAGACACCAAAGATCCGCACGGCTTGTTTGTAGCAGTGCTTGCGGGCTTGTGGGTTCACCGAGGCCCGGGAAACACTCGCACGGGCGCTGAAGCTGCTGCGGCTGGCAGAGGCTTTGTGCTGCGAGCGCCGAAAGCTCCGAAGCTTCTGGCCGCTGCCGGATGACTCTTCGAGTCTTGCACACGGATGCAATGAAGCCAAAGACAACCGAAACCCGAGAGCTGCTATCAACTGAGCTGCCTGCTGCCTGCTTGCAGCAAGCATGCACCAAATCTGCTAAGTGAACTGGCTGAAGCTTTGTCTCAAGCTTGCCAAACCTCATATCAGAGCTCCTTCGGAAGCCTGCCAAACCCACGTTCTCTGTGGTGTGCGTGTTGTGCATAACTTCCGTGTTCTTCCTGTTGGGATCCTGGTCATGCTGGGGAGCCCGACTTCAATCCACGGAGTCTACGCAGTTCGCTCCTTTTGGGAAATATCACGATGTTGACAGCTTCCCCGACTCATCCAGCTCGGAGGGTGAGGACGAGCTGTTTGTCCGTCCCTTCGGTGTGATGGACAGGGACTGAAGGGTATCAGAAGATTTGGACGACCATGGCTGAGCACGACGGAATCGACGTCCGGTTTGGCATGGACATTCAAAGCATTGATCGTCAGCTGAACGATTCTCGTGCTCCCGTCCTCATCAAGACATCCAAGAATCGCAATCACTAGAGTTGATCGAGGACAAGCACGTGACGGACTTGGTGGAGAAAGAGACGTCCATCTTCAACTCTTCGCGAATGGGACGAAGACAAGCAGACTCGAGCGGGCCCTCAATTCTATGAGAATTTCTGCGACCCGGACCCGGTGCTCTGTGACACGGACCGGACGCCAGACCACAACTTCGAGATGAAGAGCACTCCGAACGTTCTGAAAAGGAGATGAATAAGCAGCAGGTTGCTAATGTCAAGGTCTTATGCCAGTATCCATGGCCCTACTTCCACCACTTCCCGCAAGCTGCCATCAATGAGAAAATCCCTTGGAAGCTCTTTGACATGCAAGGCGAGCGTAAGATTTGGTGGACTGGAGCCTAGCTTCGAGTCTGTGCACGACGTGACGAATTACAACTTGATGCTGCTGAAAACTTATCCAATGACCGATGTCGAGAAGGGCGCAGTCAATTGGGCGTGATCCCTGCGGCCGAGCCCCGCGCTCTTCAAATGCCATCTCGGCCATGCTTTTGTTATCCCCAGGTACATTCCAGGTCCTCCCAGAGGCTTGGGCAGGCTTGTAGTCTATCACTAGCTCGAGAGATGCACATGACGGAAAACGGTAGCCTGCTTGCCGACACTGCATCTCTGGCTGGTCCGAGTTTGAAGGCGTAAATGTGCCATCTGACCCATGTCAATGCAGCTGCAAGCTCTCCAAGCACATGCATTCACACCCGCATGCCGGTATTAGTCGACGAAAATGACTTCCGATAAACTGATTTGTTGCATTTCGTGGCTGATCTGCCACCCCGTGGAATTCTTGCCACCGTTCTGACATGTCAGCCAGCACCCACCAATGAGAGAAGACATGGCGCTCGGCTGCCAAGCCTTCAAGCATGGACGCGATTAGCCAGCCTGACCAGCATGCTACAATAGAGACTTTCAGCGATGGCTTTCAGCCGTCGACTGCAGCTCGGTGGCTACGCTGAGCAGCGGGCAGGCTCAGACTCTGGGAAGAATGCCGGCGACGATCTTGCGGATGCCCCGCGATGGCAGTCAGCAAGAGTAGGAGGGCCCGGGTGTTGTGATAGCAGTCTTGGGCAAAACTGGCGGGGCTGTGATGACAGTGAGCTGCCTATGCCCTAGGCCCTGTGCATCCATGCAAGGACGGTGGCGGCAGTAGCTTCCCTGCAGAGCAGAGATCGCGGTGGCTGCCAGCACGCTGCCGTGAGCAGGTGACACCTGACGCAAGGTGAGAAGAACCTTCGTTTTTTCGAGGCGGCCTCTCACAGAAGTAGGGGACCCTAATGGTCCCAATGTAGTTGCCTAAATAGTAGGACCCTCATTATAAGGACCCAAAAATAAGGTTGTCTTTTGCTTCTCACAGGACGAATACCGGGCTTGGGGATCAGTTTTAGCTCGGTCAGGAAAGAACACCCGGCCTCAGCGGGACACTTGGTGGAGGGATTGGATCTGCCTCCGGAGGCACTCTTCTGCTGGACAGCTGCCGACATGGAGATGTTTTGTGCGGCCCGGCATGAGAGTTTAGAAGTCTTCAGTTGCTTTTCCGAAGTGACGAGATGTTGCGGAATGTGGGGTGTAGGCAGTGTAGGCTCTTGCTATCGGAAGTTTCTGCCGCAACGTGAGGCCAGCGGTGGCTATGTGAAGCCCAAGTTGAGGCTTCTCTACTACATTTCCCCAGAATGTCCGCAAACCATTGTTGATCTTGTTTCTCCGAGCCTTAGGATGCAGAACTGGGCATCTACATGGCAATTTGGGAAACCTTTTAGTTTTTAATAATCCCCCTTCTGGTTCCTATAGAGGTGCCTCTTCATAAATACTTTTTAATTTCCCCAAAACTACAACCCAGGCATGCACAGTGCGACCAGAGCCAGGAAACACACCCATCTTCGTCTGGGAGGGATCGCGACCCAGCATCGATCCTTCGCCAACTTTGTCCCTGGGAGGGCTCGTTAACCGCGTGGCTCCCGTGCTTCCAGCTACCAGGAAAGTGGGCATGCTGAGAGCCCTGCAGCTCGCCTTTCTTATGCATGATGGCATGATGGAGCTTCACCTAATCTTTTTTGCTCTCCGGTGCTCTGCGGTTCTTGGGGTTGCCGATGGGAGGCAGAAGTGGTGCTCATGCAGACGGCAGGAGTTCCCTCCACCCTGGTATCCTGTTACCTTCGAGCTGCCCAGCAGCCTGGAGGAGTGGAAGCAGCGGCCGGGCGGCTATTGGGAACATGTTGAAACCGACGTGTAAGGCTCAACATGTGTGTATATATACACATCATAACATATTTGCTTATATGTATATACACATATGTAATATAAGACAAAACAAAACACACAATGCGTAGTATCATTGAGACACAGCTTCTGCTCGGTTCCCACGTGGTTGCAGGCACGTTTCGCAGCACCCAGCTAAGCGCTGGATCTACAAACCGAACGGTGCCTCAGCGAGGCTACTTGTAGGGAAGCTGGCAGTCGGATCTTCATTGGAATGTGCTGGAATGCTGCTATGCATGCACGTGTGGTTGGCCTGCATGTGGCTTTGGCAGGTACTCAGGCCAAGCTTCCCGCGTGCCATGCATTTGCATGATGTTCTTGTCTGCGAGTGCATCCACTGTACGCACGTGCTATTATAGAGATGCATTCTAATTCTGCTACAATATCTCGCCATATGTACCGCGCGTTACAGTGTTGGACGGGCATGATCAAGTCAGGTCTGAGCCTATACAACAGCAACAACACCAGCACTCGCAACAACGACGACAAAGACAAGAACAACAAGAGCACCAACAGCACCAATACTGCTGACGACCAAGAAAACACACCACCGCCCAACAGCAGCAACAACAGCGACAGCAGCAAGAAGCGAAACGCCGACCGTAGCAATCCGAAGAACAAGACTAAGAACACCGACACAGTGATCACGACGACGACGACGGCGGGGACGACGACGGCGACGACGGCGGCGGCGGCGACGACGGCGCGACGACGACGCGACACTGATAAGGCGCCGACGACGACATTCACGACCGCAGCAATTCAAAACCACCACCACCAACAACACCAACACCAACACCACCACCACCACCAGCGCCAACACCAACACCAACACCAACACCAACACCAACGACACCAACACCAACACCAACACCAACAACACCAACACCAACGCCAACGCCAACACCAACACCAACAGAACCACCAACACCACCACCGCCGCCGCCGCCGCCACTTCCAACGCCAACGCCAGCGACAGCAACAGCAACAGCAAACAACGATCATCAAGCAACAGCCGCCACCACCACCAACAACAACAACAACAAGTCGAAAGCACCAATAACAACGACCACGACGAGGCAGTCTCTGACGATGACAACGACAACGACAACTCCAGCGACAGCACGACGAAGACAACCACAACAATAACAGCAAGTAAGAAGATAAGGAAATGCAATGGCTATCTTCAACACTTGTCCGCGGCTGCAGCAGCCGCCTTCATAAGCGCACCACCGGTATCAAAGGAGCAGATGTTCATGAGAACATCATCGCCGTGTGCGTCACACCCGTGCTCACGCATGCTTGATAGTTGTACCATTATTATCGAAAAAGTGATAGCAGCCATTATTCGGCCGCAGGTCTGGTAGAGTCTGTTGGTCTTTTCCTGCGCCCACGCGTTCTTACTGCACTGTCTTTTGATGTCTGACTGGCTGTTACTGCGACTTTGATATCCCGTGCGATGTCTCATCGAGTCGGACTTGTTACACCTGATTCAAGATCATGAATGATCCCAGGGTCTTGGTCCGATGCCAAGGTGGCGCTCGCGGGGTTGGGATCATCCTGGTCTCTGCCGTCGAGGAGGTCGACTCGCCAGAGCGCCCGTTCAAGGAAAGGTGCCGTCCACAGCGCCCGGAGGATTTGCGCCTCGGCCGGAGAAGGGGCAGTCTCAGCCTTCTGCAGTCATGTTTCTGGAGAAGTCTTTTTGTTTAACATGGGACAACCAGCGATTCCGTTCCTCGTCAGTTTGTGTTGGGTTTTCACGCCTTCCTACGGAGCCCAGCAACCTCGGCGTTCCGCCAGAGAGGCTTGAGTCAAACAGGAGGGGGAGCCACAGGCGCAGGTCCGGCTCGGAAGGTTAACTGGGATTCCGATTGCAAGTGTGGGTGGGGACCTGCGGCGACATGCGGCGACCTAGCTACATGAAGCTATAGCAGCTATAGGTAGTCGGTTTGGGTATTGCAATGACGGAATCTGCATTCTATGCCAACAGACCCCACAACAAGTTGCTGCAGTGTGGGGCTGGCAAGAGCTGCTGGTGTTTGCAACCCTGGCTTTCCGTGAGGTATGCATCGCCGCTGGAAGAGCGCCGCTTCGACAAGCATTCCGTGCGCGTGTTTCAAAACGTGGTCCCATGTGATGCTGAGGCTACTTCGCACCCACTGGAATTATTCAGGACCGCTCATCGCCATCATACGTCACCGGAAAGTCCTCGTGTACGTCAAGCCTGGCACTCTGAGGAGTACGTTCAAGACCTGCAGCTCCTCAAAGGACACAAGTCGCTAGGATTATGTTGTTACGGCATAGTCGAGTAGTAGACCGAAATCGTGTGGCCATGACGCAACAGGTTGGTCTTGCTTAGGTTTAGGAGATCCAAGCCAAGGTTTGCAGTCCGAGCTTACTTGCAACCTGGCGTGGTGATCCAGTGCATGTGCTGTTGTTCTTCTCGCTTGCCACACTCGGCCTTGTCGTAGTCTTGCTTAGTAGAGAAATGTCGAAGGCTTTGGAAAGCAACCTCGTCTAGGCTTCCCTAAACGAGAAACCTGTTGATGGATGTTGATGGTAATCACGCTTGGGGTGGATGTCAGACGGCCATGTGAAAATACATGTTACCATGTGCTACTGTTTCCCGACACATCTCATCTCCTCGCTTAGTGCCGCGGAGTTCGTTGATGTGTGGGCATGTGCTGTGCGAGGCTGATTGCACGGGTGCAGCCCCTGTTGGTGCTACTGCACGGTGCTGCCTATGCCAAAGTTTGCGGGCAGGACTGGCAGAATCAGAACTGTGCAGTCAGATTCGAGCGCGTGGCAATGCATGCATGTTTGCAGAAATAGTATCCAAGCTGCGAACTTCTGGGCATGGTTAGGACGCAGTAGGATCGCAACTAGCCATCATCCGGCAGGCATCTGCAGCATGACTCCCAGCCTGTACTGGCAGCCATTTTGGCTGAAAATCTAGCTGTTGTGTTTTTGAACGTGACTGCCGCTCTGACCAATGGCGGCAGTGGAAGCGCCAAAGTATCATGGCTTTGATGCCACACCTCAAGCTCAAGGATTGTACGATCCGCGCAACGAAAAGGACAGCTGTGGCGTCGGAATGGTTGCAGATATTACAGGAACACCATCTCGGGCCATTGTCGATGGGGCTCTCCAGGTTTTGGAGAATTTGGATCACAGAGGTGCTCGGGGTTGTGAGAAGGACACTGGCGATGGCGCTGGCATCTTGTGTGGCATTCCTGACCAGTTCATGCGCCGTGTTGCAGCAGAATTGTCAGTGACTTTGCCACCTCCTCGTGAATATGCGGTTGGAAACGTTTTTCTTGACCGGAGCGAAGATGGCACTCAGGAAGGCAAGCGGATCTTCGAGCAAGTCTGTGCATCCATTGAAGGTCTCCGCATGATCGCCTGGCGCAGTGTGCCGGTTGAATCCGATTGCCTGGGCAAAACTGCCAGAGACCATGAGCCCGCCATCGAGCAAGCATTCATCGCCGCAGAAGGTGCTTTGAAAAAAGACTTGGCGAAGTTCGAGGCCGCACTTTTCGTTCTGCGCAAGCGTGCGGCTAACATTGCTGCTCAACATGCAGACCTTCCGTTCTACGTGTGCTCGCTCTCTCCGAGAATCATCAACTACAAGGGCATGCTGACATGTCCAGGTCTCGTCAGGTACTTCTTGGACCTGCAAGAGGATGACTTCGAGTCTCATGTGGCCTTGGTTCACAGCCGTTTCTCCACCAACACCTTTCCCGCATGGCGACGTGCACATCCCTTCCGCCACATTTGCCACAATGGTGAAATTAACACGCTCAAGGGAAACGTGAACTTTGCCCGTGCACGTGAAGGGTTGATGAAGTCCGAGCTTCTCGGGCCTGAGTTGGAGCAGTGCTTTCCTTTGATGGAGCTGGACCAAACGGACAGTGGAATCTTCGACAACTTCTTGGAAGTGCTAACAATTTCAGGGAGGACGCTTCCGGAAGCCGTGGCCATGATGATGCCACCTGCATGGGAGAACTCCGACTCCATGGAGCCGAAGCTGGGTTCTTGTTGAGGAATTCAATTGTAAGCTACCATAGTAGGGATCCATCGTATATAGTATGGTTTCTTCATATATGGTAACCTAAGTTAAGTTACTGACCAAGAACCCAGGAAGCTAAAGGACTACTACAAATACCAAGCAGCCATCATGGAACCCTGGGATGGCCCCGCACTCGTCTGCTTCACAGATGGTGACGGTGTCGGCGCCTCGCTTGACAGAAATGGTCTCAGGCCATGCCGCTACTACGTGACGAAAGACAACAAGCTCATTGTCTCTTCGGAATGTGGAGTGCTGAAGATGCCCGCGGACAGCATCGTGGCAAAGGGGCGCTTGTCACCAGGTAAGATGCTCTGGGCAGACTTCAACAAACATACCTTGACTCAGGACGGTGAGTTGAAGGCGAAGTTTGCGTCCGTCCTGCCCTGGGGCGACTGGTTGAAGAGCGAGGCAATGACTATGGAGACCTTGTTGAATGCAGGCTCTCCGAAGGTGCCATCAATTTCTGATGATCAGCGAGCGCCGCTCCTCCGTGCTTTCGGCTACACGCAGGAATCCCTGGAATTGCTGCTCCTACCCATGGGCAAGGATGGTGAAGAAGCCTTGGGGAGCATGGGCAACGACACGCCCCTGGCCTGCCTCTCCGAGCAGAACCGCCCGGTCTTCGACTTCTTCTACCAGCTCTTCGCACAGGTCACGAACCCTCCGATCGATCCCATTCGTGAGTCTGTCGTCATGTCGCTGGGATGCTGGATTGGTCCTGAAACCAATGTGCTGGGCTCGCCGAGCCCTCAGCACTGCCAACGCTTGTGGTTGGACAAGCCTTGCCTGCTTCCGGCTGAAATGGCTGCCTTGGCTCATACGACCGACATCAAGGGTTGGAAGATCAAGTCATGCGATACCACTTTCCCCATCAGCGAAGGTGCTACCGGCATGGAGCGCCACCTGCAGAGAGTGTGCAAGGAGGCAACCACTGCGGCTAAGGAGGGCTTTCAGATCATCATCCTCTCCGACAGGTCATCCTCTGAAAAGTCTGCACCAATGCCATCGCTCCTCGTCAGTGGCGCCGTGCATCAGGCACTTGTTTCCGAGAAGCTCCGCACCAAGGTTGCGCTCGTGCTCGAGAGCGGAGAGCCGTTTGAAGTTGCACATCATGCGCTGTTGCTGACTTTTGGTTGTGATGCAGTCTTCCCGTACATGGCATACGAAGCCTTGCAACTTCTGGGGGACGAGGGCAAGTTCGGAGAGGGCTGGTCCAAAGAAGAGAAGTTCGCAAAGTATCAGAAAGCGGTGGGAAAGGGACTGCTGAAGATCATGGCCAAGATGGGCATCTCCACGCTGCGCAGCTACAAGGGCGCCCAGATCGCAGATGCCATCGGCTTGAGCAAAGAGGTGGCAGAAATGTGCTTCACCGGCATTGCAAGTCAGCTTGGCGGCTTGGGCTTTGAGCAGATTGCTCTGCGAACGCTCTCGGTGCATGATCGCGGCTTTTCACCGGATGGCGGCTACACTGTGAAAAGCTTGTTCTCGAGTTTGCCGAATGAAGGCAAGTACCACTACCGCCAAGGAGCCGATGCAGAGAAGCACCTCAACGATCCAATGGTCATCGCCAAGCTTCAGGAGGCTGCCAGAACAAACTCTCGCGCAGCCTACGCATCCTTTGCGACTCTTCACAACAACCTGGTCAAGGCTTCGTCGATTCGTGGGCAGTTGGACTTCAAACCACCCAGACAATATGGTCGAGCCCCGCTTCCCCTGGAAGCAGTGGAGGCAGCAAGCGAGATTGTGAAGCGCTTCCGCACTGGTGCCATGTCTTACGGGTCGATCTCCATGGAGGCCCACAGCACACTTGCGATTGCGCTGAACCGGCTTGGTGGATTCTCCAACACCGGTGAGGGCGGCGAAGATCCTGCACGGTACGAGCCGCTGCCAAATGGAGATTCCCTGAAGTCAGCCATCAAACAGGTGGCATCGGGCCGCTTCGGTGTTACGATGGAATACCTGTCCAACGCGCAGGAGCTGCAGATCAAGATGGCTCAAGGCGCAAAGCCAGGTGAGGGAGGAGAGCTCCCAGGAAAGAAGGTGCACGGAGGCATCGCCAAGACACGAAACTCCACACCTGGTGTTGGCCTGATCTCGCCTCCGCCTCATCACGACATCTACTCCATCGAAGACCTTGCCCAGCTGATCTTTGACCTCAAGAACTCCAACCCAGATGCCGGCGTCAGTGTGAAGCTGGTTAGCGAAATTGGAGTCGGCGTGGTGGCGACTGGCGTGGCGAAGTGCAAGGCCGACCACATCCTGATCTCCGGCTGCGATGGCGGCACCGGCGCATCGAAGTGGACGGGCATCAAACATGCCGGTGCCCCTTGGGAAATTGGCTTAGCCGAGACTCACCAGACTTTGGTCTTGAACGGCTTGCGCGGCCGTGTGACTTTGGAGACGGATGGACAGCTCCGCACTGGTCGGGATGTGGTCATTGCGGCCCTGCTCGGAGCGGAGCGCTTCGGCTTTGCCACTGCACCTCTCATCGCGATGGGTTGTATCATGATGCGCAAGTGCCACTTGAACACCTGCCCAGTTGGCATTGCGACACAAGATCCCGTCTTGCGAAAGAAGTTTGAAGGGTTGCCAGAGCACGTAGTGAACTACCTCATGCTCGTGGCCGAGGAGGTGCGAGTGCTGATGGCCAAGATGGGCTTTCGAAACATGGACGAGCTCATCGGTCATGCCGAGGTCTTGCGCACTGATCCCGCAGTCCGTACTGGTCCGCTTCTACTCGATCCGATCCTGGCTGCTGCACACCAGCTCCCGGATGCGGGCAAGATGGGCAACATCGAGAATCGGAAGCTCTACGGCCAGGAGCATTTCATGGTTCTGCAGAGAATGATTGACCGAACGCTTGTGGAGGACTGCAAAATGACCTTCCGTTATGGCGAGCGCTCCTACGTCCAGTACAACCATTTGAACAATGCTGACCGGACGTGTGGAACCTTGTTGTCTCATGAGGTCTTCAAGCGATGGGGCAGCAGCCTTCCTCCTGGAACGTGCCACATGAAGCTCTTCGGCACTTCGGGCCAGTCCTTCGGCGCGTTTTCTGTGAAGGGTGTGCTTCTCGAGCTGGAGGGTGACTCACAGGACTACTTCGGCAAGGGCTTGAGTGGAGGCGCTCTCGTCGTGTACCCGCCCAAGAAGGCCACCGAGCAAGGCTTCGAAGCTGCAAAGAACATCATCATCGGCAACACAGCCCTGTATGGAGCAACATCCGGTGTCTGTTTTGTCAACGGCATCGCGGCAGAGCGGTTTGCAGTGCGCAACTCCGGCGTTTGGGCTGTCGTGGAGGGTGCGGGTGATCACTGTTGCGAGTACATGACGGGTGGACGCGTTCTTGTTCTTGGACCTGTTGGGGACAACTTCGGTGCAGGCATGAGCGGCGGGATCACATGGATCTGGGACCCTTCCAACACCTTCGAGAGTCGCTCTTTGCCAGCAGACCTGGAGATCGGGCGCCTTGCGCCGGATTCCAACCCCCAGGCCTATCCAAACGAGGAGAAGGACTTGAAGTCACTCCTCAATGCTCATAAGAGTTGGACCAACAGCAAACAGGCTGACGAGATTCTGAAGCGCTGGCCTGCCTGCATGCCGGAGTTTGTGCGGGTGTTCCCCAAGGACTTCAAGGCAGCAGTCCAGGCAGCCATCGACCGGGGCGAGCACACTCCGATCGGCTCCATGAGGGAGTTTCTGCCCATTCAAGAGGCGCTGAATGATTCGACCAACAAGCAGCGCATTCGCAAGCAGCCCAAGCTCAGGAAAATCTCCTCCCAGGATGAAACAGGTCCATTGATGAGCGTGGACATTGAGGATGTAGCCTTGTTTCAGAAGACAACGAAAGGAAATCGTCCAAAGAAGATCGAGGATGCCAAGTTGGTGGCCACTTCAAACCGTGGCTTCCTCGAGGTGGACCGGGGCGACCTTCCCAAAAGAGGAGTTGAGGAGCGGGTCGCAGATTTCAAGGAGATCTTGGCGAAGAAGGACGAGGTGGCGGTTCAGACCCAGGCCTCGCGTTGCATGGACTGTGGCACGCCCTTCTGCCATCAGTCTGTAACCGACAAGTCTGGATGCCCCTTGGGCAACCTCATTCCTGAGTGGAATGACCTGGTTCGAAAGGGTGCCTGGTTCGATGCCTTCAAGCGCCTCATGGCCACCAACAACTTCCCGGAGTTTACTGGACGGGTGTGCCCGGCTCCCTGCGAAGGTGCATGCACATTGGGTATCATTGACGAGCCAGTGAGCATCAAGTCCGTGGAGCTGAGCATCATTGACAAAGCCTACGAGATGGGCTGGATGGTGCCAAGCCCCCCGAAGGTCCGAACGGAGAAGAGGATTGTCATTGTGGGCTCTGGGCCTACCGGCCTGGCTGCGGCCGATCAGCTCAACAAGATGGGGCATCGCATTACTGTCCTCGAGCGTGCGGATCGCATCGGAGGACTCATGATGTACGGTGTTCCCAACATGAAGACTGACAAGATTGATGTCGTCCAACGACGCGTGGACATCATGAAACGCGAGGGCATCACTTTTGTCACCGGCCCTGCTGGGCGCGTTGCCGAGAGCTCAGAGGCAACCATCGACGGCAACAGCATGGGGCCCAGAGCTTCGCAGCTGCTCGAGGAGTACGACGCTGTTCTGCTCGCTGTTGGCGCCACCGTTGCCCGGGACATGCAGTCAGTGCCAGGGCGTGACCTCAGCGGGATCCATTTGGCGATGGACTACCTGACTCACAACACCAAGGCCTTGCTGGACGGCGGTGATGTCAGCAACAAGTGGCGACGCTGGTGGGGAGCGAAGAAGACTGGTCTGGACCCAAAGACGTTGGATGCCAAGGACAAGAAAGTGATTGTCATTGGAGGTGGTGACACCGGAAACGATTGCATCGGGACAGCTGTGCGTCAGGGTGCCAAGGCAGTCGTGAATCTGGAGCTCATGGGAAAGCCGCCCAAGCAGCGTGCTCCTCACAATCCCTGGCCACATTGGCCCATGGTCTTCAAGGTGGACTATGGTCACGAGGAGGCTGCCACCCAGTTGAACAATGACCAGGACATCCGACACTATGGTGCTTTGACCAAGGAGTTCTTGGACGACGGCCATGGCAATGTGAAAGGCATCAAAATGGTGAATGTTCGCTGGGAGAAGATCGACGGCCAGATGCGGATGATGGAGCAGCCTGGCTCTGAGAAAATCATCGAAGCAGATTTGATTCTGCTAGCGCTCGGCTTCTTGGGCCCCGAGAATCCGTTGGCAGCTGCTTTTGGCGTTGACATGGATGAGCGTGGCAACTATAAGGCATTGTACCAGAAGAGCGAAGGTGATTTCCAGACATCAAACCCAAAGGTCTTTGCAGCAGGTGATTGCCGACGCGGGCAGTCTCTGGTTGTCTGGGCAATCAAGGAGGGGCGAGATGCAGCTACAGCAGTGAACAGCTACCTGACGAACGAGTACCCGGCCTGAGCTGGGTGCTGCACTGGCGGAGACGGCTAGATGGAGTTTAGCGACGGTCTCTTCCAGCAATTTCGACACTTTCGATGCTACTCTCTCTTGCAGACGAGCAAAGCTTGTCCAACATTCTTACGTTGTTGTTCAAATTTGCAGGCATGGCGATCTATCGAAACGACTTGATGTGAAGAACACCCATCATCGCTAACTGTGTGTGTGTGTGTGTGGTGTGCAGCATGATAGATTCTGATTGCTTGGTCTGGCTGATCGCCGAGAGAATGCCAAGGGAAGTTTATCAACCCCTTGTTAGTGCGTACCAGCATCGTGGATGTGCTGCTTGTGCAGCAGACCTGACTGTACATTTGCACCAAGAGAGTGCTGACCTTGTTCGGCATCTCTCTACATTTACATTGTAGGTAGTTATCTTGAACAGCTACAGCTCGTGCCGCAGCAGGAAAACGGACGCACCTTGAGGCGAGAGCTCTGCTGGATCCCGCCTTTTTACCGTGTCAAGTTCTTGAGCTCCCCCAGGAGTTCGACTCGCAGCGCTTTACCCAGGCCGGTCGCTGGTTTCTCGGGTTCAGGCTGCATCTTTGCAGTATTTTGATGCCTGTGAAGTGTACCCTGTGACGAGAGCCCAGCTATCAAGTTCCAAAACTTTGCTTCAAAGCAGGCTCAGGAGTGCTTGTTGGTTTTTTTGGACTGTCGCTTGAAGGACGCGGGGGGTGATTCGCCATGCACGAGCACTGGGAGTTCGGCTGCAAGTAGTGAACTCAGTCCTGTCCCAAAACGGATATCGAATCCCGCATTTCGGCAATGCCTGCCTAGGCTGATTTGCATGCATCTTGTGAACCAGTCATTTTTGCAGTCCGCTTTGAAACCCGGTGGTTCGCGTAGTTGAGTAGATGTCCGTAGGTCTTCAATGGTTCCATGCGAAGGACCCCTGCAATTGCCACTCCCGCCGCTGCTGCTACGTGCTCTTTTTTGTGCTTGTTCCTTCTCCTGCTCGTACTTCTACTGTGGCTGCGGCTGCGAAAGCACGCGCTTGGATCGGGGAAACGCTTGAGAACACATCCTCAAAACCCGATCGATGCAGGCTGATCTTTTCAGGCATGCCGCTTGGCAGAAATGGCTTCATCCTTGCGCAGGGCCCGGTGTGATGAATTTTTGGCATAGAAAACCATCGAAACTAGTGAGGAAGGATTGCAGTATGTGGCAGTGCTAACAATGTTGCAGTGGAGACCTTACTTTCCTTTGGTTAGCAGGGAATGGAAGAATGGTAGTAATAGTCAGTAATAGTAGTTACAATTGTACCCCATTCGCCAAAGGTAAGCTTAGCCCCAAAACGGCCCTGGGATTTGCATTCAGGTCACCGAGCAGGAGTTCCAGAAGATGGGTGGTCAAGTGCATGAGGATTGGAAGGCAAGGGCAGACCCAGTGGGTTCTCATCGAATATACCGCAGTATGTTCTGCCCTACTCTCTTCCAGTGGCTTTTCTTGTTATTATGCCCTGGTTGTGATATAACACATTATATGGTACCAGGCTCTTCAGGTTACTGCAAGTTCTACATAACCAGTAGAGACTTACACAAGTCTATGAGGTCGTTGAGCAACACCGGCAGGTGCGTCCCGTGATGCTGCTGGAAGAGCTGGCGGCAGAACTTGCAGATGAGACTTCAGGACGTGCCATGATAGTGGTTCCCACAGTGCTGTCAGCGTTGCAAATGCATGGTAGCATGTCTGGTGCCAGTAGGATGAGAAGAAGCATGGAATCACGACACACGTCAAAGACACGTCGTTCAATAGACAACCGGGGCCATTTTCTGCCCGATTCACTCTTTTTGAACTTCAATTTTCGGGAAAGGGATCAAACTGAGCCGAACAAGCAGGTAGACGTAATGATAGTGCGATTCAACTTGTTTCTTGATATTTGGTTTGCCGCTTGTGATGTCGCTTCGCTATGCTTCGTTCATATCATGATGCAGCGCGGGCTGTGTTGAAACCCACCTGCAGCCCTGAACCCAGATATGAACTTCACGATCTGAATCCGTAACCATAGCTGCTTGGCGCTGTTTGTGGTCAGCTTGCAGAACCATAGGTGCTTGGCGCTGTTTGTGGTCAGCTTGCAGAAGAGGGGTCACATATCCAAGCCTGGTTGCCCAATGTTTGCCAGCATGGGCTTCAGGACTCATATCTGCACACTGTACTCTCAGAAATTCTGATAGCAGCTGGATGCTCCGCCTGGCTCATGTTGTGGAGGATCGGCGGAGACCTGGCTGGAGGCATTCTGGGCACAGGTGCAGGTGATCTGCCACCAGGTGTGGCAAAAAGATATACCATGTGCGCTTGCCGACATGAGAAGCTCCCAGCCCAAGGTGGTGGACAGTTTTCGCGAGTCGCTCCGCTTCTTGGCTCAGTCTTTGTCGAGCGACCATGGCCAAAATGATCGTAGGCGAAGCTGTCAAGCTGTGGGTATGTCTGAAGTCGCGACCTGTTCAGGAGACGGGGCCCAGTTGGGAATGTTTGAGATTCTCGGGCTGGACTTCGTTTGCAAGGCTCAAACGGAGCCATTCACATACTGTGCCAAGCTGGCTTCCGTACTGTATCTTGCAGCACCCGGCAAGGCAGACGGCTCCGTAAGCTTCCTGGAAGCGAACAGAGATCCGTCGTGGGTCATCGACGGTGGCGCAAAGAAGGCCGCCTGATCGCCGTCAGTTCTATGATTACCGCATGTCGAAATTATGTTGGGTAGTTGGACGAGCAGCCTCTGAGGCCATTATACCCACCCTGGTGACAGACTTGCCGCTTGATGCAATGTGGGCGGCACATTCGCACACCGCGATTACTTACGTTGGGGCAAATAGGTGATGATGGCGGCAATTTTGCCGAGGCTCAACATCGTGTTACAAGCCCATGGGGAGAGCTGCACCTCCATCGCCGATACTCTGCAAAGCTGCACCGGCCGCTTGAAAGCATCAATAGTACCGATTAGGCAAGCAATCCGACTTTGCAAGTGGCTCGACACGGAGGGACAGACAGTTGCAAGTTTGGGAGGGGTAGGCTCTCGGGCCAGGGTGTGTGTGCACAGATTCCCCCAGGAAGCAAGCAAGCAAAAGCAAGGGACAAGCAGACCCACAGATATGTCTGATTGCAGGGTGCCTCATAAAGGATGGTTGCAATAGCCGCTGGGTTAGTCTGGTTGATGTGTGCGAGGCCGGTACAAGTTTCGCGTCCTGATCGACGAAACATGTAGCGGAGATGACTTGGAGGCGATCGGCTGTGGCAGAGAAAAGAAACGGCCCGTCCTCAAGCTCTTGTATAGACGAGGTCTCCTGCAAACGAATGGATGGATGTCCTTTGCCCGCCTTTGCCGCATGCGGTCTCGCGAACAAACCAACTGCGACATCCCATGCGCTACAGGCGCTTGCTGGGGTCTGTGCCGTGCTGCTCTGAGGAATTCTGCCTTCTACGAGGGTGAGGAGGCCGGGAGTGAATGCCAAGCCCCCGATCCTGAGTTGTAGTCCGGCATGTCATGGCATGTCAGGGTGTAGGAGCCATGTGTCAGTGTAGCTATAAAATAGACTCCGTGTATCTGTGTATTTTCTTGCTCCCATTTCCACTTTTTTCTCTCGCTCCTCGCCCTCCCTCGTGAGCAAAACCGCTCGTTTAAGCCGGCCAAGACCCACATCTCCGCACTGTCGGGCCTGCCTCGGGTGTCCGACCCTCCCTTTGCAAGGTGACTCTGAAGGATTCGGGTTTCACCTGAGGCCCGGAGCCTTGAGGCTCTTCAGTTTGCTGCTGGAGGTCGCCCCTTGCAAGAAGACATGTTCAACTGTCGTATCTGACCTTCTCCTTGTGAACTTAATCCTGACAGCTGTAATGCTGGAAGTGCGAAGCCTGCGAGGGTGTGACGTATCTGTTGTGATCAAACAGACCGAGGCTGTTACTGATTGCGGGCCTCACCTTCACTCCTCACACCTATCTCTGTCCGCTCCCTGCTCTCACTTGTGCTCCAAGGCCTTCTAGCCAGTTCGGTACTCTTGAATCTGAATAGTATTCAATAGGGTGAGAGAGAATCAACGAACCCCTGCAGGAAAGACACGTCGAGCTCGATGGAAGGTAGGGAGCTGAGCTTCTTGCACTGACTGACGTAGGAAGCGGCGCCTTGCGTGGGCTTGCAAAGTGTGGAAGTGAGGATGCCCCCTTGGCACCACGATGATAGTTTGAACCAGCCCAGCTGCTCCAAAGTCAACGAGCCCGGCATCTCACGAATGCGTTTTTGATGTCAGGTTCAGTGCACCCCTGCTGTCCACACCTCTGACCCTGTTTTGCTGGCTGCGACGTTTGGTTCGAGACCTTTTGGCCTGTGTCTTTGCAGTGCCAGCTTGTTAGCAATGCAGTTCACATGGTAGCGCTTCGCAGCGGGGCCGTGCGCAGCAGAGCCCAGCACAGGTTGCCTGGTGTTGCCGGGGATGTTTGATGTTTGGGGCTGTGTTGTCGGGTCTCTCCCTGAGTTACTGCCTCAGTGAAGCTACCTGTCGTATCTGTAACGTACTGAGCACATAGTAGCCCTCGCCTGATGCGTCGAGTGCCAGTGACGAAAAACTGTAAAGGGTTACCTGGCCGCAGGCACAGCTTGGGAAGATGGTGGCCACGGCGAGACCGAGCTCCCGGGGCCGGAAGAGCGTGGCCAGGAATGAGGGGGCCGGGGACACGTGCGACTCTCAGCTTTGAGTCCCCAAGAAGGGGGTGAGCAACACGCAACACACTTGGCACAAGCAGATGCCTTACTTGTTGCACAACGGCTGAGCCCCTGCGATACTCTGAGGCTGGAGGAGAATGATGCCCTGAGGATGCGAATCCTGCGCGAGAGAGGCCGTCCTCTAAGCTTCACACTCGCTTCTTCTTGCAATGGCTGTTTGGCAATGTTTGGAAGGACGCTCAACCGGCTCAACCTGGCACTGTGTCTGCAAGCTACCGAATAGGAGGACTCTTGCTACAGGCTTATACTCATGAGCGGTGTAAACACTGGCCGCGACGATCCGCTGCGTGAAAAACTTCAGCAGTTTCAATTAGGCAACACAACGCCAGCGTGGACGATGACGATTTCGAAGCAGTGTTGCGCAAGGCACAGCTGCTTCGACGACGGGCGTGGTAGGGATACTACTACTACTACAAGCTACTACTACTACTACTACTACTACTACTACTACTACTACTACTACTACTACTACTACTACTACTACTACTACTACTTGCTGCTACTACTACTTCTACTACTACTGCTGCTGCTACTACTACTACTACTACTACTACTAGTAGGTAGTAGTAGTAGTAGTAGTAGTAGTAGTAGTAGTAGTAGTAGTAGTAGTAGTAGTAGTAGTAGTAGCAGGTTAGTAGTAGTAGTAGTAGTAGTAGTAGTAGTAGCAGTAGTAGTAGTAGTAGTAGTAGTAGTAGTAGTAGTAGTAGTAGTAGTAGTAGTAGTAGTAGTAGACGTAGTAGTCGTAGTAGTAGTAGTAGTAGTAGTCGTAGTCGTAGTCGTAGTCGTAGTAGTGGTACTAGTAGTAGTAGTAGTAGTAGTAGTAGTAGTAGTAGTAGTAGTAGTAGTAGTAGTAGTAGTAGTAGTAGTTAGTAGTAGTAGTAGTAGTAGTAGTAGTAGTAGTAGTAGTAGTAGTAGTAGTAGTAGTTGTAGTAGTAGTGATAGTAGTAGTGATAGTAGTAGTGATAGTAGTAGTGATAGTAGTAGTGATAGCAGTAGTAGCAGTAGTAGCAGTAGTAGTAGTAGTAGTAGTAGTAGCAGTAGTAGCAGCAGTAGCAGCAGCAGCAGGAGTAGGAGTAGGAGTAGGAGTAGGAGTAGGAGTAGGAGTAGGAGTAGGAGTAGTAGTAGTAGTAGTAGTAGAGGAGGTAGAGGTAGAGGTAGAGGAGGTAGAGGTAGAGGTAGAGGCAGAGGTAGAGGTAGAGGTAGAAGTAGGAGTAGGAGTAGAAGTAGAAGTAGAAGTAGTAGCAGCGGCGGTAGTAGTAGTAGTAGTAGTAGTAGTAGTAGCAGTAGGAGGAGTAGTAGTAGTTGTAGTTGTACGAAGAAATAGTACAACGGCAACAACAACGACACCAACAACACCACAACACCAACATCAACACCAATGCCGACATCAGATTTTTCTGGCCGGTTCACATGATGCCCTGTCCAGTTTTCCTAGAAGAATCGAAGCGCAACCTGCCACAGCTGCTAGGAAGGCGTCGGCTTGGGCGCGGACGTGTCCAGCCGCGGTGCAATGCTCAGTCTCAACAGCTTAGGGTCAGGGCTGGTCTTGAACCAAACCTCGGCGTTCTGGTGTTTGGAGATGAGTGTTTGAAGGATGATCGAATCACAGACATGGCAACAAGACGAAGAAGAATCGTGAAGTGCAATGCATTGCAACATATTGCAACGCGTGCACTCTGTTACATCAGTTGTTGGTAGATGGATGGAGCGGTTGAGGACGTCGGCTCAGTTGTGTTACTTTGTTGAACCTCAAAGCTTTGCGTGACTTGGTTCTTTCCGTAGCGGCAGAGCCCAGCGAAGAACTCCCTGGCTTTCAGGAAGCTTCGTCGAGAGGCCGAGCTTCGACCTCGTGCCGCGTCCACATTCAGACATGGCCAAGAGAATCTCATTCTTAGCATCGTCATTTTTACCTTTATTTTACCGCTACGCCGCCCGCCTCGGCACGTCAGGTGCAGGGGCCGGATGAAACGGCAAAGCCTTCTGTACCACTCAGGAAATCTGTTCAGGGGCTATATGAAGGGGCCGCCGTAGAGCTGCTTTTTCAGTGAGACATGTCAGCGTGCGGCAAGGAGCGACGAGGGGAGGGGAGGGGGGTAAATGAATGCAAAAAGCGGGTGTCGGGAACTTTCGGACTGCAGGGAGGAATTAGGTGGAGGGTACCTGAGGTAATCCCCAAGACGCCTGGGCCTCTGGCCTCGGCGGATTGTTATAATTCTTCTTGTTATTGCGGTGATTGCGATTGTCATGATTGTGATTTGTATGTGTCACTCAAGCACGGCAAGCATTGCTGGGATTGTCCTGGGCTGGCCAGAGGCCAGAGGTCCATAGAGTAGATGCTACAACCGACGTCAGCATAAGACTTTAAAGTCTCGCTTTTCGCGCCTTCTCCGGTCAATCCAGGTGATCGGCGTCGCGATAATGGTTAATGCAATCGTTTTGGGACTGGAGATCGACCTTTCGGAGCAACACGGCTGCAGCCATGTCTCAAAGCAACCTTTCGGTCATCTTTCCCGGAGTGTGCCCGAGGATCTTGAAGGATCCTCTGTTACGTACTGGTTGCGCTTTTTTTGGTATCCCCTGCGCCTAGTCAAGGAGAACAGACCCCATGGTTTGGATCGTGGCGGAGTGCCTCAGCTGTATTCGGCACACAGCAGCTTCACTCAACTTCGAGTCTTTGTAAGTAGTCTGCCCACGGCAAAGCTTGGGGGTAGGTCTGGCAGCATGCAACATCCAGTCACAGCCAGTTGTAGCTTCACAAGCCATCATGGATGCCTTCATGTGAGGAACATTTTCTGCTCCATTTGGATTGCAGAGACCCTGATAAAGTGGTGGTATCTACGACTGTCTTATTTCTGCGATGCGTGGAACTGGCTGGAGCCATGGCTGCACTGATCGAGAGCTTCACTTAGGATTTTTGTTGCTCGCTAAATTCGCTAAGCTGATGGAAAATCTCCCAGCGCAGAGAGGTCGTGCGCATCCGACCTTGCTTTCATGAAGCTGTGACTAAGGATCTCCTCTTGGTAATGCTTTCGATTTACGATGCTTGGATAGCCCCGCTCGCCTTGTCAAGTGACTCGGTCCTCGGTCGAGCCTGAAGATTAGAAGAGACATGAATTGCCAATCAACAAGATATTGATCTCCATCTTCACCGTGTGTGTTTCAGGGTTGCATCTCGTTTGTTAAGGTGAGACGCGGATGGATCTCGGATTTCTGCGTGTCGTTCGGGTCATGCGCCTTCTTCGTTTAGTGCGCCTTGCCAAAAAATTGGCTTGTTTGCCTATGTTCAATATTTGGGGCAGATATCACTGAAGCAAAAAGCCCTGGGCTCGCATCCTCGGTGAGCATGGAGAATGGAATGTCTTGCGCTACTCGCCTCAGAGCCCCGAGTCCGTGCTCGGTTCGCCACTGAGTAGCGGAGCCAAGGAAACTGATCCGAGCAGCCAGGTTGCAAGCGGCTACTGTAGATTCTAGATCCATCATGATCCGTCGAAAGACCAGTATCGACGAGACGCGCCGAGCATAGCGAGTGATTACGGTGATTGCAGCACACGAGCCGGCCACAACGATGCTGTAGTAATTGACCGGCGCATTGCCCGACCGAGACTCACTGCAGGTATGTAGGCTGTCTGCAACGAATCTGCAAATCAGTCTGTGCTAATCTTCAATAGAATCTTGCCCTCGAGGTGATCAAGATGTCGCGAAATCTTTGGCTCCTAGTGCAGGGCTTCACCGACACCTGGCAAGCTTCCAGGGGATACTGGGAGACGGTAGAAAAGAATAGGGCCAGCGTCTTCTTGCGTGTGACGGCAATCTGATCTGCACAGCGCAGAGATTAAGAGTCATGTGTTCCCTGATTGCTTGCCTGTCCTAGTCGGCTCCAGCCGTGCCAGGAATCCTTTAGCACGCTGAGCTGGGTTGCATTTCTCATCTTCTTTGTGATATATGCTGCTTGGCTATGACAAGTCGGCAGAACGCGAGCATGCAATGCAAGGGTCAACTGACGGCCATGACTGTTGCTTCACAGTTGAATATGCACTGGTTAGTTTGTGCCCCATCAGGGCAGTTTGCCATTGCTGCCGCACAGATTTTAGACGAATTGAATGCCATCAAGTCTTTCAGCTGTTTGGAGCATGAATCATGGCGGGGTTAGTGCCGTCAGTTTCTGCAGTGGCCGGGAACATGACGACAGGGGGTTGGCGATAGGAACAAACGCAAGATGCGAAACACGTCTAATAGGGAGGATCACAATGATGCTACTGCTAAGTTTTAGTGGAAGAGATTCATAATAGCAACGCCGGCCAACCAGCACCGAGGACAAGCCTCGGGCTAAGCCAAGCTCTGTGTAAGACCCTTCAGAAGGTGCTACTCCAGTGGATGTAATCAGGCAGACATGTTGTTCTGAGAATCGTCTTTCGGCAGCTAGATATGCATGGGGAGGAGGGACGAGCGGAGCCCTCCTACTAACATTATCAGCCACTCCCCAGCCTATCTACGCGTTTCAACGCCGGCTCGCGGTCTTGTTGACTATGCTCTTTTACTCCCTCGCAACCGACTCCCCTTCAAGCGAACCCTGAGATTCTGTTTGCACTAGCTCGGCCATTCACTGACACTGGTGGATTCCAATAGCGCTAGGATGATGGGACACCGCTTCAAATACCATGCAAAACGACGGCAGAACATGTGTCAATATTTGTAGCTTTTGCGTGTTTTTCGTTGGGGTGTTAGAGTGTAGTCTAGCACTCGTCTCTCGCAGTGGGTAGCAGTAGCAGTAGGATTAGAAGTTGTAGTCGTCCTCCTCCTCCTCCTGCTACTGCTGCTGGGCTGCGGCTACTGCCACGACAACAACTACTGCTACCTCGGCAAAGGAGTACTACCTTTTCTTCTACTTCAGTTCTAACTCTACATCTGCTTTGGTTCTGCTTCTACGTGTCCTGCGACTCCGACCATCTCCGACCCCTGCCCCTACACTTTCCGCTACCCCTAGCCTACCCCCACCAGTACCCCTACGACGACTGCGGCAACGACTGCTACTGCTACCATTGCTGCTGCTACGGCTACTGCTACTACCACCACGACCACTGCCGCTACGACGACCGGTGCTCGCAATAGCAACCTGACAAACGGAAATCGGCAACAACTCGACTCAGCGAGAGCCTGAGAGCCTCATAGTGTGGCCCTGCTATGACTAGCGACTTCGAGCGATTTCATGGCCAACATGAGGGACTATGGCGCTAGCGCTACGTCCACCCCAAAACACCAAAAACCTGAATGGAAGCAACAACTCAAGGGAATCCTGCGAAACCCTATGGGTTCCTCTCGCAACAGCACCCGAGAATGCGGCAAACAAACGAAGGGCCTTAACCCAGTGTCCACTGACTAAGGCATATAGCGCCTTCTTCAGCTCCTTGGGCGAAACAGTTTGGAAAGGCTGTGGAGCAAGAGGCAGCTTCTTGCAAGTCCGAACCGAAGAAGCTGAGGAATTGTAGTTGATTGTGGGAAAGATTTCTCTGGTTGGAGCGATTGCTCCATGTCCTGCGCTCAGTTTTTGGCGCCGCTGGCCTCCAACAGCCCGGCATAGGCATAGCGTGGTTTGCATCCCACCAGCCCGAGAATTCTCAGGATGTTTGGCACGATGCCGAAGTCAATGTATACGTTGTTCCAGGCCATCTCTGCAGTCTTCGGAAATCGCGTTGACACAGACATGTTTCAAGGCAGCTCCAGGACAGTAGGACCTGAACAGCCGGAAGATCCGCTGCAAGAGGGCAGCTGCAATTTTCTTTGTCAGGTCCTGACGCTTGAGTCATGGAGCCACTTGACTCCATTGGGCAAAAATCGCTGAGATGCCTGGACAACACACCTCTCTGTCCTCAGGTATGGTCATTTCCCGGCCCTTAATGGAAGTTCAGCCCATTCTGGTCGCATCCTGGCTGCCCACATGCGTGAATGGTTCAAAACGGCGTCAGGACCTTTGAATGCCGCACCATGACTGTGCGAAGATAGGCCAGGATGTTGAGTCTTTCGAAGATCCAGGTAATGGTGTAACAGTGCCACATGCCTTCATTCCTATAGATCACCTGAGGTGCCGATCATCTCCTTTATTTTGCTGACGACCTTTGGAACACTGCCACTTGGATCGATTCGGTGCAATGAATTGCTCTGGTAATCGCGGAGCAGTCGCCAGACTTTGACGGCGGAGAGAGGATAGACGACGCTTCACGGTTGTTCCTGGCTGGTAGCTACTGTGTAGAGTGTCCGTGTTTTCGGCTTCCCGTCCCAGCATCTCAACAAGCCGCGGCTTTTGATCGAGAGGATTATTCAAAGCTAAGAAATGCAAGCCAGGAACATCATTGTCGGCGTCGTCGTGGAGAATACGCCACCTGGACAGGAAGGCTGTCACAGTCGAGATCTTCGATGCCAACTTCAAGCCCATGCCGACCTGAGCACAAGAACTGAGGCTCAGTGCTGCAAAGCAGAATTTGGACCTGCAGAACAAACGAGCTGAAAAGCAAGTTATCAAGGACCGCAGTTGCAGGTCCTGCCAGACGAAAGTCAGCTCAAGATTCGCCACACTCTCCGTCTTCCGGCTACGGAAACGGCCCATCTCACCTTCCTTTCTCTCCATTCGAGCAAAGGTAAAGTTAAGGGCCATTTAGCAGATTCTACAAACCTTCAAGAGGACACTTAAAAGGAACCTTGTCCAATTGTTAAGGCCCCTACACTAAACCCTTGTCATGGCATCCTTTCCGGCCCGCTAAGCCCCCCTGCTTGGGTTGGAGTTGACAACAAGAAAAACAGGACAGCCCACTTCGCAGAAACAACAGCTTCGGACCAGGAGCTGGAGCTTCTTCGGACAGTTTTCGAGGAGGCGGACACGGACGGATGCTCGCACATATTGCGGTCGTTTTTGATAGTCGCAAGCACATCATCCAGTTGCCAATCCCAGCGAGCGTGTCGTTTAAGCTTGAAGAATATCGGGTGGCCGGAAGCCCGGAAGGTTTCGAAGGCAGCGATATTAGAAGCAATTCGAAGGCTGCGACGGTGCATGGACTCTTTCGAAGTTTTGTTCTGCACTTTCGATAAGGAAGCGGCACAATGGACAAGGAGGAGTTCATTGAAATCTGCAGTACAGCAAGTATCAGGCGCATGATGGTTGAAGTCCCGATGGGTCGGGACAAAGTCTTTGTCCCGTCAGAGCCAATTGGGGCTGGGGTTTGGACCACTCTCGATGCTTCAGCCACTGAATCTGGGACGGCGTAGCTGTTATCGAACGCATGGCATGTCGAAAAATCTCGGAAAGTCACTTGCCTAGCTTCGTACGAGTCCAGAGACAACTGTATCCCTTCATGCAAACACGGTAGTGCATCCGCAGACTTCTGTCCCTCGACAGCTAGAGCATCATCCACTTAGCTTAGACGGTGACTCCGGGCCGAAACATTGCAAAGCTTGCGCTGAAGACCGAACTTCAGAGGGCACGGTATATCATAATTTACTCGGGTACATCATATCACATTACGGTACGTTATCGTATATTGTAAGTTTCGTGGTATAACTAGGTCGAAAGCCTCAAATCTTTCCCGAGCGGAGGCGCGCGCTCCAACGAATGGGCGTGCCTCTGGACCAGGCAGAGACGTTGTTCGACATCATCGATTCCAGCAGGACGGGCGAGGCTGGCATTTCTCTCTGGGCGTGCTGTTTTAGCCTTTGGTTTTCCCATTCGGGTTCTGCTTCTAGTTGGACTGCCCAACAGGATTCCGACAATGTTTGCCGTTATTTCAGTGCCTGTGTTGTGAGAAGCAGTTGCAGGCTTGCGGGTAACTACGGGTCCCGTTGACAAGCCCGAGGTATCACGTTGTCACAACAGAGTTGATGCCCATAATTCATGATCAAATCATCAGGTTCTACACATTCTTGTAACTCGACACCTGGGAAAGGTAACTTTCGCTGGCTTCATCGAGGGAGTAAAAAAGGTGCCTTGGATTGAATGGAGAGCATTGCTTGTAGCTGAAGCAGAAACTGAGCCAGCTCGTCTGTAGTCCTTGGTTGCCCAGTAGTACCCTTTAGCACTTTTTCCCTTTTCGGTTCCCTTATTGAACCAAAAAGCAGAACAAAGGTTACCCTTATTATCAAGAGGCCACTGGGGAACCTGGAGCCTCTGCCAGCTTCAGGTTCGTGGGGCTCCAACAAGCCTGGACATGAAGGCGCAAGGGCAAAAGCTCAGCTGCGAGGTGTGGTCAGTTCATGGCATGCTTAAAATGTGTAAAGGGCTAAGGGCTGAGTTTCAGGGTCTTCAGGGAGAATGCAAGAAGGAAGTGGCACCGATGCGATCTGCTAGCTGCTAGAATAATAGACAGATTTGCACACATCAGTGGAAGGGGAAGGGAAGTAGGTGAACGTATAGATTGCATAGACGAAGCAGGATCTCTTGGGCACTTTCCAATCATCAATATAGGTATATATGTATACATATTTATTTTGATTTTTTCAGATGTGTGCATGCAGACATTTAAACGCACACACACACACATATATATATATATATATATGTATATATATATGTATATACATGACTCATATGTCTAGGCACTGTATGACTAGATATGGGAGATCTATGTCTGAAACCATGTTTTCTTGATGCACGATACACCCGATTCTTTTCGCATTCTTTCCAGAATCTCGGGCCGCTTCACCCATTGATGTCAATGCGGCGTTTGCAAACATTTTTGTAGCGGATGTAGAAAACTGGGGAGAAGGAAAGACCACCGACGACCGAAGTCCTCAGCCCTGCAAGCGCTGGCCAGACCATGATGGTGGCCGTGCGTAATATCTACAAGCAGCAGGTGAGGCTGGAGAAGGTGCAAATCCGAGATCGGCTGAGTGCGCATGCAACGGCTATAGCCGCAGTTACGCAGACTCGCGATCTTTGGAGATTTGGAGGATTCGCAGAACCTCCAAGTGGTCTTGCTGGATCTGATTGAGGACCCCAGCATTACCGAACGATTGTGGCCTGCCCTTGATGTCCAAATAGCACCAAGAGGTGTCTGGTCTGTCCAGGGTGGGCCGGGCAGGAAGCGCAGCGAAACGGAAACATCATCCGGCTGCCGGCAAAGGAGGACCTCGAGAACCTGCTTGTGGTGCCTCGACCCAAGCGTCCTTGCAGGGTCAGAAACTCCGGGGAAGCACGCGATTGATCAACGCTTTTTGACTCGATGTGGGGGCGTGTAGCATCGATGGCAACTCTGATATGCAGTTGAGGTCACTGATTCGGAGGAGATAAATGGACATCGAGTCACATGTAAAGATGTTCCCTTTCCTGGCTTCTCGGGAAAAGTGCGAGCCAAGGAGAAGCACAAGCTGATGTCGCAGCAGTCCTTCTCCAGCATCAAGTCCCCATTGAGCCAAGAATCGACTGCCTCGGCCAGACCGTCATTGTTCGGGAAAGTTCATGCTACTCGAACCTCCGTACAGCTTCAGGACTGCATGGGGAGCTGAACTTTGTTCCAGCAATATCCAGGGAGGTCACATGTCAGGGCATCACATGTTCTGAGCCTTTGCATGATGCACCGGCAAGGTCTTCAACGTATTGTGATATCATCACCCTAAGTGGAACACGAAGCGGTGATTGTTTTGCAGGAGGCTCAGGCACAGGGCGGAAATTCACTGCATCACGAATCCTCTTACGAAGAAGTGCCGGTGGCAGCCGCTGTGGAGGACAACTTGGGCTGGGGGGTCTTCAGACGGTTCCGAAACATAAGCCGGTATTCTGGCTCCGTCCGGTTCGAAGCGTGGCCGATCGGTTCCACACTGTTCTGCATGACCAGGTTTCTTCAGAGTACTGAAGCGACATAACTGCCACAGAGGAACGATTTGGGTTGTGCAGGAGTCAGACAGCCAGCATGCGAATCAGCAGTTGACAATTCTTGTAAAATGGGAGAATGAAAATTACGGAGCAGTCGTCTTTCTACCATGAAGGAGGCGGAGCCCATGGACATCGGACCGACTTATGCGGAAGAGCAGCCGATATCGCTGTCGAAGAGTGATGAAGCTTGGCTCGCATTTGCCAGAGTAGATTCTCTGCCCCGTCAACTATCAGCTATGCGAAACTCCTAGCTGTGTGAGATGTTCAGTGGTTGAAGACGGTTGAAGAAGCTTGCCAGGGTGAAATGTCCATCACCCCTGTGGCCATGCGAGAGACCTTGCCAAACGCCGTTTCGGAGGACGAGGAGCCGGTTTCTGCAACCCTTACGTGAACTTCCTTCTGAGCTGAGTGCATTTTGCGGTTTGACCCGACACGGCTCAAGCTTTCTTTCAAGAGTTGTGTTTGCCAGGAAATACGGTGCCAGTGTTCATGCCAAGTTCTGCCAGGACTTCTTGGGGGCCGGCCATACTGTGCAAGAAGAGGCCCCTCATTTCGAGATTTGCTCAAGTAAGGTTTGGCAGGATTGCATTGGGTAAGGTGCTGCAAGCAGCTGGTGAGACCAGGTATGTGAACAAGTCGCAGACTTGCCCGACAGCTTTGCCTCCAACTGGGAAAGGTGTTCCGATGTGCCGGAGAAGAGTTGCCTTACTCAGGTTCTCAGCAGTGGCAGCAAAGACCGGGCATCAGAGGCCCGGTTTGCGCCGCGGCCGACTTCCCCCTTGAGCCGCTAGTTCTGCATGGGCGTGGGTCTGTCACGATTTCGTGGCACGGATGTAATGTGGCCCTGATCTTTTGTCAGAGGATGCAAGGACCATGTGGAACGTCAGTCTCCGGCACTTCGGAAGGTACATGTGCAGGCTGAGGCCCTTTTCATTCTACCACGCCCGCCTGAACCCAAACCTCCATGAGAAAATGGCAAAGCAAGAATACTGTTCGGAGGGGAGTTTCCTGTCTTGGCGACAGGGAGCCGGGCCATCTCCAAAAAGAGAAAGTGAAGCTTCGCGAGACTAAGAGGAGGCGTGGCTGTCACCTCCCACCTTCCAACCTACTGGCAAGTCTAAAGACGTCCTAAGTTCCCTCCAAGGTTACCCAAATCGCATGAAGCATATCTCAATACGATGAAAGAGGCAGGTGCCTGCTATATGTCGGCACGGTCTGCTGCTTAAGGGGCGGCTCACTTTCTCATGAGGGGCCTAAGGGGTGGTGCTGCCTGGAGTAGACTCTCTGCATGCAACGGCAGAGAGAGAGAGAGAGAGAGAGGTATCAACTGGGGGAATTGATGTTTCTTTCACGCCCCACCGAAAGCCCCATAACACATGGAGGGCCCATGAGGCCGGGGGGCCTAACCCGCCCCTTATGCCCTGCTGAAGAAGAGAGAGAGGTAGCGACTGCTGTGCAGAGCCAGCACGGCCAAGCTTACAAACAGGAGAAGGAGTACAAGCACCAGCAGGCAGCTCCCGCCGACAGCCATTACCCTGCCGAACAACAGCAAAAGCCATACCCGCCAGCAGCACCAGCCGCAGTGGCAGCAGGAGCAGCGCCAATGGCAACAGCAACATACTAAAATAAGTTAGGATAATCGTTCGTATAGTGCAGTTCCAGGCAAGTTTGCCATTGAGTTTTGGGCAAAGTCTCACGGCCAAAACTATCACTACCAACGGCGGCAGGAACAAGAACAAGGAGGCAGCAACAACAACAGAACAGCGGCAGCAGCGGCAGCAACAAGAACAGCAGCCGAACCACCCGAGTCAGAAGCAAAAAGCCAACAGTTTCCAGCATCCAGCAGTTGTTCCTCCATCAGTACTGCTCATGGCTGAGGCGATCAAGGGGGAGAGCGACAGCTACGTGCAGTCGTCAAGCGGTCGTACTCGCAAGAGAGGCCACTTTGGCACTTTCAGGGGTTTCCCAGTGTTGATCTTCGGAATTGGCTGATTGCATGTGTGGATAAGCAGGTCGTGGCAGGTCCGACCGTTGAAAACATCAAACCAACGATAAACTTCAAACCTTCTGTGCTGGATAACCGATCCGTCGTAGCTAGCAAGGACTACAGAGAGATTTATATATATATATATATATATATACATACACACACACACACACATATATATATATATATATGTATACCCGATGGTCAGCGATGGTTTGTCTCCTATCCCTTGCAAGAGCATCGTCAGGCTTTCTGTCGTGCTGCGTGCCAAGCACTTGCCTTCGAGAGAGGAGCAAGAAAGGCTGGGCTAGCGAGGGTGCAATCTCGAGGGTTTAACTCACAGCGTACATTGCGTCGCCATGGTTTTGCTTGTCCTTCTTCAAAACCTGCTGTCCTGTGGACTCTGTGATGCGATACTTACGATCTGTAATATGGTAAATACTGATTGCACGAGGACCGGCCCAGTCAATATGCGCTCAACACGTCCTTGCAGTCGCTCATTGCTGTCGTTCTTCCAGCATAGACACCCGACAATGTCATCATCATCGTCGTCAGGACCAGCACCCTCAGAATTGTCATCATTGCGGTCACCGTCATCGCCATCATCGCTGCCATCATCATCTCCGGCATCAAATCATCATTATCATCACCACTTCCGTCGTGGCAATCTGATTGCCATCACCCACATGACTAGATGTAGACAAGATGCACAGTTCGTTGTTCACTGCTCTCTTCGACAAGAGCACAGTTTCAATGAAACTGCATTGTGCTGCCCGGTGTCGTGATGATGATGTTGTAGAGCCCCAGCCCTTGTGGCTTGAAACGGAGGGGGCGGGGTGAGGCTCTGAAGTATTTCAGGGCAGCTTCGGTCGAGGTGGGGGTTCAGACCTGGGGGGTGGGGGTCGGGCTTGAAATTTCAGGGCTGTCCTGGGATAGCGACTCATCTTCCATTTCAAGAGAGTTGCCGTTCGCATCCGCAGGACACCGGCTTAGTGCGCTCTCAAGGGCCTTCAGACTAGCTTTGCAACACCATATGGCCATTCGATGCTAGTAATTACTATAATCAAAGGCTGTGAGCAACGTGCCTATTTGTTTGTTGGCTTCTTGGTAAGGGATGGTAAGGGCGCCAGTGTATTTCTCAAGCGGGGCTCCGGTAACCTCGTTTTTAAGGCTGCTACTATATTTTTATGAGAAATCTACTAAATTCCTCCTATGCGAGGCTAGGTGGCCTCCTCTATTGGGCTGCTACTAGATTTCTATTAGAAATCTACTAAATTACCACTAGTCTTTCCCGCAAGCACGGCCGTGGCCACAACCCTTTCCCCAGCAGTTTCCTGCTTGCCGCCCAACCCTTTCCCCAGGTACTTCAAGCACATTTTCGAGTGCCGAAATTTTCACTGCATGGACAGACCGCGTACCCAAGCCTACCTACCTCCCCCTCCGAGCACCCCTGCTGAAATTTCACGGAACCTTCACCCCCCCTAGGCTCTATTCTGTTTCATGCGGGTGGCTGAAACGGATTCAGCCTTAGAAGGGGGCGGGGGCCTCAGACCCCCCCCCCCGACAAGGGGCTACTGATGATGTTGTTGGTGATTTTGCCGTGGTGATGATGGTGATGATGCTCCGGCTGGTGATGATGTTGATGAGGATGATGTTGGTGATGCTGATGAGAAACATCGTGATGATGATGGTGATCTGGTGCAGGCATCAATTCCGTGGCCAAGTGGGTCACTACTCTGCTTGCTCGGCCGTTGTGTTCGTGCATGGCATTTTCGCTGTTCGGGCGGACATGTCCAAAACCAGGAGGAGTGCAGAAGTAGCTCATCAATTAGCCACTGTCGCGAACGTGCCACTGTCGTGAACGTTGCGGCCTTTCTCCACAGCAAGGCTCTTGCTTTTGCATTTCGTGCGGTGAAGTGGTGCATCCTCCAAACATCATCTTCTCGGTCGTGGCCGGAATCGTGGAGCAGAGTTGGGGTGCCTCCCGAACCTCCGACTTCGTTTCGTTGATAGTTCAAACAGGCGCACCAGCCCTGTGAGAGTGAAGCTCACGGACAAGCAGCAACTTGGAAAGCAGACTTTGTCGTGAGGTTGCATTATCACTGGCAGTATCAGAAGGGGCAGTAGCGTGGTGACGTCCGTGTACTCGGATTAATGCTTCCAGCAGTGGCTTTGCTTCAAGGAGTGCTTGTGGAGCCACGCATGTTTTGCATCACGTCAACCCAACTGCGCAAGACAACATCCTTACCTCTATTCAGCCTCAAGCACAGCTGCAACATCCCGCGACAACTAGTGGTAAAGAGCCCAGCCTAGACACCGAGGCTCCTGTCGACCGCCTAGTCGAAGGAGAACTGAATGTTTCGGTGCTCAGTTGTCGTAGTTGGCAGCATGCAAGCTTCTATGCTGTTCAAAGTCGTTTCGCCGCTAGCCAAGTCACAGTCTACTCAGACCCACTGCCGATTGACAGTTTAGAGCATCACATGAAGAGGCGAGCTATCGGCATGAAACAGCGAATTCAGAAAGTCCCTGCCGCGTGTCTCACGTCTGATGCCGAAGGTGGCAGTAGTCCCAACTGGCCCTCGCAAGATCCAGCCGGACGACGTGCGGCGTTTGCACCGACCAGAGTACATGACACCGAAGGCTACTTTCAGTCAAGCTCCAATCTTCCAACCCGCAATTGTCAGCCAGGAAAATCAGTACAACGGAGAAACTGCATTGCATCGGAATTCACTTCATAGTTTTCGAGATTCGTGAAACTGCGCTGCTCAAGGCAGGCGCAAGTCCACAGTGCTTTGTGCGGAATGATTCCAGCTGCTGTGGCATAGCTGGCATGGGCATGCCAAGCATTTCCATGCTGTTACTGTTGATGACGAGGTAGATGGCTCAATGAAGCTGATCAAAGGTTCGGAGCTTTCAAATGTTTCGAAAGAAAGGTCATGTGTGACTAAACTAAAGCCCACAGTCAAGAGTGTGTAGCTTCGATCAGTTGGGACGCTCCTCGAATTGCTGAGATAATGTCCCACTGTATGCAGAAGTCTGCAGACAGTTTCGCCGCTTCTGCGGCATACTCTCAATAAGACGGCCTTGCAGTGATCTGCGGCAATATATCTTTCTTGCGGTCGGCAGAGCTCCGCAAAGACCACCTTGGTCCGCGGGCCTCACGGTGGGCAGCTCTGCCTCGACTCGCTGTCATGCTTGGCCGTTGGGGCAGCCATTCCGGTCTCTTCATCTTCTTAGTTTTCGATGGTTCCATGATATCATGCAGAATAGATTTTACAACAATGGATGTAATTGGTGTGTACATTATATATATATACATACATATATATATATATATATATATAATGTTTCCTGCCTTGAAAGAGACCTGATAGGGTGCTCGTGAGAACGCACGGACGCTCCAGCGAGGAGCGGTGCAAAGCTCCTTTAATGAGGGCACGGGGGTGAAAGCAGGCATCTGTCGTTTACAGTCTACGCCATTACGCACGGATCAAGGTCTTTGCTATTGCCGAAGCGCCTTCTTTCCCTCTGCCCAGCACGTCGTTCATACTAGAGGTGTCTCGCCGTGAGTTCTGTCGCCATGAAACGAAGCTGCCCAACCACCGTACAGCCGGGATAACTACGTGACGGGGTCGACGTAACCTGTCCTTACAGTACGACACCCTGAAGTGAACAGCGATATTGACTATAGTAATAACAGCAACAATAGTAACACCAGTAACACTGGTAATAATCGTAACACCAGTAACACTATTAAAACTCATAATAGTAATAATAACAGTACTCATAAGAAATAAGTATAAGGTTCTTTTACGGCAATCCGGCCACTGTTTTTTAAGCGGCCTGCAGGTCCGCATCTGTGCAGTGGTAATAGAGGGCAGAAGTCGTGTTGAACCTTGTTGACGCCTAAATGCCAATCCGGCGGTTCTTGAGCTTATGCAGCTCTAGATATGCAACCATATTGAAACAACATTATTGAGAATGGCGTGATATCATTTCTTTTTGCTTTCTTCGTAGATGACGTGTGTCCTTGCTGGTCGTTCCGTTCTCTGGGAGGCTACTTTTGCCTTGCCGACGTCTGGAGATGGGCGACTTCCTGCTTGTCAAGTTGGAGCAGGAGGCTGCAACACTTGGTAGACTTGTCAGACCGGGTAGAAGGTTTAGAGACTGAATGTTTAGGGTCAACATGTAAGCTGTCCTGGCGTGACGTCGTAAGCCAGCTGAAAAACGGTCATTGTGTAGAGGTACTGACAGTGGGGCTAGTGAGTTGGGTTTTTGAACATAGGTTCGTTTTGCCGACAAGGCTTCAGACAGTCCAGTGGTTCTTGCCAGTCGGGCAAGGCCACCCAGCTCCGAGCACAAGAAGATAGAAGGGCTTGTGCTTCTTTGCACATGGGTACTTTAAGAACCTCACATGCTTCAGTCTGAGCGTGAGAGCACCCGCCCTGATCTGGGATCACTGGGCCCTGCGTGAGGAACCCTGGAAGGAACCCTTAAAGAAAACCGCAAGATCCTTTAGTACCCTTACAGGCCGAGGCATCTTCGTCTGTCAGGACGAGCAAGGCCGACCCGAAATGCCTGGGACTGGTAGATCGTGGTGAGAGTACAACCACAGGGTAGAGTGATCAGAGCTTAACAGCACAGCACTTGTAACTCACTGTTACTTCTGACGGCGATACGTGCCAGAAGATTGCAGCACATTTTTCGAGTTGTGATGCGGTTCGTGCGTGGTGGTTGGCTTTTGAGGAGTGGCTAGGACACGTGTCAGCATATGTGATGCGTTCATACTATGGGGAGCAGATGACATCAGTGTTCCACCCCCGAAAAGTTTATTCTGCAGGTTTCTCTCTGCAGAATGTTAACAGAAGTTTCTTGGAAGGTGCATGGGCATCGCCTACTGTGAAACCTGATGGTTCAGGTGATGCCAGATGGACGCCATGGCCTCAGAAGTACGGACATCGGAGTGCAGACCGCCGTGCGCACGACTTGTTGTGTTGCCCACGCCTTCATTTTTTGCAGCATCTGGGGTTCCACAACATGCCGGGTTCATAGTTTACACTGACTCTTGAGGCGTGAAGAACGCCTCACCTAAACGCTTTCGGAAGGTTCCGCCCAAGAAATAGACATGCGACATGCATCCCGACATTCAGGCGATGAGTTGAACAGCTTCCTGCAAACGCCGCATCCTCAGAAGAAGGGCAGGCACTGATCTGAAGTGATTGCCAGCAATCCATTGACTGTGGCCCCCCACGGCACGGATTTAACGTGTCCCGGCACTGATTGATGTCTCGTCAGCGTGTAACTTTGTAGTGTACAGGCACGGCGTGCAGTAGGGGAGGGTTGGCGGGCCTGGGGCTGAACCCGATAACCATGCGAAGAATCTCGACGTGCAATGAGGGAAGGATCAATCTTCACTTAATGCCGAACAACCGCCCCACAGCCATCAAGAGCATAGAACTCACCCACTCTGCAAAAGAGGGAAAATCAGGCCAGCAAGGGGCCAGAGATCGCGAGGGTTTTCTGAAAGAGAGACATACATACAGCGAGTGATATACACCGTGCGTGTGCATTGCAGAGTCTGTATGGCGGGATGCTCAACTGCTTCTGCAAGTGCAGTCAATGCAAACTCCGGCACGGGTCCTGAATGAGCCGGGAGCTCCCTACAACCCAAGACCTCCAACAGTATGGAATATAGAGTGTGTGCTATATAAATATAAAGTATATCTAAATAGATAAATGAATATATATATATATGTGTACACACACACACTAGAAACTTATATGTATAGAGATATGTATGTATGTGTACAGTCATACGGAAAATTCAGAAAGCCCTGAGGCCCTCCAGTCAGCAGCCCAGCTTCGATGGGCAGCGAGGATTGGAGAGGGTTCGGTTCTGGGCTTGGGAAATTAGGCGTATGTTGTGTGATGATATATTCAGACATAGAGCTGATGGGATTGACGTTTTGGTAGGGCATTTGCGAGATTTCACGTAGCTTTCGGATCTCTGTTGAACGCCACCTGCACCAGAAGGATCGCGACCAGGTCTCGATCATTCGATTGGGCAGCAGTTTCTAGCAGTCTCATCGAGTGACTTGTGCATACCCAACACAACACGTGCTTGGTGGAGAAGAAGATAGATAGCCAAACGGACGGCAAGCACTCAGGCCTCCCGCCGGCCGAGGAGGCATCAAGCTGAGCTGACGTACATGGGTTTCAAAATTCAACAGCATCACATTGTAAAGTGGACGGTGGTGCTTGCAGGAGTGCTTCCAGGGACTTGGGGCCAACAAAATTGAGAACCCTTTGCTTTCAGTGTTGCCTTCTCGCTGTGACATTTCGCATGCAGATAGACCTTGAAAACCAAATGCTGATAGAGATAATGATATAGCTGTATATGTATATATATATATATATATACACATGTGTATATAATTACTTTACTTGTATCTATCTGTATAAAATTAGTTATATATATATATATATGTATATATACATGTATATATATATATAGATATGGAATTTCCTTGTGGTGAGACGCTGCAAAGGCTGGTGCGGCCATAGAGCAGACAATCGCCACAAAGCCTGGCGCTGCTTCCTCAGGCGCAGGTACATGAAGTCATGCAGTCCAATGGCGTACACGAAAGATCGGTTGATAAGGCTTATCTGTGCCCAACTCGCCGATGGGTGCTGGTGCGGAAACCAAGCTGTTCATGTGACATCATGTGACAGCAACGCAGGAGGGAACATGGGGCGCACGAAGCAGTCAGGAACACTCAGTCTGGAGAACAGTTTAGTTCCTTGATTCCACTACTAAACCATACTGTACTATCCTGTACTATACTACACTATACCGTGCTATACTATACTATAATGTCTCATGCTAGTGGTATTGTAATGACATCAAACCATGGTCGCCTCCAGAAACGCGAGGTGACCACTTTCGACTCTGGCAGGTCGCCTAGATTTGGACTCTTCTTCTGAGTTCTTGTTGGGCTTATAATTTAAGTTACCATATTAAAAGGTTTCTTTACTGTAAGGGATCTATAAGGGTTCTGTGTAAGGGTTTAGGGTGTAAGTTACCAGAACAGGAATCTATAGTAAATAATATGGTTTCTTTATAATGGTAACTTAAATTAGACTCCTAAGCAAAAACCCAGTGTTCCTCCCCCACATTCCTCAATGGCCTTTGTTGTAAGTGTTTTGAGGAATGGACGAGTCCTTCACGCTGAAGGCAAGGGCTTTGTGGGTTCAGGGTTTTGCACGGAGATGCTTCCGTCGAAGCTGAAGGTCTGCCTTGGAATCGCCGAACACCTTGTCGATGATGGGCAATGATGGCCCATGCCAAGCGAGGCAAAAGACAGAGTGCAGCATCGATGCGTCGGTGGCGATGGTTTAACAGTTTCTGCGTGCAGACAGCCTACCTCAAAAAGTGACGTAAGTGGGGATTAAGGGACAGCCTGACAAGCTGCGATGATCACTTGAACTATCAAGCAAGCCATCGCATCAACAGTCGGCCCTGCGGTTTCGTCATGAGCGGTTCTCAAACATGACGCATGTCTCATCACATGGGTGATGGCTTGTGCTTGCCTTCCTCTCAAGCCGCTTATGGCCGCATGGGCCGCATGAACATGTGTCGGAGGTGCCCAATGTCTTAGTCCAGCGATTCCCATGGCAGCTCGCCATGCAGCTGCATGTAGTTCGAGAGCCAGCGTGGGGCCCTGAAGCAGTGGATGTAAATGCTTCGAAGTTGTAAAGCCATTACCCTGTTGACATGCTGCAGACACCGGGCTCGCAGAGCCAGCGAAGCCATGCTTAGCAGAGACGTGACATTTCAAAAAAACTCATGCTGCTCGACGATGGCACCTAGCTGATGGTTCTCCCATGAGGCTACCCGGGAGACCATGTGGCCCCCACGCGCGGCTCTTGACATTGACTTCCCAACAGGATTGAATATGTCTCATAAGGGTTACGGCTCCTCTTGTTGCAAGTGCCAAGGTGCTTGCCACGACGGCCGGCTCTCATGGCTCCATGGCTTGGGTCGGGCGCCCAGAGCCCCCAGCATGAAGGACATGTTGGCTTCCGTCAGCCTGTTGAAAGGGGCGGGCCCAAAGCCCCACCTTGAAGTGTCAGACGGACACTTGACATGAATGGAACATGGAAAAGGTCACCTCAAGCAGCCGCTGTCTTGAATCTGCCGGTTCGAGATGGTTCGACTCTACTGGTAGGTGCAGTGTTTAGCACCAGGAGTCAAGAAGGCTGAATAACGTGTTTCGGTGTATTGTGGCTCGCAACCGCTGAGCTGTCTATCCTGAGGCATGGCCATGCTGTTGTGCTCATCCTCGGCGTTTATGTGCTATCCTGAGTGCCCTCCCAACTGATCCTTTGCTGGTCCTGCAAGAAGAAATCAAGGGAGAATTGCTACCTTCTCGGATATCCTTGACACGACTTTCTCGTTTAGGCGAGATCAGACAGCGATCGAACTGCCAGCCTGCAGCATTTGTGTCTTGTCGGCTCGCTCGGTCAACTCTCGTGACCCGTCGTCCCCATGCGTGGAGGTACTCCTTCTCCTGGTGTGACAACACCACAGAGGCTGTTCGGACTTGGAGCAATGGCGGGTCAGGAATCTGAGACGGAGAAACCAAAGCGTCCGGGCTAACTAACTTGAATCGTAGTCGTAGTCTTTGGAATGTCCTCATGGCCCTTCACCAAGTTTGTTTTCAGCAGTGCCTGTGTTAGACGGCCGCAGAGTATCGCAATTGAGCTCCGGTGCACACGGATCAACCAAACGAGCTGTTGTGCACATCTGCTCGTTGTGTCGAGCTTCTCTTGCCTCGGTGCGGATCGTCCCGTGGTTACTAGTCCACTTCCCAACTGTCGCAGTGAATGGTCTCAGATACCGACGCGTCGCACCCGAAAGCTTCGAATTCATGTGGGAGTTTCGAAAATTAGGTACCTTATTTTGGGGTCCTTGTAATCATGATTTTTTTTGGGTGCTACATTCGGGCCCCCTGCTTTCGGATACTCCCACGTACCAGGCAGGTAAAGCTGCCAAGTCCCGGTCCTAAACATTCAAGTGCTCAAGGCTCTTGAGGTCGAAGCCCAAAAATGGCTTGGCCCATGAAGTCCAAGGAGCTAACCGAGCATCATGGAAGTTGGCGCCGTAGAAGCTCTAAAGGCCATATTGTACTCCATAGTGTTTGTCAGATGCTTCGCCTGGGACGGTAAGCAGCCGCCATGAAGGATCCCAGCCGTGCTTGGAAGTCGGAATCCATGCAGCAGTCAGCGTTAAACCGGAAGCAACGTTACAGCAACTAGGCTTGAGCTCCAGCACGCGCGAGCCATGGCTTCTGGGCTCTTTAACTTGGGGCCTTGGTGCAAATCGAAGGCTGGTCGTCCATCAAAGTCGCCCGCGGCGTTTGAGGCGGAGCTGGGCCAGGCTGCCTTGAACCTCGTAGACCTGACTCAACGAATGACGGATCCTGGCGCAGCCGCACCCTGCTCTGGGGGCAGTTGACTTTCGGAGACCTCGTCCGGGCCGGCCTCTCCTCCGCGCCGCAGGGTTCGCATCGCGGTTCGACCCCAGCCCTACAGCGCCGAAGGAAGGACCACACCAGGGCGGTGCACCTCTTCCTGGCCACGCTCCGGAGCTTATGAAGGACCACCGGCTGTCCTTGGCGTTGTCTACGCACAGGGTAATGCACCACTTTCCGGTGCTAAAGACCCTTTCGAAGGAGGCCCGCCAGCTCTAAGAGCGATGGCGCGCTGCCTCCGCCTCCGACGAACAAGGAGATTTACTAATTAATTACCTCGCCAGGCAGAGCCCGAACAGCTGGTTTAGCGTGGGCCGCATCGGTGGCGAGAACGTCTGAGCCAGGGCACAAATACAGGCACGCACGGTAGCCCTAACTTGCTGCAACAAATTTATCCCTGAAGCCTCTGAGACTCCATCCTGTCACCATGGAAGACGTTGTCCTGGATGTGGCCTTGGCCACCTGTAGCACACCTTCGAAGAGTGGCTGCAGTGCCGGAGCCACTTCAGACGGGAGTTTGCCAAACTGGCCTGCAGGATTTTGGCAAACTTCCGTCTAAGTGGTTGGCACCGACACTGCAGCCACTTCGGAACTGCCACAGCGCTCCAGGGCTGTCTTTTTCAAGTCTAGCCCCGCAAGCGACAACCCTGTCGTCCCACTCATGTGGACTCCCACTCAGTAATCAGTAAGTATCCTTGCAATAGACTCCATGCAGCCAGCATCGATGCACTGAATGTCAAGAGCACCAGCTGCTGTGGTTGTCTACGTGAGTGGGACGAAGCTCATGCTTAGGATCTGGATGGTGCCATCTTAATGTAAGCTTTTGATTAGTGCGGCCGGCCACCCCCCCAGTTTTCCGTGGGCTCGGCCGGCCGAGGAAGCCTACGCCACGCCCGGGCGTGGAGGACGAGTAGTGCAGGCGGCCGGGAAAACTTTGCATCATTGGGTCCAAAGGGCCTGCTGTGTTCCAGCCTCAGCCTCGCCTCCACACATCAACGGTTTAGTCGGGAATCCTAGACTTCTGGCTTCAAGCGCAGCCTTGCAACAACCTCGCCAGGCTTGCCCGAGTGAGAGTGTCAAAAAAGTCTTGGAGCTGGGCCCTTTCTGTAGATTCGGAAGCCTTGCTTCCCCAATACAATGGATCGAGATCAACTTTCTTTGCATGCCCACCCCACCCACCCCCAAAACAAGCTCAGGGCGCTCGATTAAATGTTCAATCTTCGCATTGTAAGGGCTCCATACTAATCAACCCTTTTACAATTTCTTATGTTACACTTGTCGATCGAGATGTAGGAGAGCTACCTTCTCGCTAGCTGACTGCCAGTTGTTTCCAGTCACTCGAGTTGGTTGATAGTGGTTTTGTATAATTCAATGTCTGAGTTCGGCTTCGAGAAGGAATGTAGGGCCTGGGATGCAGAGACGATAATGTAGCTTGGCCATGACGAATATCTTTTGAAAAGTTTGTCGTGCAGGAGTGGTGGCAAAAGTATCTTGTTGTAGTAGTGTTGGTGTTAGGTTTGGGTTTGGTAGAGTCTTGTTTGAGACTGGCGGCCATTGCAACCTGCCTTGTCATTGCGTTGGATGGCTGGGCTTCATGCTGACTGTTTGGGCTGATGGTCTACATGCTCTTAGGAGTTGGGTCGGTTTGTGTCATGTGGAGCCTCCCGCGTGCTGGATCGTTCTGGTCTGTCAGTGTTGCCCCAACTTGTGGATGCTTGCTTGGCCTGTGTGAGCCGTGAGAGTTGAAGAGCCAAGCAAGCGATGTCAGCGCACATGATCCGTCTCTTTGCAGGCCTCCTGTGTCCACAACTATGCGTTTTCAGTCAGCAGCCCAGATCATGCGACCTCCCTCGTGGCTGCATTCGCTTGAGCCAAGGTGGGCCACTTCCAAAGGCCATCAACGAGTGGAGCTGACGGGATCTGCAGATGCTTATGAGCTGGAAAGAGCCTGAATAATAGTTGGATTAAGCGAAAGCGCCAACAAAGCATACTTGCCGGAGCTACTGTTGGTTGCTGTTTCTTATCAAGGTACTGGGTGGCAAGTTTGTCGGCAGTGTCAGCACAAGTCTGAGTTTGCTTCGAGCGTTTCGATCGGCTGCGAACCTTATGTAAACATGCAGTCGCTTCCATGTGCCAATGTCATGCCACTGTAGCCCACATGCCAAGCATTGCGGGAGGGAGCCGCAAAGGATGAAGTTCCACACCAAACCGCAGCCGGCAAACCTTGGCCAGGAAGCTCTTGGGCTACTATCAGCAAAACCAGCGCCCTCCGGTGATGGAGGCGAAGCTTTAATCATAAGGACCCTTAGAGGGGCTATGGGGAGGGGGACCGGGTAGGGGGCCTTAATGCCCATAATGCGATACCATGAGGTGTTCAGGTTCGTTTAAAGAGTTCTGGTCGAATGAAGCGTGCAGAGAATCGCTGTAGTCAGAGTTGTCACTTTGCTCTACTTGACCAAGGGCAACAACCATCAAATGGTCGCAAGCGGCTGTTCTCCTCGCCAGGCTGTGTTTCTCACTCGTCTGCCACGGTGCCCTCCCGAGCTTGTATTAGTACGATAGTACGACTAAACTACTGTTACTACTACTGCCGCAACTACGACGACGACGCTGACAACTACGACCCCTACTGCTACTGCTACTGCTCCTACTACTTCTACTGCTACGGCTGCTGCTACTCCTACTCGTACTCCTACTCCCACTCCTACTCCTACTACGACGACGACTACTACTACGACGAGTACTACTACTGCTTCTTCCGCTACTACTGCTACTGCTTATTGCTACTGCTCCTGCTGCTGATGCTGCTGCTGCCGCTACCGCTACTGCCACTGCCACTGCCATTTCTACTGCTACTGTACTACTACTGTTACCACTTGCACTGTATGTGTCGAATGTCAACATTATCAACATCGATTAGTCAAGCTCCTGAAGTGTTTGGAAGTCTCTCGAAGTCGGCCTTCCCATCCTTTGGCCGTGAAGCCACAGCATCTGTGGCTGATCCGCAGTTGTGCCCATTGGACGGATCCAGAAAGCCTTTCTCGCTTGGCGTTGGCATCCAAGCAGCTACAACAAGCAGATGCGGAGGAGCATTGGATGACTTTGGCTTCACACCTGGTGCTGCGACCGCTTCACCTTGACACTGAAGTTCGGCCTTTCAGCGAGGTTTCTACAGGCACTTCACCGAAGGATCCCAGGAATGCCGAAGATGCCAAGGATGCAACCCTGAAGATCAAGATCTTGCAGGTGTACTATCCTGTGTTCCAGGTGAGGAACCGAGTTCGCAAACTTTGGAAGAGCATTGAGACTCTGTGGGAAACGATGCTTCCTGAGGCCTTAGATAGCTTGCTTCCAGGGCTCACAGAACAGGAAATTGAAGAACTTGAAGAACGCTTGGGCTGCCAATTTCCAGAGGATTTGGCCGAGAGCTTGAGAGTGCATGAAGGTATGACGGAATCGGGGCACAGAAAAGGCCAATTCCTACTAGAGTTGGATCGAGAAGACGTTTACGCCTTTTCCACTGTTTGCCTTCGTGCTGCCCGAGACTTACCTGACCTGGTCGAGGATGCTAAGAGTAGCGCCGGAAAGATTCCGCAGGTTCCAAGGTACGATGTCCGAGACTTTGAGCGATTCGCACGCTCTGATGACGTTTCATTGACTGCCATGGCCTACGTGGCGGAAAGCCCCTTCGGCGACAGCAACTGGTTACCACTTTTTGCAAGCGATGGTCCCTATCCAAAGCGTCGAAAGCTGGATCCGCGATCTCAAAATGTTCTTATAGCCTTTCCTCACCGTGGTCGTGTGACACTGCTTGAGTCAATCGGCCAGTGTGAGCAGCGTCCAAAACGTCGGCATCACACGGGCCAGTCGTTGGATCGTTCTGGAGCCGTTGGCTTTTTGAAGATCTACCACCGCGATGGTCCCACCTGGTATGGTCATGCCACATGCTTCGAGGACTTTCTGCGGGAGAGCCTGGAGATGTTGCAGGCCATCCAGTTTGCGTGGTCAAAGCCATGTTCCTGCGAGGCAGATTGGATTGGATGGCAGTGTCCCCAGTGCAAACGGATTGTTGGAGAATCCTTCAGCGAAGCCTTGGACCGTGTCCTTCCACTGCTCAATGAACCTCCACCCCGCAGTCAGCGCACCTTGAACCGCTACTCTTGGTGGGCATCCGTGGTGAGGTCCTGCCAATGGGATCAGCCGTTTGTGGCAAAACGTGTGAAGTCGTCTTTTGCACCATTCATGGATTGAATGGTCGGCCATGAATGGCACCTGGCCTGTGTGGCCAGGGGCCAGGAGACATTGCGCGCTGTACAGATGTCTTGGAATGTGTTGGAAAATCTTGCAGATTGACGATTTACAGCATGTGTATGCATGTGTGACATGTATTTCCCTGTATAGCTGCTGAATGCTGACGTCAATATTGAGCAGAGTGACTGCGGCACCTGGAGCAAAAAGAGGGCAGTGCTGTCCAAAAACATGCGTTCTAAACATCAGTACTTACCAATTGCCATAGCCACAAATACACCTCATCGTCGTTTAATGACACGAGCAGTGTCTTGGTCTCTTCGATAATGTGGCAAAGGATGCCTAGATAAGGCAAGATCGATGGCTCATCTATTCGCCGTCAGTCAGGAAGAAATAACATGCCAAACTGCCAAGGCCTTACCAGCAGGAGTTCATCCAAGGTGGGTGTGCGGTTTGGCTCCCAGTGTGTCCAGCAGCGGTACATCGCGGTGGTGGTAACAGGAACGAATTCAGAGAATAAAACAAGCGACAGCACGAGCGGACATCTAATAGTGATAAAAGGGGGCTTCGAGGTCGGAGGCTGTTCAGGTTGCAAAATCAGCAAATGCCTGCAGATGCATGCGCGGTGTGCCGACGACCGAAGTGTCTCGTTACTCGCTACGCTCAGCAATCTTCAAGCACGAAAACCGAGGATCCATACCAACGGAGGCATCATTGCAGGCTCAACTGCTATAACATCGCACTAAACAGGTTTCACCCTTACCGGGTGGCAATTAGCAGCAGTAGATCCGTTTTATGTTGATGTCTGAGTAGTTTAGGGTTTGCGCCTTCATGGGGGTGCTGATGTAGCGCTTGACCAGCCTGGCTGACAAGACCATGCTAGGAACACGTCTACATACTTCCCGCTGACGCCATGGCGAAGAACGGTGCCGGCCGGGGCGATGCTTATTGCTGCATGGGTAGCGCTACTTCTTGCTGGGATACTTCCGAGTCTGTCACTGCCTGAGATTTTACAATGTCAGGGAAATTGGCGTCGCTTTCGCGGTCGTCTCTATCGAGTTTCGAGCGTCCCGGCAGCCTCGAACAGGGAGGTGGCCGTGGTTCTGGGGGATGTTTCCCTGCTTGTGGAAGACTTCAGGGAAGAGCTGGGGGAGGAGGAAGACTGCCCTTTGGGCCAGGTGGCCTTGCACCTGGCACAAGCTCTGCCTGCAGGTTCCCCGAGTTTGGGTGACATGGGTGGGACAGAAGCCTCGGTTTGGAATACCATACTTGAATACTTTTTTTGGTAAAAGCTCCCTAAAGGAACCATTATGACATGAAAGTCTAGAGTTTTTCCTCCCTGTTTACTTCGCAGTCCAGGAAGAGCTTCTAGAGCTGCTGGGCCGGGACTTCCATGTATTGCAGGCCTTCGGCTGGAACACAGTCGTACGATCTGGGTGGCCTGTGTTTCAGCTGCTGTACCTGCTGTACCGATGTGTGCAAAGCCACTCTAGGGATGACCCTTGCATAAACTCTGACGGATATGCCTGGAGATTGCAGCAAAGATTGCTCCAGCGACCAAGCACGGAGGAGCTGGGCCTCATGGCAGCCAGCTGGGCTTTCCTTGCTAGTGAGGAGGCCAGGGAGTGCCAGCTTGTGGCATCAGCTGCCCTTTTGGCCATGGCTTGGATTAGACTTCCTGTCTATGATGTCGAAAGTGACGGACTCGTCGGTGTAGCGCAGAAGCGGATGCATGGCCAGTCTTCAGAATTCGTGTCTGATTCGTTTCGTTCAGTAGCAATGCTTGCCTGACGAGCAGATCAAATCGATATGTGCCTTGAAATCTCGAGACAGCCAAGGACCGGCGTTTGGGACCTGCTGACAGCTGCGGCAGGCCACCCGTTGCCACTGGCAGCTGCGCGCCTGTCGGCTGGCTACCAGCTATCGATCCATCTGGGCCAGGACTGGTTGATGAGAATTCCGTGAGTGCCTCGTCCCCTGCTCAGCAATCCTTCCCTGCACAGGTGGAGTCTACCAAGCTGCCAGAACCTGAGGAGATGTGGGTGCAAGTCTTCAGCCTGCAGCTGCCATCATGACATCAGCACGATTCAGCATGACAGAGAGGTCCTTCCATTCTGCACCCTCCGCTCTATAGCCAAGCTCCCATAGCTGACAGAAGCGATGGAGATGTAAGTAGATACTGTACGACTGCCGGGTATTATCATTGCAGCATGGCTGCCGCAAGATGGACCTCCCTTATCAGGACACAGAAGAAGCCAATCGCTGTGTTGTGCGCTTTGCGCGCACAGCATCTGGGAAGTGTAACTTCTTCGCGCCCATCATGCAGGCGATGCTCAGACCTTAACTTGGTTTGCACAGAAGCAGTTGCGGCAGGCTTCGCTTCGCTCGTTTCGGAGTTTGTGCATGCATGCGCACGTAGGAATTACTGCACGTTGCTCGAAGAATCAGAAGCTCTTGGCATTGGGGGAATCAATAATAGTAATAATAATAGTTATGATCATAGGAACAATAATAGTAATGACCATAGTAGTAGTAATAGTAATAGTCATGGTAATAATGTTAATAATAGCAATAATACTAGTACAACAGCGCATTGCCGCAGGCACTGGAGCCCTGGAGAGCCAGGGGTGGTATCTACTTGGAGGCACAGAGGGGGGGGCTTCGTTGTTGCGTCGATTTTTTTTTACGAGACTTACGAAGGCTCAAGTGGGCCACGCTTATGCCGAGCTTATCCCAACGCCTCTTGAGTGAGGGACATGGATGCAGTGTTAGTAAGTTAGTATGCAATTAATGATTTAACCCCACTGATTTGAGCCCCAAGCCATGTTGAAGCCAGAGTGCTCTTAAATCTAGAATATCTAGATCGGTTCGGCCGCAAAGAAGGCAACGGTATGCAACCGCCAGGACCAGGTTCGTGCCTTCCGGCCAACCACGGATCAAAAGACCGAAGCGCCCTGAGCTTTTGCAGAGCATTTCAGTCCTTCAGGGGTTCCTAGAATGCGCACTTCCCACGGTGCCTCTGCTGACATTGAGGTGACATGTTGATTGCATGAGGGCTGTTCACCTCCCAGGTTCTGTACCGGCTGATCGGGGAGGATCTCATTCAGGCAATGCAAGGGGATAATGTCCTGAAGGTTGAAGTACGGTCCCTCCTTAAAGTCTTTAGGGGTGCAGCGGGAGGATCCCGAAATTTCACCTTACATGTGGAAGCTTGTCTGTTGCTCAGGCATCCTTTGGGTCCCTGCAAGAGCAAGAAGTGTGGAAAGATAGGTCTTCCCGGGGCTCTCAGAAGTCAGACCAGATCATGGACGAGCCAGGTACATACGAGATACCACACTCACGCAGCTGCAAGTGGCAATTGCGAAGTTTACCCGAGGCTGCCATCGCCAGAATAGAGAATCGATGTCTCAATGCCTCCAAGCAGTCGGCGTAACGCATGGGCGCGTGCAAAGTCAGTACAGTGATTCGTTTAGGCACATTAGTATTACTATTATTATCATTATTACTATTATTCCTATTATTACTATTATTATTGTTATTATCGAAGAAGACCGGATCCCAGCCAAAGTGCTCCGGGAAGCCATGCAGCTTCCTGAGCTGGTGCCTCCGAGCTCTGGCTCTGGGCCTTGGCTACCGGGAACCTTGGCACAAGGCTGCGGGAGAGGGGGCGGGTGGTGTGCTTCGGTGATCGTCAGAGAGAGAACTATAGGACCAACACCAAGCCAGATTTCGAGGGGAAAACGTCTATTCTGAAAGCTGAAATCCAGACGTCCGCGCAATGCCGTCGAGTTCCACTGACCGTGACCGTTTTTCTTAGTCGCTGTGCCTGCGCAGAGCTGAGGCCCGGTTTCGACAGGGTGTGAAAGGCCGCACTTTCGGCGAGTCTCTCACGTTCCCGTGGCGGTGGCGGCCGCAGGTGCTGTGAGGTTGAGTGTTTAGCCTCGCAGGATTTCGGAGCCCCGATAGACGACTAGGATTGCTGCCCTTGTCAGCTTCAGGTTTTGAAACCCAGTCTGTGTCTACACTTGAGGGTTCAGACTGCTCCCATGCGCCGTGCCTGGGGTGTCCGGGCTGCATAGCCGAAACCAAAACGAGTTTGCAGCCAAGCACACGCTGCTGCCACTGCTATATTTTGTTGCTTTAGGGGTGGTGATGCATTCTTTCGAGTTCGCAAGCGCAGCCGAATCTATCCGGGCCGAGGGCTTCCCACAACAGTTGATTTCTCTTACATTCCGCACTTGCTTTTGGTCCAGGGCTTCCCCTAGCTGATCGAAGTTTCTGGGAGGCCTCGTTCATGTGAGACTTCGGCGAACGGTGCGATTGGCTGAAGCCAAGCAGGCCGGCTCCCTGTCTCTCCACATGCGCAGGAGAAAAAATAGAAGTTACCCCAGAGTGCGCGGCATTGTACTTGAAATTGGTAGTACAACGTGTTGCGATGGTGGTTGGCACTGCTGGTGGTGGTCGCAGCATATGTCGTCGTCGTAGTAGGAGCAGCAGCAGCAGCAACCGCAGCAGCAGCAGCCACAGCAGCAGCCCGTAGCCTTAGCAATAGGAGTAGGAGGAGCACTCCTGCCGAGGGATACTCCTCTGTGCCGGGACTTGCGCAGACAACCAGACAAAGTCCCCGAAGAATCCGCAGGACCAGGGAGTCCTACCCCCCAAAGCAGCTAACAGGGGGGGGCCCACAAAGGACAGACAAGAATAATTAGAATCGGGTTTTGGGGTAGGTTATGCTATAACTATAATAAGGAGCCCCCCCCCCCGAATAGTATAATCACATCATCCCTGAAAGTTATTGGGCTTCATTTTTCATGTGTCGGATTCATACAGGGTTCGCTATTCATTGTATTGAGCAGCCTTTGTGCGTTCGGCCAAGGCCGAAAACACTGGGGCATCCGCAGACAGGAAGGTGCTTGGCTCCAATGTAAGTCAGCCTTTTTCCGGGATCTGGATAACCAAGTTGAAATTCAATGGTTAAACAATATGCAGGTTTCAAACGAGGTAGAGTAAGGTTTTCGGGCATATTACAGTAGCGGTGAGAATACTGTGAGTAGTGTGCGAAGTAGCAGCAGTAGCAGTACAGGTGTAGCGTTGGGTGGTAGCTTGTAGGCATCGGTGATGAGCGGCAGGCGGAAGGGTGAAGCTGGTAGGTAGTACATACGAAAGAATCGAGTAGCTGTAAGGATTGAGACAGTGCAATCAGAATTTGCAGCGAACGCAAAAACACCAGCACCAGCAGAAGGCAGAATCAGAGCGTGTGAATTGGCTTTGATGATTGCAAACAGAGTGATGCCCCAAGGGCATTGCGAAGCTTGACTCAATCCAAGTATTGCTCGCAGGACATGAGAACACGGTACAGCATAGGCGCATTGGCATTATGCCGTTTAGCGTCCGGCGTGGTGCAAGCTAATGCAAGCTATAACAAGACATTGCCCTAAGACGTGGAAGACTGTTTCAAACCAACAGCTGAGAATGCGCCACAGTTCAAGAGTCTTTTCCGATCACTCAGTACTACTGCGCCTTCAATTAAGTCAATCATCAGCAGGTGCCGCGACGCAGCCTTTGAGTTCTGTTGCCAGTCTTGGTCCGTTGTGGACAAGTTTTGGACACGGAGACAAAGCCTTGTTGGCGCATCGCTGCATCCACGACATCTTGTTGCACCTCGGGGTGTTACGCAGTCTAAACCTCCCTCGAATTGAGGCCTCGCCGAGCGCAGCTGCAGCTCGGCGGTTTAAATGTCCAGAGTCTAGATTTTTTCGGAGGATCCACAAATGGGACGACGAAGCCCTGGGAGTGAAAGCTTCGCTAGTCATAGATCCCTCTGTTCATCTCCAATTCCTGCCCCGCTGACATCCACCCAACCAAGGACAATCGGCTTCATGACATTCTCGTCGAAATGGACCTTGGAAAACTGCGTGAGGTCGCCAAACAGGTCTTCCCCGAAACAAACTGGGCTTCAAAGACTCGAGCACGCATCGTGACGAGGCTGGGCTAGAACCCGGCTTGTTGGGCCCTTGCTTAGTTGCACAGTGGGGACGACGATTTGCATTAAGAGGCACAGGCTAGTGCGAGGGACGTGACCCTGGTGACGAAGACGATGACGTCCAGAATCATCACCACCACCACCACCGACCCCATACTGAACATCCGATCATCATCAGCATCACCATCATCATCACCATCGCCATTATCATCATCGTCTTGACTGCTAGCATTTCTATAATCCCATGTGGGGCTCCACGGTCGTAGTAGTAGTAGTAGTAGCAGTAGTAGTAGTAGTAGTAGTAGTAGAAGTAGTAGTAGTAGTAGTAGTAGTAGTAGCAGTAGCGGCAGTAGTAGTAGTAGTCGTGGTGGTGGTGGTGGTGGTGGTAGCAGACTAGTATAGTTGTAGTTGTAGTTTTGATGCGGCCGCTGCTGTTGCTGTTGCCGCTGCTGCTGCCGCCTCTGCTGGTGGTGTTGTTGTTGGTGGTTGCTGCTGCTGCCGCCTCGCCGAGTCTTCCGTAGATCCATGCCACCTGCCACATGAAGGCTGACGGAGCCTGAATTCATCAAGCAGACCAGACAGCTGCTCCTGCCAGACGAAGATGAGATTCCGCGCATCAGCCCTTTGCCTCAAAATCATCAGCCGACTGCTCCGTGCTTCGCTCGGGACCTCACTTTTGCATTCGCACGTGAGATGGGGGCGTGATGGGCAACCGCATTTCTCTAGGGGCTTGTGGGGCAGAAGACATGGTATTGAAGCGAATTCACGACCAGAAAGCATATTGGAGTCGCTGGAGACTCAGAAATAAGCTTTAGGTTTCTGTCTTCCAGCTGACTCCCAAGCACAGTACTGTATGAAGTAACTGGGGCATGTCGTCTAGGCCGGACTAACATCATGGAGTCGTGATCATTTGAGGTCCAGCGGCTCTTCAAGATCTCGAGTTCCACTTGGAAGCTTGGTGACCAAACCTTCGGCTACATAAGACTGAAACAAGACAAAACTTTCAATAGTTGCAGCCATGTGCCATTAGATGGAGTTCGTCCAGCATGATCATATTTTAACAGAAGCAAGAGACCTGGGATTGTTTACCGGGTGTTGGTTTCGAAGCTTGTGCAGAAATCTCGAATGTTCCTCTACTTTCGCTTTGCGGTTCATGCAGTTTCAATCAAGTCGAGTCTTGTTACATTGATGTTGTTGCAACAGCTGTGTTCAGCTGTTCTTGGTGCGAGCCGAGGAAGCAGTCACGGCGAAGAACTTTCCCAAGGGCGTGGGTCAAGCCCGGTCTCAGCAGGACCGTGTAGGAGGGTTCAGGTCAGGGGCTGCAGGGCCGGCGGAGTCGGAGTGCTTTTCTTTCGAGTTTGGAGAGAAGTTTAACTAGGGAGGGGCAACATGGCAGTTGATGACATAAAGACCAAACCCTAAGCTTATGCCAGTTGCCCTACTCAAGACTGGAGCACAAGTTAAGAGAGAAGGGGAGACTAAATAGGCACCGTGGGGATAGTCCCGCGCTGTGGACCTAAACCTTGCACCAGATTCTCGACCAGGTCGGGGCTGCTGGGGAGACCATGGTAACGAGCGACGCAGAGCAAGAAGCGCTTCAGACGCTGGGCTCTAGGAGTCGACTCCTCTGTGAGACTTTTTGGTGCTTAGAAGGCAGGATGGTTGGAGCGAGTAGGCCAAGCACAACGGTTACCTACCCGCACCGGACCAAACTCACAGTCATGTGTGACCACGCACGGTGTGACCAAGGATCTGTGATGTTCGTATGCCATTGACGAAGAAGGCCTTGACTCGCCAGACGGGTAGTCCTCGTGGGATCAAAGCTGTCCCCAAGTACAGTCTTTTTGTTCCACTGTTCTGTTTCCCGCTGTCTTTCTGCATCGAGCTTTGCTGCTATGACGACTACGCTTCGTAAGGTTGCATGTCTCCCTCCGTTATTGAGCACGCCTCTTCCATGCCACAGGATTGCGTGTCTGGCGGGCATTGGTTCACCTCGACAGTAGCTCTACAAGTACTACACGCCCCAAGACATCTCTTCAAAGACTCGAATTGCCACGGTTCTCCATGCTGGCAAGCGATCTACTGGTGATGTCGATGCAGATACTTTGTGAACAAGAGCATCTAAGTGCCAGTGTGGTCAATGATGATACTGGATGATACTGGTCTTCTTAGAGGACTTCATTCGGTGACAACAGGCACGTCCTCAACGACAATGTTAGTCATCGCAAGACTCGATGCCAACTTGCCGGACATAGCAATCCTGCCGGCACTGCGTTCGGGACGAAGGTTGCAGGTGAACTTCGCTGCGGAAATTAGCAACTGAGTAGTAGGCAGACGAAGGCACAACGAATACACCCACTACCACTGATGTCCATGCTGCACGCTCGTATACCTAAGACATGATTACACTAGATACTGTTATAGTGGTTGCTCGCATGGATGTGCTCCTCTGGAAACAGCATTCGTTATACAAATGGGTAGCTCACGCTGAATCCTTACGCACGTGGCTTTTTGGTTTATGTTCAACTTTCGCGGAGCTGTTCGCAATTTCACGAGTTGCAACTCATTCACCGGTGGAGCGGCGGTGGAGGTTCACAAGGACTTGCAGTGAAGATCCGTGTGAACACTGAAAGTATTCTTGGGCTGTGCGCGGGTCAAAGCATCAGCCTTGCCATCAATTTCGAATTTAATAGTAGCTGCCATTGTCTTGGGAGGTGTGATGCTAGACAGTTGGTGGGGTGATGGTGGCACCAGTATGCAGCAGTATAGCAGTGTCAACGACATGACCAATACCATACAGAATTTTCTGACTTATTGAGATTCGACATGATGGTGAGGCGTGGTTAGTCGTAGCGAAAAGCCAAACACTTTCGCGCGCATACCGATGAAACCTGGCAGCAGCACCAAGGTAAAAGTGTAAGTAGGCCACCTGCTTGCAGGCAAAGCGGCGCGCCTTGCAGTCCCTGCAGGTGGGAAGTGGGTAATTACAATGATGATGATCGTCTATGAACAGCCCATATTCCAAGACGAAGCCAAGCCAGGTTGGTGCAGAGGAGTTCGGGACCGTCGTGGAAGTGCCTAGGCAACACAGAAGGACGCTGAGAGGTTTCCTTGTGTACAAGAGCACATCCATTTCATTCGATTCCGGAGGTTTTGCTCTGCCTTAAGATGGACCTTGTGAAAGGCTCAATGCAGCAACAGAGCATGTGCAGACCAGTTGTAGCAGAAGTGTCAGAATCACTTTGCTAGCGATTGCTCAAAGAAACCCTTGGGGGGACCCTCTGAGCTCAAATAAGGCGTGGAAATAGGCACCGCATCGTCTTGCTTTCGTTGTGTTTGTGGCGGTCGTCATCTCTGGAGTCATTCAGAAAGACCGGATGTCAAAATGTCCTTCGTGTAGCCGTAGAGAGCCAGCACCTTCAATAACGCACGGTCTAGTTCGAGGTTGAAATGCCTCAAAAGCCCCAAAGAGGCGACGGCGCCGATCTTCCACAGTGCTCCTAAGCCCAGATTATCCAAGTCGGCCTCTTGTTGAGGTCTCCCTAAATGATGGCCTGCGAGTGGACATTGGCGCGGAGATTGACGTTTTGGTGCCCCTATCGATCCAGGCGCCTCATGTGCTTGGGCTGCTCTTTGCAGTGCTCTGCAGCGCAGTTTGACCCACAAACGACCCAAGCCGACTTGTGAATTGCCGCCTCATTGCCACCAGGGCCAGGAAAAGGCGCCAGCGAAAGTTGCAGAGAACTATCCGCTGGAGTCGGAACTCGTGGTGAAGATCGAGGATGGGCTGCGACAAATTATATACTAATCTTTAATAAACTAAACCGAATGCAACTCGAAGGCATCCAAGTTTTCGACTCTAGCCTAGCAGGTTCTCGTGCTCGAAGAAACTAGCATCGTAGCACGTCGTCTTCAGGACTTAGCCCAGACTCATCAGTGTAGACATAGGCATGGGTTTGGTACATCAGCGTCTGAACTATACGGTCATCTCCGAAGCGCTTAGAATCAATGCGGTTGTGTGTGCACACATGGCGCAGGAAGTCTCCACAGATCCTGCTCGAAGATTTCCTGTGATTGCCAGCCTTAAGACGGAACCTTTGTCGAAGCCTCAGACTGATGGTTCCTTTCATCATGAAGAAGCCTTCTGTTTCAGTGCTTCTCCGGCGAGTTTGCTTCCACCGTTTGTATGCTCATTGCACGCGATGATCAGGCAGTCTCTAGAGCAAGCTCAGACTGCTTTACGGCCGCATGGAGGGGCATCTGATAGCCGCTGAACCGCATCTTCAAGAAGGGAGCTGAGAGGCCTCTGTCACAGTACTTCGGAACTTCGGGCAAAAAATGGCAAAAACGCGAGGCAGTTTTCAGACAGGGGCACAGCTGGTCCAGGATCCAAGCCGATGCTTCTTGCTGCCAAAAACTTAAAACTACAAAGTCATTCGTAAAGTACTTCGTGTGTTCTCACCGAAAGCCCACCCACCTGAAGACTTGAAGAACTTGTTGAGCCAACTCCTCGAGGATCTCGAAGCGAAGGGGTGGAGCTCTCGCAGGTGGATGATTGGCAGCCGGCAGGCCCGAAACTGTGGTGTCCAGTTTGTTAGATCAACACTGGGTGTGACTTTCCCAGCAGCCAGCCGTTAGCCTGCTCGGGATGAAGGTCCATTGGAAGTTCTTGAAGAGCTCGAGGACGCATGGTCTCCTCCCAGACATCGCTTTGGGGGCTGGGGGATGGCTGCAGGTTCAGAAGCTTTGCCCAAGAACTCGTCAAGTCCGCATAATGCCAATGGAGCTACGAGCTACATTACATGGCCGGCTTTGCAGGAGCTTCCATTGCGACCACCTCCGGAAGTGTTGCGGAGCCTGGGGCGGAACCGACAGCTCCAGGATATCGAGGCTCTGTCGCAGGGCCACTAACTCGCCCGCTCGAGATACGTCCTTATGGTCCCGTCGTGAAGCATTGCAGGCGGTAGCTGTGGAATCGGGGGCCTTGGTTGTGATTGGTCGTGATTGCTGTCGTCGTAGTTCTCCGAGGAGGAGGGAGGGTCCAGCTACGACGACGACGACTAGCTACTACTACTACTACTACTACTACTACTACTACTACTACTACTACTACTACGACTACGACTACGACTATGACTACTGACTACTGACTACTGACTACTGACTACTGCTGCTGCTACTGCTGCCACAAGACAGGTGCTGATATGTGCTGGTTACCAATGAAAAGCCTGTCGGTGATGATGGTGACAGCACTCCAGCCTGCTTGTCTTGCGAGCATGAATCGAAGAAGCGTGCAGGGGCGGTTTGGGGTTTGGGGTGGCCATTAGGGGCCTTAATAATTGCTTGTAGTATTTTGGGATTCCTTATTATAACTGTAGTATAATATACCCCCAAAAGCCTATTCTGATTATAAGGGCCCCTATAGAAGGGTTTTGGGGGTTAGGCAAGTCTAGACCTCCCGCGAGGTGCCGGAGGCCATGCGGCCCCCGACCCCAGAAGTCTCAGATTCGGCACGCGAAGCCTGGACCAACTTCGCAGAGAATCGAGCAGAGGAGCTGAGGTGGCTTGGCAGCGGGGATTGTGGCATCTGTTTTTTTTCAGTTGTTGTCCATTTCTGTCATGGTTCAGCATTCTGGGAGAAGGGCCTGTAGCACTGTAGCGCCAAGTGTCAGGTTGTGATGTTCGTTAGCCGTTAGCGGTTACCAGAAGAAGTGTAGGCTTACGTTCAGGTCTTGAAGGTGACAGTGTCATCATGATTATGTTTATTATTCTTGTTGTGAGGGCTGCAAGGGAAGGCTTGGGGTTCAACATTGGGTGGGAGGTTCAGAATCAGAATTGGGTTTGGATTAGCAAGTGAGCCGTTCAGATTCCATTGACTGTGCCGTTCGCGGTTATGCTTGGGGGGGTGTGAGGAATTAAGTCCAGATTCCTAGTCTTATCTCCGAGGATTTCCTCGTGAGCTGTTGAGAGTGTCGAAGGTTGTTTCTGCCTTCATCAGTCGAACATTTGGGCATGAGGCTCAAGAGCTCAATTGGATCTTCCCCGCATCGTTTGTTTGATCTGTGGTCTGGTTGGTTCTTGGAGCGGGCAGTTCCAAGTAAGGCGGATTGCCCAGAGGTCCAACATGTGCAGTCACCTCTTTGGTTGTTCACTTGTCAACAGCTGTGTCTAGCATTATCGTGCGCAGCCGTCAAGGCATGCATTGTCGTTAGCCAAAGCCCCAGGGCCCGAAGCTCGAAAAATCACAGGTGGGAATTGCGATGCCGCGACCGTCTTGCGACGGACTTGCTGGTCGTTGAAGCAGATATTCTTCGGGGCCGATCGCCATCCATCCCTCTTGGACTCCTGGGCAACTCGGCATAGGTGTGCTAACCACATCTGGCCCGCTGCTTGTGCGGTGTCATGTGATGTCATGCATCAGTCAGGTCTGACGGTCATGGAGGACGGCAGGAGATACATGCTGCCTCAACCCGACGGAGACAGTTTGAGGCCAGTCCTTTGACAGCCAGATCGTCCTGATCCGTCGATTTGGTGTTGTACTGCGCCACTTTTTTTATAGGGGAAGGGCAGAGGTGGCTGGACCAAGTTCTCCGATGACCCCGCTTTGTAAAGTAGTGAATGTGTGCATGTAGGATTTGCCTTGCTCTCGCTCGTTTTGCTGCAGGCTGGTCTTGGCTTCCTTGATCTATTGCTCCAGCTTCTGTCCTCTCCGGTCTAACCTGCGCCAGCATCTGTCCTCTCCGGTGTAATCGCTCGGAGCATGGGTGGTCAGACTATGTTATATACATGTACAGCTTGACCTCCTCATCATTGACCAGGTAGAACCAATCCGATATATCATACAATGTGGGCCTAGCCCAGTCAAAGCTGCGGGCATCCAAGCAATCTGAGTTCAAATCATACAAAATCATGCAAGACATCCTCCCTCATCTCCCTCTCCCTCTCTAGACAAACATAAAATGTAAAAACATGCCGATGCTACACCTGCCCAGGCCATCGTGCTCTTAAACCGCAGTCTGCTGCAGCATCGACACCCTCCAAATGCTGTAAGCAAATGTGCAAGCACAACAAAAGTCCAACGTCGGAAACAGCCTTGTGCAGTGCACGCTGCTGGAAAACACGGTGTGGCCACCTCAAGGGGAACAAACAACATGAAAAGAACACTTCATTGATCCTCCATCCTGCTCTGGTAGCCTGGGCGGGAGCGATTTTGCAGCGCTACACAGCTTCTTAGTGGGAACAAAATGCATTGCGTAATGTGGCCTACACTCACGGATACAGACGCACGAGGCATCTGCGGCTGTTCGGTTCGGTTTGTAAGACATGCTGTGGTGGGAGGTTCTCGGTCCACGAGGAGGAGGACCTGCACAGCATGATTGAGTCGTGCCGGGCACGCTGGGCAGTCACTTGGATCAGAGCGGGGAATTGGCACTAATTAACTTGTTTCCAAACTGATCTCTTCCCGCATTGTCGGTTGCACATCCGCATACATCGCATGGGTGGCACTAAGGCCGAGGCGGTAGAACCAGAGACAAGGCAGAAACTGGCGCTGTATTTCGCCTGCGCTGATGCCTGGCATGCGCGCATGGTGCAGGCCTGGACCTGTGGGCAGGTTGTGATTCCACGACTTGGAAGAGGGATGAAACCTTCCCCGAGCGAGCATATACCAAAGTAGTATGACTGGGCATTGTCAGTCTTGCTCACCACACCCTGCACTGTGTGGTCATGGGTATTCTGCATAGGGTCGTGCAGGCTGCGGAAGCCGTGGAGATTCAGAGACTGGGGTGGGGACGCCCTGGCCTCAGGGATTTTATCGCAGCTGTGCTCGATCCGGCGCACCGTTCCTTTCTGCCGGAGGCCAGACAGAGGATGATGATGATGACAGCCTGGCACTGGCAGTTGAAGAGATGCGACTTGGCCGCACTGCTTTGTCGCTTGCTTCGGGAGGGTTTGTTTTGAGAAGGTGAAGCATATGAAAGTAAACGCGCGGCAGAATGCGCAGCGTCTGAAGCCACACATCAACACTGGCCGCGCTTCGCCAAACAAAGGATTGCCAAAACGCCAGAGCTTCAAGACCAGGACGGGGCGGCTGCAGGGTAGTGTGCCGCCGTGCCGCTGTAGGGGAAGTATGGTATATGATGGATATATGCCATATGACACATGTATTTGTATATATATATATATATATATAAAGATAAGATAACTAACGGAATATGAGCATAATATAATATAAGAATATCAAAACATCAGAATACATGGGTGCTCAATCCGAGAGGAAGGCGATGCATGAAACACACAAGCTGCATACGGACTCACGACTGCCAATAATTGATTGCCAGCCTAGTAGCAAGCTCCCCTGTTGAAGGCATCGATGGAAGGGGAGCCTCTTGACTAGAGAGTATCGACTGCTGAACTTTCTGCACATGCGTGGGCCGTAACTCTGCATGCGGGTCGTAGTTAGACAGTGTAGCGTAGCTGCGTAGCTTTGAGACGTGGCTGGCTGCATTGTGCTACCAATATTCCTACATACTGTGTTAATGCTTCTGCCTTATTAACTCACAGAAAAGGTGGGGACGCAGCACCGACAGTAGTAATAGGGGCTTGCTGTAGGGCTGTAGGGGCTCCGAAGGATGACAAGGCCAACCCGCTTCTCGAAGTACACTGAGCCTTAGGTACGGGGGCTGCGAAGGATGACAACGCCAACCCGCTTCTCGAAGAACACTGAGCCTTAGGTACTGACTCAGCCCACCTTCACATGGATTTTCTGGCCAACCCTTCAGCAGCGCGATGTGCGAAGAACTGTAGTAAACAACGCCAATTGACTCCCGGTACTCTTCGGCCGGATTCTAAGAGAGAAGCCAGGTCACTGCACTCGTGTTGTAGCAAGTTTGACGGTGAAACTAGCTCCTGGTTTTGGGGCTAAGGGCGGGCAGGTAGAAGCTGTACAGTGCCTGGAAAAGTGTAGTTACAGTTTAGTTATTGTCATCTTGTCCCCTGTTGAAGTTGCAGATTCCCGAAACCGGATCGCAAGCATTTGGGATCACTACAGTATAGGGTTCATGGTAAGAACAACGTCAGGGCCTTGGGGTTGTATGATGCGGATCCAGGTATCTCCTGAATGAGCTTGACGAGACCGAGTTGGCGAACCTTGCGAACCTAGGGTCATAGCTCTTCATAAGAAGTCGGTTAAGAATAGTAAGCAGTGGTAAATCGTAACAATAGTAGTACTAGTACAACAATAACGATAAGAGGTATTGCCTCATTTCAGTTTCCTCCTTTCCACGAGATTTACAAGGTACTTGTATCTCACATGCTTGAGAGTCCTCTCTTTAAAGGAGGTGTTTCGCAGTTCTTTAGGTTCCCTAGCCTACGCTCCAAGAGCTGCTGTAGAATTCCTCGCGAAATCCGCTAGCCTGGAATTCGGGTGGCTCGGAAGCCCGAGCCGCGCAGCTTGCTTGACCGGCGGGAGATAAAGATGCTGTAGGACACCAAGCAAGCCTTCGCAGCTGCTGATGTTGTCTGAGAGACGGGCAAGTGTGTGAATCACGAGTACCGGAAAGGCCTCTTGACTTCTTGACAGAGTATGTAAATTCCCTTCACATCTTTGATCTTGTAGTCTGTCGGCGGGTCGAAGCTTTCGAGACATCGCAAACAGAGAAGAAGCTATGGAACCACCCACTCCCCAAAGCCACAATGCATTATTACGTATACTATTACTTCTGCTACTACTGCTCCTACCACCACCTCTACCGTCTACTGCTACCACTGCCCCTGCCGCTGCCACTGCCACGGCCACTGCTGCGACCACTGCCTCCACCTCCACTACCTCTACAACTACCACTGCTACTGCTTCTACTACCACCACCACCACCACGACTACTACTACGACTACGACGACTACTAGTACTAGTACTAGTACTAGTACTAGTACTAGTACTACTACTACTACTACTGCTACTGCTACTGCTACTGCTACTGCTACTGCTACTGCTACTGCTACTGCTACTGCTACTGCTACTGCTACTGCTACTGCTACGGCTACGGCTACGGCTACGGCTACTGCTACTGCTACTGCTACTGCTACTGCTACTGCTACTGCTACTGCTACTGCTACTGCTACTGCTACTCCTACTACTGCCACTACCACTACCACGACTACCAATCCCTACTCCCTCTCCTGCTTCTGCTACTACAACAACTGCTGCTACTGCTACAACTGCTACCAATTCTACTGCCACTGCTACTGCTACTCCTGCTTGCTGCTAACACTAGTGCTACTGCTTCTGCGTGAGAAGTCGGGCAGGTGATCCCCGAGCATTCGCACCTGGAGGTGGATTTTGGTGCGATTGAGCCGACCTGCTTGGCACATGCGCCCAGAGGCTGCAAGGCAGTACAGGGCCAAGTGGTAGGGGAGAGGGGAATTTCCATTTGGGTCGGAGTCGTGGGACTTCACTAGCTGGTTTAGGGCATTTGTGTAAAAGCTTGACAGGGTCGAGTTCGTACAGCTCGTGCAAGTCGCATTTATTGGAACCTTGGTAACAGCTTTTCGCACCTTTTGGCAAAGGCCCTGCATGTTTAGTCGGAGTTCCTTCAATTCAAACTCATTGGCAGGGGGCCTTGCTGACAAAAAGAATCCAAGGTTGCTGAACCTCATTGCCGTCAGCTCAGAAGGATTTGGTTAGTAACCTACAGCCCGGGAAGCAATCAGCCGCAGAGTTTGACATGCTCCTGATCACACGCAGCCATCACTTTCTTCAGGCTGCAGTGGACTTGCCGGACTTCGACATTGTTTTAAATCATGGTGACCTACCACTGCTGAGGACAATGTCTCAAGTGCTTCTTACAGTGGAGAGCATTGTCAAGCAGCTCCTGGCACCCCACAACGACAGGGCCTACAGTGGAATAGAAGATAATTATAGCTGCATGGCCTTGCGAGGAAAGAGCATGAGAAACCACCTTTCTACGGGCCCATGGACAAAGAGGTGCTTTGACAGACTGCTGAACGGTCTAACGACTTGTGGATCAGTTAGGATATTCGTTGTTTGTGCGTTTTGCTTGTGAGGCCAGGACCCCTGCTCCTCTCTTCAGCATCTGTGCGTCAGAAGATTTCTGGGATATCCTTTTCCCCAATGTTGGGACCTCAGCCGCACTCGTCTGCAAAGATTTCTGACTTGGTCCTTCATCTGCGTGAGTCAGGTATGTCGACCAGCGCTGGTTAACATGCCCGGCACTCAGTACTCGATTCGGTTTGCAGTTTTGTGCGCGCACGGCTCGTCTAACATGTCGTTTGACTTCTGTACTTGAGGTCACGCATGTCTGCGATACCTTGGGAAGAAAAGACGCCTGCAGCATTCTGGCGGGGAACAGACCGTGGTGCCGTGAATTGGGCCAAGCCCTAAGCAGCTTCAAGTAGCATGGAACTCCGATCCATCGCGGAGAGTTCTAAGCTTCTAGACACAGCATGCAGCCTCTGAGCATCGATGTCTCGGTGTGTTGCGTTTGCGGCCACAGAGGCCGTGGATCTGCAAGACATGTATCGCGGCTCTCCCAGGACTGCAAGGGAGAGTTTCAAGGCAGAAAACTCTTTCAACATCGTAGTAGCTGAGTGGATACACTTTACACTTTTTGGGGTAATATTACCACAATAAGCCAAAAGTGTACACTTATTGGGGCTTGTGAACTCAGCAACTGAGACATGGCTGCAGCCATGATGAATCCATCGAGGCTGTGGGACCTGTCACCTGCTCTTGCAGGAAGCGCTTCCTGGATACATGGTCGGAGAATCCAAACTTTGAGCTGGCCTCAGACGCCTTGCATGGCAGCGTAGTTACTATAGCATACTTGAAAGCGAAGCAACGAATCAAAGTGGAGCATTACAGGACTTGGCCTTTTTGGAGGATGACCTGCTAAATGCGACTGTGGTCAGTGCCTCGAGGTTTGCAGTTTGACTAGCTGTCTCTCTGTGCTCCGCTTTACGACGAAGTTCTTTCAGCATTGTGCAGGCGGCTTGCCTGAGTGACCATTTGCATCTTGCTCCTCGAAGTATATCGAAGGTCAACACTGACCCGAGCTTCGTCCCTCTTGACAAGCCAGGTGCTGAAAGGATCTAATCACTGATCTTGAAGAGGGAGGGGGGAGGGAGTCTGAATTCAGCAGTAAAAGTTAGCAGGCTTTCTGACAAATGGCCCTGCGGATCCAAGCTATAATTATAACGTCGTCGCTACGAGTCTTTCTACAGCAAGCTGCGAGTCTTAGGTGGCCGCGCTGGCGATACTTGTTGGACCTTCCAGGTGTGAGACTGGGCCTATTGCAGAGGTGTGATGTTTGCCTGTCAGCCTTGTGCAGCATCGCGCAGGAAATGGCTATTCCGGCTCCCTCAAGCAGAAGCTAACCACGACTTCTGCAGTGCTCATGATGCAGAACGAATCTCGGAAGCACCAGCTCTTCCAAACTTTGAGCATGAGCCTCATCGTCTCGCAAACGGTAGCGAGATTGTGAGGTGAATGTTGCGGGATCTCAGCCGGTGTATGAGCACTACCACGGTGGCTTACAGGAGCTTTGCTTTTTCCAACTTCAGCTTTGCTGGTCGTCGGAGGCGTGCTCGTTGACTAGTTGGTGACTACTTAGTTACTGTGCCCCGCAATCGGACTGTGACCAACCCCCTCGGCCCTCTGACAATGTGCTCCTGAATGCTTTTTCCAAAGTTTCGATGCGACAGGACTAGAGACAGCAGCAAGTGCCAGTAACGATAAACTGGACTACATATGATTCCAGAACGAGCTTGCCTACTTAGCCTTTCGTTTTATGTTTGTGGTGACGTGTTTTGCGGTCTGGCCGCTTTGATATCGATTTCTCTTGTGCGCCGATCTTCGTTCTTGATCGAAGCTTTGCTCTGTATTGCTCGGTGTATGCAAGGTTCCATTGGCAGTTCCATGTCTTGTGGAGGATGGAGTTCATGTCTTGGTCGTCACCATGAACGATGCCGGGCAGAAGGTGCATAAGTGGAACCAGTTCCTCTGTTAGCTGCATCTGCAGCGGTGGTGGTGGTGGTGGCGGTAGGGATTTCTGTCACGGGTTGACAGCTTCCTCTTGACTTCACCAGAGCATGTTCCTGCCTGCATCCGATACTCGGCAGAAGCACGGGCTCACGGTGACAAGGTGGCATGGGCGCAGCAACATGACGACCAAATGAAGGCTCCTCCGTCTGCTTAGTAACACGGCCGGAAAAATGTGCAACCTGTCAGGAGATGGTCGGTAATGCAAACAGGTCATGACCTCGGCGTGCTTGCATTCGCACATTCTCGACCTGGCCCTGGGCCTCAGCAGACATACGCAGCAGACATGTAGCGAGAGGTACATGGAAGATGTGCAGAAGCTGACCCAGTGCTACCTCTGGCTCCTCATCAAGCGATTCGCATCGCTCCTCAGGCCCGACCTATGCCGACCTCCTTTTGCCTTCCGAAGGTCTGCCCTTGAGTCCGGGAAGGTACAAGCCACAGCGGGAGCAAACAAGTACCTTCAGCAGCCGGGCGCAGCTCAGCTGAAAGCTGGGAGCTTTTTGGAATCTTGTTTCATGCTTTGGCAGGTACCGGGTAAAGGATTGCTGAGAATGAGGGGCCTTGGGTCCATGGTGCCTAGCAGTTTTCCGGCTTCCGTGTCCTCCTGGTCCCAGGTCTGTGCGCACTATGAAGGTTCATCGGCGACCCCTGAGGCCAGGCCTGTGCGTTATAACCAATTTTTCTTTAGTTACCTAACCATAGTTACTAAGTCCCATGAACCTCTAAGTACAACTGTCTGGGGACTTGAACGGTCCTCCTGTGCAGGAAGGAGGCCGCGGCCTTCAAGAAGACTTGTGAGGAGCTTCTTGCAAACAGCGAGGAGTAAAAAGGCTTAGGGTGTCAGTGTTGGGAAGGGAGCAACAAGTTGGAGCCAATCGCTCCAAGTCTGGAAAGCTGTGCATTTTTCTGTCTGTTTGCTGGCTTAAGCTGAGTGTTGTTTGCAAAACCCCATGGGATCCAGTGATGTTGAATGGATTTTCAATGGATTTGATCTCCAACTATCTCCAACTGAGCCTTGGCAATGTCTCGGCGCTTTCCCTTGGCGTTGGCAGCAGCTTGTTTCGAGTCAGCTGGTGAACCCTTGGCCTGAACTGCCTGCGGTCAGTGTCCGGGTTGCGGGCCTTGCAATTATCCGGACAAACTAAGCGTACCAGCTAGAATGCGCATCTAGTTCCACATGCGTGCCTATTGCCTTGGCTCCGAGTGTGCTGACACTTCTCCCGTGCTGACCTCATGCTGATGACGCCGGTTCTAAAGAGCAGCTCCTTCCTTGTGGCTTCTGTTCTTGCGTCGCTGTCGTTGTCTGAGAGCATCGGAACCCAGGCAGCGCCTCTTTTCCAGAGCCTGAGCTCGTGGCGCAAGGGCGAAGGCCATGAGGAAGAGTAGCAGGAATAGTCAGCACACCTTGATGCGGGAGCGGGAGCTGTGGGTGATTAGGGGGTGGGTCGATAGTTGCTGCTGCGGTATATATCTGCTCGGCAATCAGGCTTGGCTTCACCAGTTTCATTCGTGTACATGTCCCCGCCGCGTGCGAGGACATGCTTCCAGGAGGCCTCTCTCAGCCCAGGAGGCTCCCTTGCGAGCACACGTTCTCATGGGCACTTCGCCAGCAGCTGTCCCAATTCAGAGTCTGAGATTTGAGGAATGTTTATGTGCCCTGGGTGATCGAATCAACAAGCAGCAACAGCACCAGCAGCTGCTGCTGCTGCGACCACGATGCTGCTGCTGCCACTACTACTGCTGCTGCTACTACTACTACTACGACTACTGCTACTGAGTCCGGGACCAGTAGAGCCTGCTATGTGCTATGTACTTTTATGCTCTATGTACTTCATGTACTTTCTTTTATCGGCTTTGATTGGAGTGGCAGGCTCTGTTGTGACTTGTTACCATTAAGTCCTCGCGGAGCTGTCATCGGCGTGCCATGCGAGTGACAAGACTATTACGACGACGACGACTGCGACGACGACTACGACCACTGCGGCTACTACGACGACGGCGGGGGCGACGACAACAATGTTGACGAGGACTGCTACTACCACCCCTGCCGTTGCCATCGCCAGCAAATTCGTTACGTATATGTGTCAGCTACTGTGACTTCGACAAATAACGCGATGGCTGCTATGACTGGACCTGATTCCTCACACGGGTTATCATACAATCACTGTAGGGTAGTGTCGTGCCACAAGCGTTTGTCGAAGATAGTTTTGTCGGGCTTTGCAAGCCTGAACATCGTGCACTCATCTCCCACCAGCTACGTATATAGTTTGGGGTTTCGTGCTGCAGAACTGCAGTTTGAGTTTCGGTAGCGCCCCGGGGAAATGCGAAAGATTATCATGAGGACTCAGGACACCCATTCGGGTTTCATGTTTCATCACCTGAGAGAGCTGCAGCGTCACGCATTCCGGTACTGTTTCCGCTGCATCCTCTGGATTCCCCAGCATGGTGCAGTTTTGTCACTAGATGGCGTCCGACTGGTTTCATGTTGCACCTGGTTGTTTTGCCATTGTTTCGTGCTTTACACAATCCTGTAGCAAAGCTCCGGTGCTCTTCGAGGATCATGGGACTCAGTAAGTACAGATATAAGTACCCTAATTGGGATTATAAGTACATAATATAAGTGAACCTCTAAGCATCTCTAAGCCCGTTCGTGCCAAGGCGGCTCTGGGGGTGGACGCCTCGCTGGCTGGAGCTTGGTTCGCAATGGAGCTGAAGGAACCAGGTTTGTTGTAAGCAAGGGTTGAGCACCATGGGCAGACTAGCGCTAACATTACATCATTATCATCCAGACAGGCGGCAGGGACGCAGTAACAGGGCTCTTCCCGCTAGAACCTCGCCTGGCTGTGTCCGAGTTGTGACAGCGTAATATACAGGTGACTGCTCGTTGCCAACGAGCCCCCTCCCATTCACTTTCCCTTACCCTCACGCTCTAATGCTTCCGGATCCCCGATCCGAACGACAAATCCGAATGCTCTACTATAATATATCAAGACAATACAAAGTACACACACATATGTATATATGTACAGTTATATATACACATATACATACATACATATATATATATATATGTATATATATTATATGGTATTTTATTGTATTACCCTCAGGAGCCGGGCAACAGAGGCAGATCAGGCTGAGCTCCGGGCACGGCTGCGCCCCGAGGCGGGTCTTAGGGGCGGGGCTGGAGTTCAGAGTTTGCCAGGACCCCCCCAAGTGCCCTTTAAAGGGCTCTCTGATATTTCTCATTACTACAAGGGGTAGTTGGGGGGTCTAGGTAGGGTTCAGATTTCAGGGTTTGAGCTTGAGGGTTCAGGGCCTTTAGGGTTTAGGGATGGGAGTGGGGCTGGAGGGCCTTCAGAGCTGAGGGGCAACGTAAGTTAGGTCCGGTTCAGACTTTTAAGATGTTGATGAGACTGCGTGCATGGTCGTGGCAGAGTTGCCACCGGGTCGAAAACTGTAAATGTTGTCGACTTGCCTCGGGAACTATGTGGCTTCAGGCTGTCGTTTGCGCTGTGTCCGATGTTCCTGTATGGCTCGGCTCGGCATTGCACATGTGTCTCGCATTGACATGTACATGCATCGCTGTTTCGTACAGCATCGTTAGTGTCATGGCACCTCTTGGCATAGCTGAAAGCTGTGCTTCCATTTTCCCCGCACCCTCTGCCTACGTAGGGATGTAGGGCATGGCGGAAACAGTCTAACAGCGAGCAGCGCAGTACTACCTAGTCAACTGTAGGCATTTTGAGGTGCCTAATCAGCCCAGTCTAGTGTGGCAGCAGAGGTGAGCTGTACCTTCGGACCGGTGGTGCCACGAGGAACGTGGCGTGGTCAAAACTTGATTGATGTCTCTGAAGAAAGAACGCAACATCCCCCTAATGGTTGGGCTTTCTGTGAACCCTCAACCCTAATTGAATAGGATCGCAGCTGAGGCAGATTCTGGTAACCGCTTTCCCTGCAGAGAGTGATTTGCAAGCTTGTGGTGCGGACTTGAAGGCGACCGGCGAAACTAGTCTTCTGCGACTAGTGACAAAGCAAGATAATAAGAAGAATAGTGGTAATAGTAATACTAGTAATAGTAGTAGTAGTAGTAGTAGTAGTAGTAGTAGTAGTAGTAGTAGTAGTAGTAGTAGTAGTAGTAGTAGTAGTAGTAGTAGTAGTAGTAGTAGTAGTAGTACTAGTAGCAGCAGCAGCAGCAGCAGCAGCAGCAGCAGCAGTAGTAGTAGTAGTAGTAGTAGTAGTAGTAGTAGTAGTAGTAGTAGTAGTAGTAGTAGTAGTAGTAGTAGTAGTAGTAGTAGTAAGAATCATAATAGTCACGAGCTTCTACTAGCAGACCTAGCAGTTCTAGCAGACCTCATGGGCACCGGGTTTGGTCCAAGCACGTTCTCCTGCGGGCGCCATGTGAAGGTTACGACGGTTACGAAGCCATTGACCTTGGCGCAGGCCCTCGTCATACCCTTTGCTGGCCTACCTGTGGCAACGAAGAACGTTCTACAAAAGGGCGGATGGGTTCAGCGGGGCCTTCAAGTCCACAACGTGCAGCTTAGCTTTTGATTGTATGCGAGTTGCAGATTCTGCAGTACCCAGTGCTGGTGAATAGTTCGGAGCGATCGCTAACTGCCAAGGCATCACAATTCGTCCACCACAGCAGCTGCTCGACTATAAATCGGCGCGTTGATTGTTGTAGCTGAGGTGTTGAAGTCGCTGCAGGTTCCACACTTTGCCGACCTCAAGAGAGAGCTGTAGGGGCTGCAACCGCCAAGTCAAGAACAGAAAGTTAAACCTGACAGCTCCAAGTGGTTGAGTTAGGGTACATAACTGGGAAGATATCGGATGCACGCTCAACATCAACACTGTTCCAATCAAGCAGCAATGGGTGCAGCCAGCTGCCACAGCTGCAGCTGCAACTGCGATGACGATGGCATGGAAGGCCGTGGCAACTTCACGGTTTTGCAGACCTCTTCCGCCATGTGCCCACACGATGATGGTGACGAGTGGCTTGCAGAAGCTGTGATGGACCTCACGGCCAGAAAGTCCGAGCTCGAAATTACGTTCCTGCTACCGCGCGCCTCTACACAGACGCTCGTGTTCAAGAGGAAGCCTTTGGGCTTGGACTTCAACCGACACATGCCTGTCACTATCAAGCACGTGCGGCCGGGAACACACGCGGAAGAGCTAGGGGTTCAGGAAGGCTGGCAAGTGAAAGCCATTCACGGATACGATGCAACTAGGGCTTCATTCAATGATGTCTACACGGCTTTGAAGGATGCATCGGCATTGCTGTGAACTTGACGGCGGCGGGCCCGCAGGACGCACACGACGTGGCTTGCAGAACCATGCAACATCGTCGAAGTGCATGTCGATGAAAAGACGACGCGGAAGTGTCTTCAGTAATTGAGGCTGTTGCCACGGTGCATGACATCCCGTCACACTTCAGCATGACAAAAAGCGGAGTTGTGCCTGCTGCTCGGCTTGTCATATGCCACGAAGCCGAACCTCGAGCTTACTTTACAAGCCATGCGCATGCCGTAAAGGTGGAGCTTATGCTGTTGGGTGGTGACGGCCACTCGCAGACATCTAGCTTTCCGCCGTCTCTGACAGTCTCCTCATCCTGTTTGTCGTCCACCCAAATCTTACCATGGAGTGCTAGGCTTTAGACTTTAGCCTCGACCTTACAGTAAGGAAGCATTGGAATATCTTCTGACCACAGGATGATAACGTACATGGGACGGCCCACGTCTGCACGGACCGAGGAAATGGCCATCGCCTTGGGCATGGCGGCAGCGAAGCAGCTGCTACCGGCCGACCAGAAGCTTCGGAAGGCCCATTATCCTCAGCTCCGCTGCAACATTCATGCCCCAGGCCTGTGTGCTTATCAGAGGATGGTTGCTTCGCGGCTGTCGAAAGCTAAAGACAAGCAACCTGCAGCGGTCAGCTTTGCCCTAGCATTCTTAAGTGATTGGCAGCCGACGCTCAGCGCAATGGCTCCTTCAGCCAGGGCGACTGGAGTCCTCGTGGGCTCCCATCGGATGGGGACCCAGACCCCATGATGCAGCTGAGCTTGGAGGGCCAAGGAGCGCTGGTGTTGCTTGTCTGAACTTTGAGATTCTGAATGCACCCAACTTCTGAGCTACTCGTCATGGTCGTTGTCGTGCTCGAGGTTGCAGACTGACAGCAGCAAACAGCAGTGGTGACGACAGCCCCCGACCTTCGGGATACGGGGCACTAGTAGTCGTAGCTGCAGCCGTAGCAGTAGCAGCAAGCAGCAGTAGCAGCAGCAGCGGTAGCCGCCGTCGCAGTCGTGATAGTAGCAGTTGTTGTGCTACTGCTGCTGCTGCTGCTGCTGCTACTACCACAACTACTACTGCCGCCTGCTACCACTACCATTACCGCTACCACTACCACCACCACCACGACGACGACGACTACGACTACTACTACTTCTTCTACTCCTCTTCTTCCTCCTGCTGCTGATACTGCTGCTGCCACCGCTCCTGCCTGCTACTGCAAGGTTGGGCTTCGGTGAAGTTGGACGGAGGGTCGCGCGCGCTGCTTGACAAGGTTAGAGTCTTCGATCAAATCATTCGCCCCACCGAACCTTGCAATCCAACTGAGGTGTTAGCAGCAATGAATATGCGAGTACTCGCCACCCGGAAGACCGCAGCAGCTGGCGATGTCAAGCTGCCCGAGCCAGGTGCCGGAGTTCAAGTTTCCACTGCGCGTGCCCAGGGTGTTGCAGTCGTTGACTGTTGTGCGCAATTCTATCCTCCACACGTACTGCGGGCCCTTGGTAGATGAGCCATAGGGTTGAATCTGCAAAGGTTGGGGAACCTGAACCTGAACAGGGTTCACTGTAGATTGAGGTGAGGTGGGCCTGCGCCATCCATCGCAGTTGCGTGATTTGCTGCCCATGGTCCAGCCACTTGGCACCTTGAATACGTCAATCTTGCTCCTGCCCGAAGTTTGTAATTGTACCGGCCCGCCAAACAGCGGTTGCCTTCTCCAATCTTAGCTCTATCATGGAGCCATGCAGGAATTCTCATAAGATGCTCAATCCAATCTGTTACGCGACAGGGAAGGCAAACTTGAGTGGAAGTGGTTTGCGGAACAGCTGGATTGGGACACCGTTCACCGATGTGTCAGCTTTTGGTAAGTAAGCTTTCGGTCGCAACGGAGGCTTGACTTTGGGCTTCAGGGTTTAGATTGATAGACTGCTGCTGTTTGATCGAGGTCCGGACTGCTGTGGGCCGTGAGTTACCAAGAGCCGGATGCAAGATCCAAGGATGCTGTTCATTTGCCTGCCGGACACTCCGGAGACAGAGGGTCTCATTGGTGAGAAGGAGATCACCTTGCTTCCGCCAGGCTCGGTCATCGTCAACGTTGGTCGCACCTTGCCAGCAATTTAATATCCATAAATCATCTTTGCCGAGATGTTTCTTGAAGCAATGACCAATGATGGTACGTGACAGCTGTGGCCGTTTCATAGGGCAATCGAAGCTTGTGTAGGCTACAGTCCCTCTGTACCTTTGAGGAGGGCACGTCCTCAATGAGGAGGCCTTCTTCAATGCGCTCCGAAGCAACCACTTGCTGGGTGCTTCTTGGCACGACTTACGGTAGCAAGAATTGTCTGATGTTAGGGTGTTCAGGCTGAGGTACGATGGCTGCTCAGAGACTTGCGGACTTACGGATACCAAGTTGTAGGGTCAAGGAGAAAGGGTTAGGGAGCCAGCAGCTCAGGCAGGCGTGGATTGCTGGTACAAATACCCTGCAGATGCCAAGAGCCGATGCAGCACCCCTGTGTCTGCAAAGTTTGATTTCGGAGGCGGGAACATCGCACGGATGGTTTTTCATGCAACATGAGATGTTCTTGGTTGTTTGCTGAAACGCGCAAACTTCGGACAAAGGGCTGCTGTCGTCGGCTATTGTCGGCAGTTGTTCCGAAGGAGTTCCTTCAAGTTCTATTCATACCACCCTCGCCTGCGAGCCGCGAACCGCAAGCATAATCGCGAACAGTTGTCTTCCAATTGTCGACCACATGACAGGCCTGGAAAACATTGTAATGTCCCCACACCGTGCGGGCTCAGTCGGTGTTGGCCTGAGCTGGTCGCCGTGATCGGTGCATGGCTTGAAAATGCTTGACAGCTAGACATCAAAACTGGTAAGCAGGCCCGCATGTTCTCGCATAGTTGCGGCTGTCGCATGCATGACGTGGCCGACCAAGGCTTGCCTGCGACAGAGCGCTGTCGCATGGCCGCCTTGGCCGAGCTGTTTAATGCAGCTGCAGAGCAGGGATTCCATGCGATGCCAAACAGAGCCCCAGCTGCATTGCTAGCGTGTTCCCGAGAACCTAGAACAGTGAGACGTTTCAGAAGCCTCAAAAGAGGTCGGCGCCGCTGCATGCTTGCTGGAGCCTGTCTGAGGAGTCGACGTCTCCAATGGCTACTGAGAAGACTCATCTGCTCTGGGATGGCCTAAAAAAAGGGCCGACCGCGGAAAGAGGTGTTCACATAGGTGCAACGCGGAGCAGGCTAAACAGCGAGGGAGTAATCGTACAGCAGGAGGAGTATGGTCGTAGTGGCAATAGTGGTATTTGTCGCTGTAGTACCACAGTCACAGTGGTAGTCGTCGTCAAGTCGTCCTGGCGGTAGTGGAAGCGGCAGTGGCAGTGGTAGTGGTAGTCGCAGCAGTAGAGACGGTATGCTGCTGCCGAAGTCTAGCACATTCTGGCGCAAGTTTGACCTTCGAGGCCCCGCTGCTTATGGCATACCTGCTCGTGGCAGAGGCAAGGTTTGAAGCCGGAAAGGCTTGAAGGGCTTCTCCACGGCACGGCACGGGCTTGCTGCTTCTAGAAGGGCTCCGGGAAGTTTTCGGGCGCTTGCCGACAACAGGGCCGCAAAAAGACCGATGCTGCTTGCAGAGTTCATGGAGCAGCAGGCTAAACTTCCGATGGGAGACGAAGATGCTTACACATACTCTGGCATTGCCGTGGCCCGAGTACTGTGCGGCATGCATGTTGCTACATGTTCATGATCTCGTTGATGTTGCCGCTGGTACCTTCCACCAGGCAATGTCCATGGTTGATGATCTCAACGAGGCCTTTTTCGGGGGTGCGCATGCACACGGAGTCATGCGGCAATGTGGCCGAAATTGGCAACACAGCGGGCTGACGAGACCTTTCTTGCTGACTTGACTTGGCAGTTGGTGAAGCCGATTCTAGCAGCACCGGTCTCAGCCACAATGGCAGCAGAAGGCAGCTACGCTTTGCATCCCCGGCATAGATACCTTCCACTGCTTTCCAAGGAGACCTCTGTGTGGCCCTACCGCGAGGTCAGGAAGGGATGCCTTCTGGCAGATGTATCGGAAATCTGGGAACGCTCAATATCAGTAGCAACACTCACAAATCGGAGGGTTGACCGTTCTCGCAACACGTTTAGGAACAGACTTTGCAGAGGAAGTGTGACCCCATCAGTTTCTGCTTGTCTCGAAGAAAAGCAGCAGGCAATCTCCAGATTGCAGATGACAGAGAATGCAGCGTTGCAGGCAGGGTCCATCCATAAACCGCCGAAGCACTGCAGAAGCGAAGTGGAGTTGAAGGCCAGACAGACTTATCCCGCACTGTTGGGCGGACCCAGAGTGCCAAGCCCAGATGCCGCGACTCGAGCTTGGATCGTTCTGGCTGCTGGACAATCGCAGGGGCCACTGACCCCTGCATGGCACTGCACACTGACTGCACATCAACCCTTACAGTTCAACCCATCCTCCCAGGGGATAACGCTCGAGTTCGTCATCGTGCATTGCAAAGAGCCACTAGAATGGGTGGAGGCACGCAGCGGGGGGCGAGTCGTGCGCCACTCACAATATGCACCCGAGCAGAGTAGGTCCTGAGTAGGTGCTTCGTGCAGCTTCCTTCCATTGCTTTTCGGCCGTGAGGCAGACCTGCTGCCTATTGCCCCTGCTGGCGGCCGACTTAAACTCTTTTCCGTGAACCGCGAGCGATTCCGAAGTCGAGATGATGGAGCCACCACCACTTCTTGAATGTATTGTGCTCTGTTGTGGTGAGTGTCCAGAGATCCTAACGAAATCATGTAGATGTAGACATCATGGCAATCGCTGAGAACTGAAGGCTCCCAGCTCACGTTCTACGAGAAATGCCATGGCCCTAGCGCTCGAATCTTTTGTGGTGTCTATTCCGCTCCACGTGCTGCTCTGCACAGCTTGTTACATTGCATCCGTGAGGTGGGGAGGAGCCAAAATTCTCAGGCAGGTGGCCACTTTGGGCTCTGCCATAGTCCTCGTCGGAGCATGCACCCAAAACCCGGCTTGCTAGGGGCAGTTATGCAACACTTTACGCCGGTCTCCGTGAGATCCTGCGCTGCACTCGGCAACTCTAGACTCGGGTAGGGTTCCTTGAAGGGATCTATAGGGTTTAGGGTTCAGGGGATTCAAGTATCCCTTGATTAAGCAGCTCAAGCAAAGGTGTGCCAGGGCTCAGTGCATCTAGCAATCAAACCAATTGTCAGTTCGCGGATGATGAGTAAGCAGACGTAGATCTACTCGCTTACTGCACTTATTAGTGCACACTGCATAGAAAAAACTTTGATTGAAGCAAACAGACAATAGATGCACGGTATGCGCGGTGTGTGTGTGTGTGGGCGCAGGTGTGTGTGTGTGTGTGTGTGTGTGTGTGTGTGTGTGCGTGTGTGTGTGTGTGTGTGTGTGTGTGTGTGTGTGTGTGTGCGGGTGTGTGTGTGTGTGCAACTTGCACAGACGCATGCGCACACACACACACAAACGCATACATATACATATCCACACATATACAGGCGCACACGTACACACATACGCATACACATGCGCATACACATACACATACACACGTCCATACATACATACGTACATACACACGCAGCGTATCATTCAGTCAGCGAAACCACTATCATTTCGATGCATGCAAACTGGGAGGGAATGCGTCTACACCAGAGACATCGGCTGAAGGTAGAGATCCTGTTGACGGTCCTCGTGGAGATGAGTGCTTGGGTTACCTGCCCCGATCCTACCTCAAGCTGCCGCGGTTCAGGGTTGTGTTTTTTAGATCGCCCTGTCAGAAGGTACCTTATTAAGGCGTCCTAATAGTAGCTAATGGCAAGGATCCTGCCACTCGGGGTCTATGTTGGAATCAGTAGGGTTGGCCCAGGGCCCACATCGTCTCCAACTATTGGAACCTGGCCACGTTTACGGTCTTTTTGCAGGCCCAGTGAGAGAGCCACAGCTGCTTGCGAGTTCAAAGCAGCATGTATCTGAGATGAATATCTGAATAATGCATAATAATGCTCCGATCCACCATCAGCACTGTTTCGAGCACCAAGCTCGAACACTTGTGCAGGCGGATCCCAGCGAGCACCTGCACTTCTCGTGCCACAGAGTGGGATTGCTTGCAGGTTGGTTGCCATTGGTCGGGAGTTGCCTTTAACCCTGAAAAACGAATACTCGCTGTTGCTCAAGCTCGTGGCGTTTACAAAAGTTTGCAAACTTGTGGCTCACGAAGATCGCAAAGATGACAACTTGGGTGTCGCTCAGGCAGTCAGGTGCAGGGGTCATGTTCTGGGTTGCCTCCGTGCTTTTCCACAGCTTCACAACTGTCACATCTGTTCTGCCGCAAACTCACATTTACCAACGGCAGCATAGAGCATGTTTGACAGCAATGGGGCCAAAGCTGACGCCAAGTGCTACCTTGAAGCTTTGCTTTTCTGCGTTTTCGATAAAGATGCGGGGCCAATCGTGCAGTGTGCTGACCCGCCAGGGGCCAGCACATCGTTTCAGCAGGTCGGCCACTACTTGCTGCCGGATTCAACAATCAAGGGCCGCGTGGTCTCCATTGTGTGCGGCGACCGGGTGATGATGGGTACTCCCGTATACATCGAGGATGCCTTTTATCATCGCAACAGCTTCCAGTTCAATATTTGCATGGTGATTGACAGCAGCAAACATCACGAGCCATACCGTGATATAGCGCAGCTTCTTGCCATGTCTTTTCAATCGCTGGAAACCGACACTAGATTGCTTTCCAACCCAAGGGATCGAATTTCCATCCAGGACGTTCTAGCGCAGCTCCGGCAGCAAATCAACGATGCTGAGGAGTGCTTCGTGCGCATCGACATGTCTCATGCTATAGCATTCAAAGTCCGCAGATGGGTGCCTGCACTCACAAAAATCCAAGATGACACCTTGGTCCCCGTCCCACTCATGGACTTGAACCAGCTTTTGGCCTCTTCTTCGAGATCGGCAGCCAAGCTGCCTGCCTTGCCTTTCAGTTTGGACCCGGCAGTGGAAGAGGTTGTGCGACTCATTGATGGGGTCAGCAGTGTTCAGCGCATAACACAAAGTTGCCCTTTGAGAAGTGACTATGTGGTCATGATCCTCAGGCATTTACTCCATTTCAATTTGATCCGTCTGATCCCCGAGATCCACATGGAATGCAAATACAGACTCGCGCCGGCATACCACACCGTGCTCGAAGATTCTGCGACAGGGCAGCAGGCAGTCCACTATGTGACAGCCGGAAAACGCAAAGTTGATAGCCTCAATGAGGAGGAGCAGGAAGCAGAAGTTCAGAAGGTCATGGCACTGTATGCACTGGTGGCCTGCGAAGGCCAAGCAGTAGAGCATTTTCAATCCGAATACCAGGAGGAGATCACGGAGCTCCAAATCTCGTTGAAGCATTTTCTGACGTGGGGCTTGCTTCAAGGTTACCTAGAGAAAGTCGAAGAGCATGTCGGCAGCTTGAACAAGGCGCAGGCTGAGGAACTCTTCCGGCTGAGGACAATCCTTATTCCAGAGAGAAAGAAGCTGCTCAGCGATCAGGGTCAGCCTGCGAAAGACGTCAACAAGGATCAACAAGTCGTCGAGATGGTGGCCCGGCTGAAAGAGCTCCAAGAAATGGAGCAGAAGTCTGCTAGCAGTGCGTGAGTAGTCGTCCACGGTGCCTATATCTATAGTAGGTCGAGCGAAAGTGTGAGATTCCCGGTGCAGGAAACATTCCCCTAGCAAAAGGCATGAAGTTTGAATCTCAGACTGGCTAGGACTGCTGCTCGGACTTGAAGATCTGCTCGAGAAGCCTTGCCTTGAGCATCGAAACTTGAAAAAGGAAGCGACTGACACCGTGTGGGTGGCTGTCAACATTAGGGCCGCTTTTGGGGTCCTTAATATAATACGGCACCTAATTTTGACAACCACCCATGTGAAGACGCCGCTTGCATTGAATCTGGTCCTGCTTAGTGCTTCTAGCCTGGCAATGTTTCAGGTATTTGCATGTAGTTACGAAGATGGTGGCCGCTGCCACATATGCCCGGACCCCAGGGACGAATTGGCGCATCAGTGGCGCAAGTATATACAGAATGCATAAATTGAGTTGGTTGCAACAAAGATGCCACCCCGGCAGCTGGAACTCACTCGTCCTATGTCATGAGTGAGAGCATCAGGCGGCCCGGCAGCCGAAACTTTCAAGGCTCAAAGCTTCGGAGGCGTTTAAAGCATCGGTTTGTTGCTCTGGGTGCCTCTCCGCACAGCCATGGATCGAGATCGTTCTGAGAGCCGGCCGGCCAGACCTCGTAGGAACGCTTGGGTTGATTGGCAGCATCATGGAAAAGACTCCGGCACATCGGAAGTTGGCGAAAGTGCCTTGGCAGTCGAGTCTGTTTTGTCTGCGGCAGAGGCCGCGGCATTGGCCCGAAACGACTTGGGCCTCTGCCAGTCGGAGCTTTCCATGGAACCATGCACTCGTCGTCTGGAGCACTCTGCGCAGAGAGACCAAGGACAAGGCGGACAAGGACAGAGAGTTTGCTTCCCGACAGCTGTGCCGCGCCTATGCGCGAGACCACTGGATTTCTGCTCTTAGCATGCTTGCAACCATGAAGGCTGAACGTGCTGCGCCTGACCTGGTCTCGCACAACATAGTCAACAGTGCGGTCAGACAGCATGGTCAGTGGCAATGGGTGTCTCAGCTAGTGAATGGAGTTTGGATGTTCAGCCTGTCCCCAGATGCTGCTACTTGCTGTGTGGCAATTACCGCTGCTCAGTCGGGGCAACGGTGGCAGGCCGCTGCAGAATCGTTTTCCATCTTCTCGCGCCAAGCGTTGGTCCCCAACGTCATCCTGTGTAACGCGTTGATCAGTGTTTCTTCTAAAAGCAGCTCGTGGCAGCATTCCCTCGCTGTATCGAAAGCCATGCAGGAGGGGCGAATCGTGAGGGACGTTGTCGGGTACAATTCTGTGATATATGCTGCGGATGCAGGCAAGAGGTGGCAGGCCGCACTGCATGTGTTTTCCACACCGCCAGGTGGCATTCTACCCAATACCGTTTCGAAGGGCACCTGTGTGACTGCTTGCCAAAGAGCAAGGCGCTGGCAAATGGCATTTCACCGGGCACAGGACTGTACGATTTCCCCCGTGGTGCAAAATTCTGCTCTCGCTGCCTCGGTTCAGGGGAGGGCCTGGCGACAGGCTTTAAGACTACTTCAGGTCAGTCACGACGAGAACTTGGAACTAGGACTAGTATCGTTGAATACCATTCTGAGCGGGTCTTCGTCGACGGCAAACTGGCTACAGTCTCTCTTGGTCTTTCACAACGTCGCGGCTGCCAAGTTTCAGCCGGACAGCATCTCATATGGTTCCGTCGCGGGTGTGACCGCAGGAGGCGACTGGGAGCTGTCGCTCCAGCTCCTCACATGGATGGCTGCCAGAGGCCACGCCTTCAGCGTGGTGTCTCTCACCGAAGTGGCACGTGCGTGCGGGAAGAAGGGCGCATGGAATGCGGCCTATTACACACTAGCTGTGCTTGCAAGAGCGCATGTAAGACCGAATGTGATTACAAGCAATGTGGCCCTGAACGTGCTGGAGACTAGAAACCTTTGGATCGAGGCATTGGATTTGGCAACTACCTCCTGCAGCAAAGCTGTGCAGACAAGTGAGGTGTCGTTCGGCTCTTTGTTGGGCGCCTGTGGCAACAATCCCGGGCGCTGGCGAATCGCACCGCTCCTGCTTGAACGGGCACTCGTAGCAGCTTCTGCGAGCAGCATCGTGTTCAACATCGCCATCTCGAGGCTGGCGGAAGTCAAAAAGTGGCCAAATGGAGTATCGCTTTTGCAAAAAATGCTCGAACGCAACTTGGAGACTGACTCTTCGACTTGGACCTGCCTTGTCAGCTCTTGTGATCAATGGGCTACAGCTTTTACGTTCATCGGCCCACGGCCAGAAGTTCGAGTTCCTGCCCTGAACGCCGCAATCAGTGTTGCTGGTGGAGATGGACGGTGGCAACGAGCCCTACCCCTTTTTCTACAATGCCATGCTTGGTCTTTGCAGCAAACGTCTGTCACTATAAATGCGGCTGTGGATGCGATAGCCCGAGGTGCCAATTGGGAGCTCACATGTTGCTTGCTGTCTCGTGCTGCGAGTCTGGCAGTGGAAGTCTCAGATTCTGCATTCAGTATGGCGGTCAACGGATGTGAGAAGGCAGTGCTGCAGCTGGCGGGTGGAAATAGGTTGGCTGCTGTTGAGCATGCTTCGGATTCATCGATGCTTGGCCATGCAGTTCATGCAGTGAATGATCGTGCCGAGACTTGTAGGAGGAGGGGCCGCTAGCACTTCGCTTTTCTTCCTAAGGCCGTTCCCTTCCTCAGCCTCAATGGTGCAAGGCCCGGCTCCCTGGTCCTGGTCTTTTTGACGGAAGCTAACTTAGTAGCTGAGGGGAAACACTTTACAATACTTTACACTTTTGGGGGTCATATTACCCACTACAAAGCTGAAAGTGTACACTTGTTAGGGCTTATGAACTCAGCAATTAAGCTAAGCTGCAGTATTGAGCATGCTATTCCGCTAAGCGTCCTAACTCAACAACGGTGCAGGTGTCGGGCAAAGGGAACCCAGCTCTAGGACAATCCCGACATTACCCAACAAGTCCCGCGTGGACCGGATGTTCATCTTTAGTATGGAGGAGCAAATATCATGCGCAGCATCGCAACAACACATCGAGGACGTGAGACTTCGCAGGTTTTTTGGCTCGGGGCAGAAGCTGCTGCTGATACAGTATGTGGTGCTATGCGTTTCGCCGGACTGCGCTGATTCCGCAGGCATGTTCGCACCTACACGCCGTGCTTGAACGCCGTGCACGAGGTCAGAAGTGCCAGACACAACAGATTTCCCTCTGGTGTCTGGTGCTGCCATGGCAGCTTTGCAACAGGCAATCTTTGGCGAGAACATGAGAGATGCGGCCTGGGCCCTACCTTGTGCTTCAGGTTGGCGGTCTGCACTGTCCATGACTTGAGCCGAACCTGTGGCCACTAAAGTTTCAACAGGTATTCAACAAGGCCTTCACTGCCTGAGGTTGGTCCCTACTGCTGCGCGCAGTTTGTGGTCCAGGACAAACAGGTGAGTAAGTGAGTAGTTTTTGAGTGGCACGTTGCAGCACCTCCTCCATGCACTGGCACCCAGCAACTTCGTTGCAGATCCGCGAGCGGCCGCTGGAGTTTTATCAGCGGATGCTGAGGCATCCTCTGCAGGGAGAGGTAGCAGGTAGCGTTAGCTTCAAGACGCGTATCTACGGCTGTTCGTCGCTTGTGTAGAGCGGTCCGCCCAAGTTTGAGCTCCATTTATGTCTCCTGCAAGTCGATGCGGCGGATTCAGTCAGGCTGGTCGACGGCACGATGGAGCACGATCTGTGCTATCCAGGCGCGGACATCCTGCTCGCCTTTGCTGGACTGAGCCGTGATTCCACGAGGCAAAGTCAAGCGCTCGACGCACTGCTACGGCATGGAGTGGGTGTCTGAGCATGGGCTGTCGAAGCAGCATGTGGCCTTGCGCAAGAAGCCCAGGTTCACGTGGCACCTCGTGTTCGGCGAGGACTACGACCCACCTTTGCGCCAGGAGAATACTTTCTTTCATTGGGAGTCTTGTCTTCCGGTTAAAACATCAAGAAGGAGTCAAGGCATTCTAGCTCCGTGCGGCACAGGATGACCAGCGGCTTGCGCTGCCTTTGCGTCTCAAGTTCGGCAACGAGTTCATCCGGAGGCCATGATCATTTGGTTCAAGACCTTTCCAGGAATAGGACGAGTGTGAAGGTGAAGGGGATATAGTATAGCTGCTGCTAGACATGTTCCTGGCAGGGACTGGAACGACGTCGCAGCCTGAGTTGGTTTGTCCCGGGCTTCTCGAAAGAGGTGCGTGTTGGGACATGGCCAGCTGTGAAGGCATGGCTTTGATCACACCGGTCTGTGCTCCAGAGAGAAGATCCTAAACTGACATAGTGACTTTGATTGATAACAGGGATGATAATATAAAAAATACTAATGCATACTAATACTGAAAATAATAATAGCAGTAATCATATGAATCATACTAGTAAAACTAGAGCACTCAGTCGTCTTTCGGGCAAGGTGGTTCTCAACCCCAGCACTCCGAAGAAGATCGTGGAAGAGATCAACTATGACCAAATGACCGTCAGATGAGCTCGTCTCCCGCCAGTTATACCAAAAGGTCCACCTCTGGTTGGGATGGGCTTTGTTCCCAGGATTCGCAGTATAAGCAACCACATGACGACGTCAAAACATGTATACATACCTTCAGCGTGCCTGCCATGTGTTGAACTGCCATCAGAGTAGTAGGGGTGGCTGCGTCGTTAAATACACTGGCAGTTAGATTTCAGTTGGACCTTGCCTTCAACGGTTTGCTGTTACGTTGTTTTTAAGATGACTGATCTTTGTTTACTAGCAGTACTTGGTAGCTGCTCATGTACTCAACTGAAGAATCCCACATCGTCTTCTCATTAGACCTCGACGCACCTCGCCCGAAGCTTTTCATGCCAACCGGATATGTGGCTCTCAGCATCTGTGTGGCGTGCCAGCGCAGCCGGGATGTCGCAGAAGGCTGGGCAAGCCTTCGCTTTTCTGCTACAGAGCGGGAACAACTTACCCTCTGAAACATACATACACCGTTGGAGTCTTACATGTGGAAATTGCCCTGCCTGCGCCAGGTCGTTGTGGCTTCTGGGTATTTTGATCCTCTGCACTATGGCCACATCGAGTACTTGCAACGATCGCGGGAGCCTGCCGGGGGGCATCAGAGAGCGTGGGATATTTCAGCAAAGTCGCAGGCACAAGATTTACAGTAACGGCAGCTGGCAAGGACCTCGGCGACAAGCTCATCGTCATTGTCAACAACGACACTCAGGTAGTTTTGCCTATTTGGGCCTCTTCTAGTTGTGGGATCCGGCATCTCTTCGGGCCATCTGTCGAAATCGCAATCTCATGCTCCCCTACTGTAGCTTGCCCTCCATTCTGTCATCCGTTCTGGGAAGGCGAAGGACAAGAAAGGCCAACCCTTCATGCCTGGAGCCCTGCTCTTCGCAGTCACCCGATGCCTCGCTGAGGGGTTGGAAGGGATGTAGTGCTTGAAATTATCCGGTCTGGCTGAGGCCTGCACGAGAGCGGGTAAAGCTCGTTCGGTCGTTGGCCTGCGTCGATGCAGCCATCGAAGCCATCGATCAGGTCCCTTCTCACATCGTTTCAGCATGTTTGGTTTTCCTTTCTGAGGCGCAAAAGGCAGGTTCTCTACTTTTCTAGCAAAGCTGCTGGGAATTTCGGCGGAAGCACAACGGCAAAGTGGTGTCGAAAGGGTTGGCAGTCGGCAAGATGACAATTGGAAGTAATTGGAAGCATCTTAGGTCTTACTGTGAGCATTGAAACTGTTGACGCCCTGTCCTCCAAAGCCTGCCTTCGATGCCAGGACCAAACAGTTCGAAGAACCCTCAGATTACTGCATCCGGCTCCCTCGATGCATTTCGCATATCGCCACATTCTCAATTCGCAATCAACTGCGGCCACGATGGTTTGTCAGCCAGGATATCTTCACAAACGGTCTGCAGCTTACCCTGCTTGTTGCAGCCTCTCAGGGCTCGGGATCATGTGAGCAAGCATCGAGCTTGGATCTGCTGGTCCAGGTGGTGATATCAGGAACGAGGATGTTCCAGAGGCTTGCTCTAGACTGACATGTTTAGCGGATGTATGGATTCTGTGTTTTGCATCGTGGACGAAAGGCAGATGTCTGCCGAGAGCTGGGTATCAAGCTGATAGATGGCTTGGGAGACAAAGTACAGTCTTCGCCTGGCACCTAGGACACAAGGTGCTCGGGACATGGTAAACAGTAAACGCCATGCACCTTGACCAAACGGAGGGTGACCTTAAAGAGGTCCTGTGGGCACTGTGCTATCTGCATTCGTTGTTGCTTTCCCCCAAACCTCGTCTGACTTGTCAAGCACGAGTGACAAAAAAGGTCCTGGCTGATCAACAAGATCGCCAAGCCAGCAGTCAATGGTACCTCATCAGGCGGGTGGTGGACGGAGGTGTTTGAGTTAGAGCCTACTTTGCCTATTTTCGGCTATCGGCACCGCCCACCCCACCAGAAGTAAGTATTATTCCTGGGATGGTAACTTAGGTTGGGATCATCCTCTTGGGGCTGAGATCTTAAGAGAGATGTTATGCTAGAGGGTGGGAGGTGGGATCTTAAGATAGATGTTATCATAGGGTGGGGGCTGGGTGGTGCCGATGGCCTAAAAACGCAAGGGGGGTCCTTACTGTTTGCGCCCCATTTTTTGACTCTCGCAGATTGGCCGCTGGACATCGGATTGGCTACAGCGCATCCTCGCTACCACCCTAAACCCAACCTCTGTTACAAAGGTTACAAGAGACAGTGAGAGGCCCCAGAGATGAATTTGAATTCGAATAAAGTTTGCGACAGGCTACGCCTCGCCAGACTCGCCGGAGAGCTGAGACAGAAATGGATCTCAGCCAGAAACGGATCCGCTTCTCATTTAGGGGCATCCATGCGCTAATAGTCAGCGTGGCTCGAGCAGCTCCTTGGTCCTTCGATCGGTTGGGTCCTCGCCGCAAGGCATAGGTCGGCAGTTTGATTCAGTTTGATGATTTGCATCCCGGGACTCTTGAACCTTCAGCCCACTGTAGTACGGGAGCCCTGAAACAAGACCGTGCTTGCTACGCGAACACCCTTCAAATTTTGGATGGCAGAGTTTCAGTGCCAAACCTGGCTTGGATGTGTGCCAACATCTGCGTTTCTTCTGTCAGCGTATGGCTCAATAGGGGGAACTCTGAAAGCACCTTGCAGCACTGGCAAGAGCAAGAGGCCAACCCCAAAAAAACTGTTCGGTTCTGGTCGCTTGATTGGCATACCCCCCAGCAGCGCGACGTCGTGCAGCATGGCACTGTGCATGAGGATGTCGGGCACTTGGTCCTCGAGACTGCACATGTTGCCGGCTGCATCATGAAACACGTTGATGGAGCATAGCACCTAGGAAGCAGATACGGGCCGTATGCATTTTGATTCTGCTTCAGTGGCACAGGTTGTCTTCAGCGCTGTTGTGTTTGACAGCTTGCGCCGCATTCTCAGATGCGTCATATGTGGCATGCCCAAGGTAAGACATGTCGAGAGGCAATGACTCGCTCTCGGTGACAAATCGATCACTGGCAAGGTTATGGGCAAGTCCACTGCAGGTAGCTGTTTCCGTCTCAGCTTGCTTGGGCAAACACGCAGGGTTTGTGCCGAGAGGCCGGATTTCTGAAATGCGGGGATCTCGTGTTTTGCTTGTGCGCCGGCCATAATACTAGTAGTGACAGTAATGATTAATGATAGTAATAATAATAGTAGTTATGGTAGTAGTTGGTTTCGGTTCGGGGAGTTCATGCAAGTCCAGGCCCAACAAGGACAAAGACAGAGTACCAGTAGCACGGCGGTATTGTTACCGACCAAACAACGAAAACCTGTACCGGCCGAATTCGGCATAGTAATAGTAATAATAATAATAATAATAATTTAGATGAAGGCTGTGTCGTTCCAAGGTCATGCACCTGGCGTCGAGTCCAAGTGCCACTCCAAGGCCACTTTGCAGAAGTGGAAATGCAAAGAAGAGAAGTCCGTACTACTTCTGGAGAGAAGCCAATCACGTAAAGGGCTCGCGATTTTTGCGCCGTGGATTCGCACGGCTGTTGTTATAGCCAGCTAGTTACACAGTTTGTCGATGCATCACCGAGCTGGAATCAAACTTGATGGTTCAGTGCAGCTGTTCTCGGTACTTAGTGAACAACATTGCATGTTTTCTGTTTACACGAAATTCACGTGTCATGTGGGATCGGTCAGCTTCATGGCGTCATCCTGCCTGTCAGGTCATGAATGCCAGCCTCTCAGCACCGTCACCCAAGGGCAGAGAACTGAAATGCACCATATGAGCACAAGCAAAGGCTTAGGACGGCGCAGGCGCTACCAAAGACACAGTGCATGCACCACGTGAAGCGCGGCTCCTTTGTGGAATCAAGGTGCCAATCTTGTCCAGCCGAGCTGAGGCCATGTTGGCCGGTTTTGAGAAGCGCCCAGATGACTTTCCTGGTCTCAACACACGGCTGCTACCTCAGAGAGCATCCGAGAGAGCTCCTTGACCGTGAGTAGAAACAGCATGAAACAGCCGCTGTAGCATCGGATTTGGATCGAGGACTGCCAAGGACTTTTCGACGGGGGTTCCTGCTGGAGAGCAGAACTGAAGGGCGTCGAGTGCAACTCATGTGCACCAACGTGCATTTCTGTCCATCCCGAAGCAGTCTGCCAGCATGCCGCTGTACACCTTGCAAAGCTCCCCATGCACCTATGCTGTAGCAGTAAGGTCGAACTACCGCGACTTCCAGGCGAAGCCTACTGCATGCAGAGTGTCGGCTGACGGTTCCAGCATAGGGCATAGGCATCATACTCGTTAGCATGGCAGCGCATCCGCGCGGCCGATTTGAGAGGCCTTCTTCTGGAACAACGGCATGTCCGGTGCCCGAAATTCGGGTGTCGGGCTCTAGCGCAGTAGTCGGTCGTCACATCGTCAATGTCAACATCCTCAACACTGGCAGGGGCTTGCAGTGAGCAGGCCACGATAGTGATGCATCTCTGACCCATCCGTTAGCTGCATCCCACGCTCTAAGAACCATTGGTGTGATATTTTTGAGGCACAAATGTCCACGCCCATGTATGGCCCAAGAAGAGGCCACGGCGCGCATGACATTCAGTTTAGTTTTCGTTCCAGCCGGGGATCACCGGGATTTCGTATGGCAGCTGCATGCCGAGTGAAGTAAACGTGCTGATTCCTGCATATTCCTGTGCAGCCCTGTGTCCCCTTCGATGAAGCGTATCCGCGCGGAGCCCAAGTATATGCGCTGCGGAGACATGGCATTTTGCCTTGCCGTTCCGACAGCGGCAGATCTGAAGCAAGACGCCACGAGACCTCGTCTGGCAGAGTCCGAGTTGCGAGAGCGTAAATTAAACGTCTTGTTTCCAAGATGTCGTCTCTTGATGCCTTCGTCACCTCAGCTTTGGAGTTTGAGGAGTTCGATTGCAAAGGGGGGAAATGGTGCCGTTGTGGCCATGAGTTGGTGCAAACAGTCTTTGCATCCAAGCTTGTACGCTTTTTGCTGTACCTCGAGAACGGCGTATTAAGAGTGACATTTTCTTACCAAGATCCCCAGCCCGAAGCCCGGAATCATAATATACTATACTAGATCATCCCTGTTTGCAGCCATGGACTGGAGCTTCGTCCAAGCGGACTTACCGGGGGCACTTGCGAGGGCTAGCCTCCATGGGGGCTCAGGATCAGGTGCCTGTGCCTGAGCTGCTTCGGTGATGCAGACAGTGCTTTACATGCATGTGGTTCCTGAAACAGGCGCCTCAGGCACCTCGAGACCCACCCAACGATCCGTTCCACGACAAGAGCCTCAGAGAAGTCTGCCTTTGAACCGGCTCGCGGCAGGCGCACCTATCGCAAGCCGGGTGCAAGAGATAGTGTCCGGTGGACTGCACCCGCGAGTTCACAACCCGAGTTCCCACCGTTCTGTACGGGACACGTACCGGAGGTGCTGCCTTCCTGGCTTGCCGATGCAAAGGTCCTCGCCTGCAGCGAGCCATGGCCTCAAACGTCCATGGAGCTCGGTCGCCGTGCTCTCTGCTGACTCAGCAGTGGCCAGGCATCGAGGCTTTGCCGGCGCGCAGCCATGGTGGCAATGCACGAGGCCACCGTCCGCAGAGCGGGAGAGGACACCGGCGCTGTCTTGCCATTGTCTTTGTACTTGCCATTCTCGTCTGCTGTAGCATGATTCTATTGTCGACCAGACAGTGTTTGTGCTGGAGGGTTTGGGTGCAGGCCAGGTGACAAATAGACTTGCACCTGAAACTTGAGTGGCGCAAACCTTTGCTGGTTTCAGGAGATTCTTTCGAATGTGGACCTCGAGGTTCCGGTGGGTGCCCGTGCGGTGGTAGTGGGGCCCAACGGCTGTGGCAAGACCACGCTGCTGCTGGGCTTTGCACCGGGGCTTCGGGCGTTAGGGTTTTTTTGGCTTTGAGTTTGGAGGTTCTACGCTAGCTTTCATGCGAAGCGCTCTGAAGCCGTGAAGCCAGAGCATGCCGTCTCTGTGTTCCCTCTTGAGTCTCTTGAGAGAACGGCTCCTTACGTTCAGGGTCCAATCCTTGTAAGGAGTGTTGGAGCTTGGGCTCAGGGATGAGCACCGTTTCTTCTTCAGCTTCGATGCCTTGTGTGAGACGTGCCGACTTTCTGTTTTTGCTGAGGGTCGACCTGGAAAGCCAAGGCTGACTACTATTGCTGCTCAAGACCCTGTGGAAGGCACGCCGGGTTTACGGCTGATCAAGATCCGCGATAGTTTGGCTTGGCTCTGGGCGAATCCTGAGGTGTCGGCTTGAGGGTTGAGGGATGGAGACCCTGCGTGATGTCATGTTTGTGTTTCTCGCAGGCCTTGCAGGACTTGTTAAGCTTGTTGTGGCTGCAGTCCTTGGCATGTCAGCCACTGATCTTCAGTGAGCCTCCGTTGGGTAGCCGGCAGAGGCATTTGATGCAAACGGAAAGCCTTCACCTGTTTTGGGGCTGGTAGCAAAGATGCCTGGATCAGGTGGCTTTCTGGATGTGCGAGCCTCCTCCGTTGGTTGGCTTCGCCAAGAGGCCATTGGCGGATCCAAGAAGACGGTGTATCAGGAGGCCGTCTCTCAAATGCCGGCCGCTGGACTACAATTCCGGAAACAGGCGAGAGCACCTCCGAAAGAGTTTCCACATTGCCAGACCAGCGGCACCAGGCAAACACTAGCAAAACTCGTGAACTCCTGGAGTCCGCCATTCAGACCCCAAATTGCCTAGGCGATGATGGCTAAGATGCAGATGGAGGCGGCACAAAAAACGCTGAGTGAGGCCCTGCTGCAGGGCTGAGGGTTTTACACCGCTGGCGAGGGAACTGCGGTGCGCAGAAACCAGAATTGTCTTGCGGTACAGTGTTCTCAGTGTGAGAGTGCTTCCATAATAAAAATACTACTACTACTACTACTACTACTACTACTACTACTACTACTACTACTACTACTACTACTACTACTACTACTACTACTACTACTACTATTACTACTACTAATAATAATAATAATAATCATAATCATAATCATAATAATAATAATAATAATACTCACACTCGGACACAGCCTGGCAAGGTTTAATAATACTAAACAATTACATAATCATATCCATAATGTCCAAGTAAGTTCATACCGCACGTCTTTGCGAGGCTAAGGAGGCCGACGTCCTGGCGAAGCAGGAGGCCTACGAGGAGGCTCCTTTCTTTCGAGTTCCAGCAAGTGTTGGGATATGGGAGTTTCCGAAAATTAGGGGACCCTAGTAGCAGTAGCCGAAATAGTAGGATCCTGATTATGAGGACCTCAAAAGAAGGTACCCCTATTCTTCGGAAACTCCCATATAGGGGCGCCCAGGGTGGCACTGGGTGTATCGAAAACAGGGCTTGAGCAATTCTGTAGTTAGTTGAGCCAGCTGTAACCCGAGGGTTTCGTTATATGTTGGAGTATAGAATTCAACCGACGTGATGCTTAATGTTTTTCGCCACCAAGACCACAAGAGTTGAAGTTGCATGAACTTACACTGAACTCGTGTCTTTGAATGCCCGGTTGCATCCACGGCGACGGAATAGGTGTGAAGCATTCGTGGACGGCCCGAGACGTGAGAATTGCATGCAGCGATGCAGGCGACAAGCAAGTTTGAGGCGGCCGGGGGGAGAAGCATGGAGAGGAAGATCGAAGACGTTCTAACTGGTCTTGGCTTCTCCCGCACTGCTCCTCGGTGTACTTAATGTCCTTTGTCCTGACCAAGACTTCCCCAAATTCCCCAACCTCAGCCAAGGATTTCGAGAAATCTTGTTCGGAGCTTTCTGGCGGCTGGCAAATGCGCGTGGGAGCCCTAGATCTCAGGCCACTGTGGCCAAGCTCTACATTCTTGCACAGAAGCCTCAAGCATACAGCCCGATGCGACAAAAGGCTCTTAGCGATGCTTAAACCTTTTGAAATTCCGGATCCATACTTGGTGCAGCTTGTGGGCGCTAAATCCAGCGAGCTTATACTCCATCAGCACAGTCAGCACATTCGTCAGCGGTGTGGGCATGGTTTGGCTCCGTGTTCTGTCGATGTAGTGAATGCAGTGTGGACTTCTGCCAAGTGTGTGCCACTACGCCCCCTTCACAACCCTGCTGATCTCGCAGATCGCAGATACGTGGAATTTGCGAGAAAGGTCAGGGCTGTGAGCGGGACTTAGCGGCGCAAACTTCCTCCATTCTGCCAAGAATGCACCACCAAGTCTGATGTAATCGATGGTGCCATTCACAACCTGATGTTCCAGACTCCAGACCACAGGGACGCCGACACCTTCCGGTGCCAGTTCTGTGAGCATGAGTGACCCTTGGGTGTCTAGTGGGATGCCCCAGGGTAGGCTCGAGGACATTGTTTTTGGTCGCGTATTGTCAGCAGATATCAGCAGTTCGGACAGCTCATGGAGCTAACATTGTTACATATTCTCACATCCTGTGTCTCGCACCCACTTTGGCACTCCGACGAAGATCGAGAGCATCGGGCTCAATGCCTTTGCATGCATACCCTCATCCTTTTACCTTCCTAACCTCAGTTCGGCAGCAGTGCTTGGATGTTTGGAAAGCTGAGGTCGCCTTGGCACGAGCACTTTTGCGGGAGCCCGAGTTACTCTTACTCGACGAGCCCACGCTCCTTGCTCGCATCGTAGTTGCATTTTCCCTTTCAGGTTCTGGAACGATCACTGTAAAGTCTGACAAACGCCGAGGAACCACATGGATGCCTCAGCCAAAAACTGGCTGGCTACGTACCTGGCGGCAGGCAGGATGCTTTAAAGAGCAGATTGCTGTGCGCACATGTGGAGGTTTCACTTGCAGAGTCAACGAGCAGCACACTGCCGCACCGAACAACAGTCAAGAACTTGCCGCCTGATCTCTCTCACATGCTGCTTGTTTCGCAAGGCCTGCCGGAGACCAGCATCATGACTGCAGATCATCAGTTCTGCGGGGGATGTGGCTGCGGTGTCAGGTACAAAGCCTGTAATGATGCCCAAGTTCGGATGAGGAATATGCTCGGTGGGGATTCCAGAGTTGCTGAAACGGCCAGGATTGGCATTTCCAGCCGTGGGCTGAAGCTAACAAGAGTTATTGCTACTCCGATGACCATATTGCTAGTAGTATTGCTCTTGAAAAGTTGTTACATGAGAGACACGTGAGGCACCCTGCTTCTGGTGACGCACGATCGGTCTTTGCTGGAAGAGATGCACTGCTCCCAAGTCTACGAGATCGCCGCAACCCGCCATGGCAGTTTCAGTCGTTTCTGTTCCATACTTACCTCTCCGATTAGTTGCTCAAAGGAGATGATTTTCTCTGCGTGTGCTGGGTGCGCAAGACACCTTCATGCCCTCTTGGATTCGTTTCGTCGCTTCGTGAATGAACAAAGAGAACAACCCAAATGGCAATCAGCTCAGGAGGCGACATTTTAGAGTCTAGAGTACCATGAGGCTCAGGGAGCTGCATCGGTAGGGAAGCAAACTCACTTTGAAAAGGGGCTCTTCAATCAAGTGTCGGTGGGACTGATGTGCCTTTCTGGACAAGGGTGAAGAAGCTGCATACAGCTGCCGCATGCCTTGGAAACACTGGCCAACAGATTGCAACACATAAAAGATTGTGTTCGACAGGTCAACCGAGGCCCAGTTCAGACACTTTAAGACATCAAGCTTCGATGATCTTCAATGTTGCAGGTTGGTTTTGTTTTCTTTTGTGATGTTGGCCA